TATGATTATCATCTAAATGTAAACCATTTAATGATTCAGTTGGTAAATTATGTTTTTCATCGGATGTTAATGTTTGTACTTTATGTAAAATATCATCACGACGAAAACCTAATAGTTCAATATATTTATTTCTTGGATCACTTTCAAATGAAGCACGTAAAAAACGCCATAAAATTTGTTCATCTTGTGATATGACTGTTGAAGATATTTGATGATCACAATAATCAAGTAATGTACCAGCTTGTAACATAGTATCAAATGTTTGGACAGTTTGAACAAATGCATGATCAACAACAACTTGTTGAATAAGTACTGGTAAACGACGAGTATTAGTAGCACTTGGAGATGCTGGACCTGATTCTGCTGATGTTGCTGTTGGAGTAGGTGGATGTTGAACAATGACTAATTTACCACCGAAACCAAAGGAAACTCTTGTTTGACGTCGCATCCATTTCGGTGCATATTTAATAGGTAATACATCATGTGTAGTTGTTGATGGATGTGGTTCTGATGTTGGAGGAAGTCCATCACCGAATGCTTGAGTAAACAATTGATTATTAACCGGGCGAGAAACTTGACATGAACCACCCATTAATGTATAAATACTTAATGTACCATCAAATGATGATGCTGATATTAAATTTGGATCAACTAAATAAATAAAACAAAGACATAGTATAGAAAATAGACTTTAAATTTCTTTTTTTTATCCATACCAAGACACCATTTAACATCAAAACACCAATGATTACATGGTATTTCATAAACAATTTCTGGTATAATTTGTAAATCATTTGGATTCCAACATATAATTTTATTATCTTTTCCACTTGACATTAATAAATTACCATCATTTGGTGACCATTGTAAATCTAAAATTCCTCTATAGATACAAAAAAAAGTAAATTTCTAAAAATGAAAATTCAAACAATTATTTTATTAACCTTGTATGTCCAGTAAGTAATTTCACTGGACTAGTTCCAAAACGAAGATCCCATAATTGTATAGATGCGGATTGATCTTCTTCACTTGCTAAACATAATTGACTTGTTATATCTGGATGCCAAACAAGCCGATTTGCTCTCATACGATATGTTGAATCAGTTATTTTAAATATTGGTTCATTACTAGATTTTAAATCCCAAATAAGAGTTTTTCCACCAAGAGTTGAACCAAGTATATGAGATTTTTGTCGATTCCATGAAACACATTGAACTTCTTCATCAATATGATGACTTGATGGTGATGTACCACCAGGTATCATTGGTTGTTTAAGATCATTTAAATCCCAGATCATTAATTCGGAATTTGATCCACCACTTGCAAATAGATTTGGTTGAAGAGTATTCATATCAATTGAATGGACACTTCCAGTATGTTTATCAAGTTGTTGAGTTATTGATTGAGCTAATGGATCAACTAAATAGATACGACCTTTCTCTGTAGCACCAATTAATAATTTTAATGATGGCCAAATTAATTTATTAAAACTAAAAAAAAGAATAATATGTAGATCAGATATTAATTAAATAAATAAACAAACCGATAATCTGTTTTTATTGATCCAATTGGTGCCATCGACATACTTCTATCCGCTAAATTAACTTGATATACTTCTAATTGGGAATTTGTACTAGAATAAAAAAAATTTTAATAATGAAATTCTTTTTTTGAGAATTAAACTTACCTAAAACTTGCATCAAGTTGTTGAGCAGCTGTACCGGCAATTAAATAATTTGTATTTGTTGTTTGTTCTTCATTCTTAGCCGGAGACCAAGCAACATGAGCAGTTCGATCAATTTCTTTTAATTTCATTTCTATTTTGAATAGAAATAAAAACTTTCTTTTTTATTCTAATCTAAAAATCAAAATTCACAAAAAATAAGTATTATTATCATCATTTAATTAAATGCACAAAATAAATCATTAATTTTTTTTTTATCAAATTATCTAATCAAAAATAGAACCACAAAAATTGCATCGACGTTGTCGTAATGCTAAACAGCATATAATACCAATTGGAAAAAAGAAAATTGCACAACAAAGTCCTAAAAATGTAAAATCTGTTTCTAACATGCCAATCTAAATAGAAATCGAAATGAATTGAAGAAATAAAACATGAAATATACATACTTTACAAGCTGGACAACCACCAAGGACAATAACTGTCGGTTGTTGAGAACCTAATGCATATGGATATGATGAAACAGTTGTTGTTGTTGTAGGTGGTAGTCCACCAGGAAATGTTCCATAAGAGTCTGTACCTTAAAATAAATATTTTTTGACATTTCATTTAGGAAAAGAATAGGAAATGGAATTTACTAAGATTATGTGGATCTTGATATGAAGATGGACTATTATTTTCATCAATAATTAATTTTTTTTGATCAGGTAAAATATTTGACGCCATTTTTTTTCATAAATAAACTCGATCTGAGTTTAATTTTTATAAAAAAGTGACTCAATTAATAGTAAAGATTCGAGATACCACGTCGACTATTTCTACTCAGTTTCTGATTGGCTAACAATTCCATTACAAAATTTCTTTTTCCTTCAAACTTTTAACATTGATTTTTTATCTATCATTGTCTTACTTACATTTGTAATAGTTGAAATAAAAAGATTATTTACAAAATTTTAATATAATTTTCTTTATAGATTAACGATATTGAAATAGTTGAGAATGACTCATTGATTGGTTCTTATCAGCTGTCTATCTTTAAATACGTTTACTTATCTTTATATTTACGTAAAAGTTAATTTGTCAAGTAAAAAAGAAAAACTCAGTTTGTTATTATTATTATAGCCGTAATCAATATGGCATCTATTAGTTTCTTTCAATGTCTTTATCGTATAATTATGGCGTAAGTTAATATAATAATAATTCATATTTGATTTAATTTTATTTAGATTTACTCGTGCTCTTGTATTTTCAATATTTCCAGCACCAAAAAAAGCTATTAATGATGAAATTGTTCTCATTACTGGTTCTGCCGGTGTTTTAGGTCGTGCACTTGCGGTTGAATTTTCTAAATATGGTGCATTTCTTTGTTTATGGGATATTGATGAAGAAGAAAATCAAAAGACCTATGAATTATTATATACACAATACAATCATCGTCGAATGGTTGCAATGAAAGTTGACATAACGTTTGTTATATCAATGACGTTTCCTTTTTTATTGTATAAATTTTTGCTTTTTTTCAATAGGATACCAGAAGAAATTCATCGTGCAGCAGAAAAAATTCGTCATGAAATTGGAAATGTATCTATTGTTGTACAAAATGCGGGTAGATTTCAATAATTAATTAATATCTATAAAGAGAAGACTAAACGTTGATACTGTTTAGCACAGGTGTAGTGACATGTAAAAATATCCTCGATCTTAATTCTGAAGATATCAAACGAACATTTAATGTTAATATTATATCACATTATCATGTAAAAATTCTAATTTCAAATTATTCTAAGATAATACTTTTTTTCTTCTTAATATTAGATTAATCAAGCATTTCTTCCAGCTATGATTGAACGACATTATGGTAAGATAATAATGTATATTGAATAGATTAATAGAATTGATTTTTTTTGTTATTTAGGACATATTGTAGCAATTACTAGTAATTGTGGTCTATTTGGTTTATCACATCTAGGAGATTATTGTGCATCAAAATTTGCAATTATTGGTATGAATTAAGAAAATATATATCGATTTGTTTATTATTTTGTATTTTCATTAGGATATATGGAATCTGTAGAAGATGAAATATATCGATCGAAATGTTCGGGAGTTAATACAACGAGTAAGTAGTTAAATGGAAATGATTTCATTTCGAAAACATAAGAACAGCCAATGAAATTGATACCTTTGTTTTTATGTGAACAATATATTTTTTTTCACTTCAGTCGCTATTCTTGGTCCATTGAAAGGTGGTCTTAATGAACGTGTTAGAGAAATTGTTATGTAAATATATTTTATTTCTTATAAACTTTATCTTGATTTTATTTAAATTTCAGTCCTGAATCTGTTGATTTTCTTCCACCAAATATCTGTGCACAAAGAATTGTTCAGGGTGTCATAACTAATCAAAAATTTCTATATATTCCAAAAACTTATCGATTATTAGAACTTATTAAAAGGTAAAAGACGAAAATAATTATTCTCCTATTTATATGTTTTCTTTTTCTTCTATAGTTTTCTTCCATATGATGCATTCAAAGCAATTCTTAGTTATGTACTCAATGTACATGATCCAAATTTAAAACGAAATCGTTTAAGAAAAGCTACTCGTTCATAAACTAAAAAATTAAATTACTCTTGCCTGTCTTTCTTTTGTTCATCTTCTTTCATACATGTGATTGCATCATATTCGTTGCACTTGAATAAGAAAATAAAAATGAAAAAACAATATATTTTCTTTCTACTTTAATTTTCAACATGTGAATATTATATATATATCTCTGTTCAACGCTTACATTCTCAAGATTTCTATAATCAAAGCGTTGCGATAAGATAGTGAAGAGAGGTTGTGGATATATTTTACCGATAAGATTATTACCTAAATATATATATAATCAATGTCCTTCTTACAAGAAATAGTATTGTATTAACACAAAGAAAATGTTAATAATATTTATACAACTACGTCAGCTTTTATTGAAAATCTAAATTATTTATTCAAAATTATCCATTTTTTCCAATTGTATAATTTATCGTTAATAGTATTTTATTTCAATATCAATACTTTACATTCATTGTTCGAATTGAATTTATTAGCGATTGAATACCGATATTTTATGACAAAGTGTATTTACGCTTCGTATTGTTATAAATCCTCTCTCATATTAAAAATTCTATGGAATTTAATTGGGTGTGAGTGTTGTTTATTGTACCTACAATCACACCCTCAAAATATGATAGAAAATAAAACTTAAAATAAAAAAACCGTAAATTTTATTTTATTTTTTTGTAGAACACATCAGAAGGACAAACAAACGATTTTTTTTCTACGGAGAACTGTTTAATAATAAAAATAACATTAAAAAATTATAACATATACACTTGAAAAAATTTCAATTTGTTTTTTTTATCGAACACTTCTCATACTTTCACTCTGTTGTCGAATAGCTCGATCAATAACTGAACGTATTGGACGTTCCAATAATCCATTTTTCGATGATGAATGAACGAGAACTGCTCCTTCAGCTAAATATTCATGTTCTTCAAGTAATTGTCGAGCTGTTCGACGATGTTTTGGATTATAAATTAATGTATCCTATTCATTAATATATTAAAATAAATTTAAATATTCAATAAATTTTACTTTAAGAAATTGTCGACATTGACTTGACATTGGTAAACGAGAGAGTTGAACATCATCGAGTGGAAATCTCGGTAGACCTGTTTGATAATAAAGACATTGTGCAATTTCAGGCCATTCAGAGACAGTTGGTGTACCAAGAAGACTATAGAAAATAACATATATATTATATACACAAAAAATAAATTATCTACCGAAAAATAAGTAATAACTGATCAATTTCACATTCACCACGAAATAATGGTTCTCGAAGTGTCATTTCAGCAAATACACAACCAAAACCCCAAACATCTAAAGCTGTACCTAATAACAGCAATAATAATGCTTATTAAAAATTGAAATAAGAAAAATTTTAAAATTAACCGTATGTAGGTGCATTGAGTAATACTTCTGGTGGTCGATACCATAATGTTACAACTTCATGTGTTAATGTACGTTCAGGCATATGACATTGTCGTGCTAAACCAAAATCAGCTAGTTTTAAACGACCTATTTTAATACATAAATGGGTTGTTATATGTAAATAATAGACAAAAAAATTAGCTAACCTTCATAATCAATTAAAATATTTGGTGGTTTCAAATCTCGATGAAGCTAAATAAAAAATTACAAGATATTATTTACATAATTAAAAATATATGATATAATTCTTTACAATACGATGACGATGAAGACATTCAATAGCACTTAATAATTGATAACTGTAACTCTATAGATATATAAATAATAGAAAAACTTGTTTTTGAATAAATTGAAAATTATACTTTAACAAGTCTTGGACTAATTCGTTCACCAGGACCAAGTGCATCCATATATCTTTTAAGATCAGTCGGGAGAAATTCAAGATATAAACATAAATGATTTGTGCCACTATTATACAATGGTTCGAATGCTACGTGGCTCAATCTAGATAAATAAATAAAATAGAATAGAAATAATTATTGATTTAAAACTAACTTAATAATAAATTCATGATGAATCGATTTAAGAACAGCAATTTCTCTTACAGCTGTCGCTGGTAATTCATTTTCGTCTTCTTGCTTACTTGTTACTTTAATTATTTTTCGTGCTAACATTTGATGTGTATTTATATTACGTACACATTCAACAAAACCATATGTACCTTAAAATTAAAACTTAAAGATAAAATAGTACGATTAATAAATAAATATAAACCTGAACCAAGTATTGATTCAATGAACCATGGTGATGAAGGTGATTGAACTATGGAACGCGAACTTCGATTATTATACTGCATATTACAATGATTACTATTGTTGTAGTTAATGTAGCCGTCGTATTTGACTTTTTTTCGGCTGATATACAATAAGATGATGACGTTAAATAGTTTATAACCAGTACATATTTATACTACAGAAAAGAAAAAAAGAAAATGGAGAAGAAAATGCACTAAACATGCAGTTATCCTATTTTGGTAGAATAATCGGCTAGTATGAAAATGAAGAGAACGTTTGTGAGTATATACTGTATTTGTTGTAGTGTTATATTTAATATTGAAAGAAAGAGAAAAGAAAGTAAAACAGTATATGTATTTATTCTATTGTTGGAAATAAACAATCCCTTGTTTACTTATAAAATGATGAAATTGTATAATACTCTTTGTTCTTTATGAATAAACCACGTGGGTGTGTTATAAACTTTATCATTTTCATTATTCCGTCGACTATAGAGAGAATCGTATGAAATAAATGCGCCAGTATGTTTCTGTCGGGATCAAACAAACATTTGAGATCAAGAAAGAAACACAATACGTAATGAAACTTGACCGAAAGGTTTTTATGATCAGAGAATCCGAATCTAAGGTCTGTTCAGTCAGACAACTCAGAGAGATGTACGTATGATCTAACGGAAATACTTTTTGTGAATACTTTGATGTTATATTTCTTGTAGAAATGTATGTAGAAAGATGGTATTTGTACGAGAAAGAGGTAAGTGAGTTAATAGTCGAGCATTATTTGTATCTTAAGTGTAGAACTTTTTCTGGTATATGGAAAATCATACGAGAAAGAAGCGTTTGCATCTATCTATTTGTTTCTCTGTCTAAATAACAGCAATGGTCGGTTTCATTCGATTCCGAACTCTTGTAAAAGGTGACTAAAATTATTCGCTGATAGGTGTTACATAGTTATATCTTTCTCTCACATACATTTCTTTCTGTTCTCGCATATATCTATTAGAGAAAAACATTTTTCATATTTTGATAATGATAAATACAAAGAATATAACAACAAAATAAGCAATAATCAATATAGATTAATTGAACAAAGGAAATAATGTTTTTTATTGGTATGTTAATTCGAGTAAAAATGATATGAAAAGTATCAAAGTCAGGAACTATAAATTGATTATAGAATGAAGTGATTTAATATGACATATAAAAATCAATTAGTATAAACGTTCATGATAATACTGAATGTCACGAAAAGTGCGCATAGTTTACTTGTTCATTTCAATTTGGATGGTGATGCATGTGTACGCAAAATAGTCATATATGGAATATATATAATTAATTATGTATAGCTGACATGCAAAATAGCTCGAAAAATATATCAATATATCTTCGATAAATTATAAATAATATTTGAATTTTTAAGAGATATTCTATCAAAATTTTGTTTATATTACATTTGAAATTCTATATATTACTGCATATTTTTCTTTTCTTTATTCTTTCTCCTATTCACGCATGATAAGATAGAGTATATTTTTGTTTTGAAAAAAGAAGCGTTACATTCACATAGATCAAATTAGCTCTTAGTCATTGACGCAAGAATCTTAAAAATTATAATAAAGATATTCATTACAAAGATCTAATCAATAAATTAATATATGGTAAAAAAGAAAAACTAGATCATCGTTTTTTAACATAACTACATTATTTTTTTATATATCAATATTCGTGAACTAGAGAAAAAATCGGGAAAAGTAAAATTCTATGGACTAGATGTTTTTTCGAACTTACTGTTGTGATTTGAGTACTTTTATTTATTTATTACACCATCAACGTTAAGGAAGCTGTCACGATATTTATGAATTCTTAATTATATGTATCTGACAACTAATTAAATATTAAATACGTTAATGAACCAAGTATTTTTTAAGACATCTTAGAAAATCATCATGCAATCATTATTCTGATGTAGTATAGATGCGTACTCGTTAGTACTTTAATCATTTTGTGCTCTTCTTTTTTATTATCTCTAGAAAATTCTTATATTACTTTCGTGTTATTATTTTCAAAGGATATTGTTTAATTTTTCATTTATTTTTATAATGGCTGCAAGTTGGTTAGAATTTCTTGGATCGATAGGAATGATAATTAGTACTGCTATTGCTATAGTAATTTCATTAATTTATCTCATTGTTATAACTCTAACACAAGGTCGCAATATTTCAGTTTCATCACTTCTTGCAAGTAATACATTTTTATCAGCATTAGTTTATAGTTCAGCTCATTTCGCTATTGCTGTTTCAACATTTCGAAGTGATATTGGTGTTATCGATGGTATTCGATATCGACAATATAATCCTTTTTGTATGTCTTCAGGATTTGTTTTCTATAGTGGATGTGCACTTCTCTACTATTCATATGTTATGGAAGCTGGACAACGATTTGCTCGTGTAGTTCTATATGATTATCGATGGTTATATAAATGTCGTATACAATTAATTTTTATTATTTTTCAATGGTTTGCCTGTATCTTTGGAACATTTATACCATTAGCATTAACAGATCAATTACAATATGATATCAATATGAATATGTGTATTATACCAATTCGTTCTAGTGGTTGGACTATGTATTATGCTATATTTTGTTATTCTATTCCATTAGTATTAATTATAGCATTTTATCATCGATTAATACAATATATTCTTACTGTACGTAGTCGTGTTAGTGCTTGTCTTATTTCTGGATCAGTAGTTATTGCAGCACAACGTCAATTAGCATTGATTCAACGTGTTATTGTTCTTGTTAGTATTCTTACGATTAGTGGATTACCATATTGTGTATTTATTGCGATCGGTTTTTGGACAGATCCACCCATATATCAATTTCGAATAAGTTTTCTATGCGTCGATATTGCTCTTGCAAGTGTTGTATGTACTATGTTTTGTTATTCAAGAGACATAGCACAATTAAGAAGGCTATAAAAGTTAAATCAAATTTCGATACATCCCTAATTATCAACAAAATATTCGTAACGAAACACATAGTTATAGTAATTATTTTTCTGAACAATATATATTTATAAACTATTTAATTTATTTCTAATTGATATTGTTTAATTTTATTATTTATTTTTTACTATAAACAGTAAAACTGTAAATGAATAAAAATTCTTTAATTATTTTCACACTTAACGAAACTTTAAATATGTCTATATAAGTGAGAACATGTATATAACAAATTAGAAAAAAGACCTCGGAACAACACGGAAACGAAAAATAATTAATAAAATGATGATAAGTATTCCAGATGTATTTTGAAAATGAATACTCTCTGCATAAAAAATACAACTGTTTGGCATATGAATAAATCAAAAAAATTAGTCTCTTTGAATAAGCTTATTGTTTACAAATAAATGAAAACTCTTAAAATATATATGATAACGTAGCAATAGTGTCCAATATTTGTTTAGTTGCTACAATTGTTGTAAATTCTTCATTAAAACTCGCTAATGTGTTGAAATGTACTTCATTTGCTTTGATAGTTGTACCTTCAAGATGGTCGATCGAATGTTGCTATTGCATGTCGTACAAAGAATACATCGAAAACCAAGATTACCAGCCATTCGTGTTGTTGTTTCACAACAATGATTAGTTGTTAAACCTACAATAACTAATGATAATGTACCTTGTTCTCGAAGACGTTTCTCAAGATCAGTACCAATAAAAGCAGAATTAACTGATTTATGTAGAAGTGGTTCATTGTTCGTAGTTAGTGGTTTAGCATAATCTTCAAGTTCATTTCCAGTATGTGAAGGATGAAAAGGTGAAGTAAGAGTGCTGGAATCATGCTTAACATGTATAATAGGTAAATGAGCTTTTCGAAAACTTAATAAGAGCATTGTAATATTTTCTTCCATATCTGGTGTACATAGGTAACAACAAGTGTTGTTGTGGTCGAAATATTGAATTCCAACGACATTCAAGTATAATACAAGCTCTTTTCTAAAATCAAAAACGTTCAAAACTTTAATCTTATAGGTAGATAAAGTCAGAGATCGTATATGTTTGCATTATCAGCCTTACTGTTTAAGCTGATAATGATGATGAAGTAAATATGTATTTATATTATTTCATGACTTCTTTTCATTCTTATCTTACGAAATTTCTGCGCTGTCAACTATTCAATGAGTCAAGACAAGTTTCTTATATAGGAAAGAATAATCAAGAAAAATCATTAAAAACTACAAATAGCCTTATCATAACACAATAATGTGCAGGTGGAGAAATGAATGTTTGAAATCTCCAGTATCTCTACATAGTTTCAACATTTTTTGATGCTAAAACTAAGTGATAGTGCTTTTGAGAGAGTTGAGCATGAAGATGGAACTTGCAACTATAACTATAGATGAAGGTTAAAATATTCTGATATGAATTTTCTCATCGAATTAAGGCTGTTATTTCCTAACAATAATGTTTTCATAAAACCTTAATAATGGGCATACGTATGATGGCAGTGCATATATTTCTCATTCTTTATTCACATCTATATATTTGATTGCTTTTATTTTTCAGTATTATTCTTTTTGAGTATTATAAGTAATATAGGAAAGCTGTTTCTTTGAGAATTTAGGTAGATGAATATAAATTACTGAAACATCTTTAAATAATAGAATGACATAATTGTCAAGGATATGACAATTCTGTTGTTTATAAAAAAAGAAAAAAATGTTTCATTGAAAAATACAATTTTAAACTTTTTCAGTATAATTTATTAATTGTTTTCTTTTCTTAATTTACGATATTGAGATAAACATGTTTTATCTTTAATATCCATTTCACTACTGGCATAAATATAAGTTTAAAAATAACAAAAGCCAAAGCAAAAATACTGATAACAGTTGTTGTAAAAAGTACATTATGGAACATTATTTCAGCTGTTCGTGCAATTGGTTCTTGTTCATTCATAACATAAAATGGTGTTTCTTGAAAATTGATAATCACTGTATGTTGTGTATATAAATAACGATGATAAGCACCTTCCTGTAGATAAGCTACACGATCATTGAGTGATCCATGTGTAGATGTTGGAATCCAGATAGCACTGTAATTTGATAAGCCATTATATTCTAATGAATCTGTTTGATTAATAACTTTAGTTAGAGAAAAATAGATTTCTGTTGTTTCACCAATCGTTTGATCAGATGTAAAATAAAATTGACAATAATTCATTTCCTGAACTGTATACCATGAACTATTATTTGTAATACGTGGACCCGTTAAACATATTAAAATACCGCCAATATAGTATAATCCTATGTACAAGAAATAACATTTATTTTATCGAAAATATAATAATACCTGTCAAATTTATTTGTATAGTCATTTGATGGTAAGGCACACGATAGACTACGGTTAATGTAGCATTATCTGGTTGTATAGTACAATTACCATATGGTAATGAAACAGAATAAGTACCAACATTTTCCTTAAAATAAAATAATTGATAGTAAACTTTTTTAGCGATTATTCTTTCATATTTGTATATGTATAGGTGATTGTTTATAATTTACCTGAGCAGCAATATCATTACACGTATAACCTGTTTGTATAAAACTAATAGTCATTGTGAAATCTTGCATATCTAGCATATCAAAGATAGGTGCTTGTTGATCCGTTTTAATAGTTGTTAATAATTGTAAAGATGAACTATATTGAGCATTTCTTAATGTTGTATCACATGCAAATGTAGCATCAGTCGATGTTTCTAATGGATATTTTCTAAGAAATAATGCAGCAAACCAAAAACTATAGATAATAAGAAGAATAATAGCAAATGAAATAAGTCCACCAAACCAAAATTCTCCATTTCCAATAAGATCTGAATGACGAAAAACTGTTTCAAAACGATGAAAATATTTCATTCCTGCTGGTGAACAATATAAAATTCCCATAATTATTAGTATAATAAAAGCAACTAATAATGTCATGAGTGCCCAGAAAAATGGTGAAATAAGAACACATCGTCGAGATATTGTTTCAATATAAAATGTATTTTGCATAAGAATATCATCAAATGATGGATTTGCAGATGATGTAGGATATGCATAAGCTTGACTAATCGATTGAATAGATGATTGATTGATATCACTTATTGAACCAAGAGGACAGAAAGAATCCGATAAACAGCTCGTACAATTAATAGGTGGATATATTATATTCGATGAATTAGAAGATAGATCTTTAATATATCAATGAAAAAGTATTATTTTAGAGAGAATAATATATATATCTTACTCGGTGGAGAACTTCTAGTCTTTGTCGGACAAATTGTGCACGGTGTTGTACCTCGAATACTTTTATAAGTTCCACTTGGACATATTTTTGGAAGTTTTCGTACGCTATTAATATCATCCGTATCTATATAATAACCAGCTTCAGCTGAAGGTACTAATAGCACAGTTCCATCCGTAGTAAGTATAACTAATTGATAATCGTATGTTTTTCTTAATTGAATAAATATTGGTGGTATACTTGACCATTGTTCAATAGTTTGTTGATTATTAGGATAAGCATATAATATGTCATTCGATGATATATTTACTATTTGTATTCGAGATTGTGCCCATGGAAGTGTAGATACATCACTAAGAAGAAAGCCTGCTTGTATTCCATCATTATCAAGCCATGTTATTGAACGTGCTGGATAATTAAATGTATTGATTAATAATAATCTTGTACTATTAAATGAAAAAAGATATGTTGTACTTAATTGTGGTATACCAACAAGAACTTGTTGATTTCTATCATCAATTGAAACAGACATAACATAATTAAATTGATATGTAGACGTATAATGTTGTTGAATGTATTTTTGATTATCAGAAAGAAATGTATAATTATCAATAAGTGTCATATTATAAGGAGGATTTAAACGAATAAGATATACAGCTGGTAATGTTTTTCCAATATCAAATTGATAATAACCAGCCATTATTGCCATTGAAATTCCATTATTTGTTTCACCAATATCTAATGCATGTGGTTCAACAATAATTGATGAAAAAATATCATTCCATAACAAATCTTGTACAAAATCATTATAAATATCATAAATAAAAATAGCTTTTGAAAGAAAACCATATGCATATTTTCCATAAAGATCAACTTGTAATGTTGACATTTCTGATGGTGGACGATTCCATACTTTTACTTCATGTGTACCTACATTTATATTTACGAGTTGATTGCACGATCCATTTGATGAATTTCCATTATTTACACGTGAAAATGTATATAAACCTATTTTTTGATAGTAACCATCTGTTGAATTCGTTAATAAATAAACAAATGACAGTTGTGAAGCATTTTGACGTCGACCAACAGCTATATTAATAACAAAATCATTTGAAGTGTTATAATAATAACTACATTGATATTCATTTCCATACGGAGCCATTGAAACAACATAACGAAGAGCATCATTTTGAGCAAGTACAACAAAATGATCAGTACTACCTATGCGTATTCCATATGCATCATAATTCTCAGTATTCGAATAGGTTATTGCATTTATAATCGAAAATAAATTCATCATAAACAGACTAACAAACATAAAAAATATGATTAATATCGAAGACATGTCTTTTCAAAAGATTTATAAAAGTACATCATATTTATATAGACATATAGATCTGTCACCATCTATCACGATTTATGCCATTCATAAACTGTATTATTAGTTAATATATCAAAAGATTTTTTTTTTGTTTTTCATACTTTATCACCCATATTAGTCATCAATAATATGTCTTCGTACAAAAGTAAATAATTCTAAATTATATTTATTTAAATATTTTGATTTTAATATGCTCGAAAATAAATATACGTATATTTAATATTTAATCTTAACAATCCAATAAATATTATGTTGATTCTTTTTTATCACGTTCAAATTCTTTATTTATTTTTTATGTTGATTGATAAGAAATTTTTCCTTTTCTTATAAAATTTAAGTATCCTACACAAAATTATACTCTATTATTCTCAATCTTGAAATATTATTATACTTTGTATAAGAGGCACTTATATGTATAGAAAGAAAAATGAAATAATAAAATATCAATGTCATTTCTTCTTCAACTTTTATAGTTTATTACAAACTTTATTTTATTCTCATATCTTATTAACGATATTTTTTATTCTTTTTTAAAATATTAAATAAAAAAATATTAAAACATTCAAACTATTTAGCTGAACCACATACAACTATTCATAATTTACTATATAAAATTTTATTTTTCATGACAGTTTTTTTCACGAAGTCTTCGTCGAAAATACCAAACAGTAACAATATTCCATAAGAGAAGAGATAGCATTGAACCAGCACAAAATATCAGATCTGGTTTAGTTCTTTGATCAATTATTGTTCGTTTGTCTTCATAATCCCAATAGACACCATGCATTTGTAAAACAGTTACCAAATAAATACATAAATGAAATAATTGATGACCTTGGCCAATAAAATCTAATGAACCGGGACAAAAACGTTGCGGTAAATCAAATCCAAAAAGTATTGAACCAATAATAAAAAATAGAATTTGTCCGAAATGACACATTAAAGTTGAATCCAGTGGGAAATTTAATGGAAATAAACGAGCTATTAATGGAATAATTGAATATATCCATAATACAGCACATCCTGAAAATTGACATACACGTTTCAATGGTGGATAAGGTCGACTAAAATAATCTTGAGCAAAACAATTTAGAAAACAAGCAAGAATACCAAATAGAAGTAGAATAAAAATATATTCATATTCAATTTTATTATAATACCATTCAGGTGCTGAATAATAGATATGAAGAAAACCTGAACCAAACCCATGTAAACTAACACCAAGATAATCGATTGAAAAACAAGTTAGATGAATTTTTTCAGATTTTGAATGAAGTAAATGTGCAAATGCTGAACATAAAAACATGATTATAGCTGTAGATAATGATACAGCAAATGGCCATGAATGAGAATTTTCAAAAAAATTTAAACGTTTATTATAATAATAAAATAAATATCCCATATATAATATGCCAGTTAAATGACTCCAAACATTGATTGATTCATTATGTTTATGAAATAAGGATTTCCAATAATAAGACCATGGCTTATGTAGTGAACGATAACCGTGTATTATATATCGTTCAACAAAAATTGGAGGAACATCCTCTGATGTACAAGGATAACGTGACATATTCTGTAATGATATAAATGCTGATTGTGCACGAAGATGAAGATTTTGTAATCGAGCTCGTATATCATGTTCAAAAGAAAATGATAACGATGGAACATAATAAGCAAAACGTGTTAAATCAAGCATCATTGAATATTATCTAAAATGTGATAAAACATTGTTTTCATTTTATTACGTAAATAATTCATGACGAAAATAAAGGTAAAAAAAACCCAGTTCTCGATTTTACTGTCTATAAGTCAAGTGATATTTCGAAATTTTGTTTGCTAAAAAGAATTTATGATTGTAAAATAGTAAATTGTGTTTTTGATGTTTTCTATCAATTATAATGAAATCAAAACAATAAATTATAAAAGAAGAGCTGTTCCGCTTATTTTTACTTTGGTTACATTATTCTTTATTTTTAATGCGCATTTTTTGTAGCAGCTGCCAGTCGACATGATCGATTAATTGTTCTAGTACCCTTTTGACTTGAATGCCATTTTCAACTGATAAGAACGAAGAAAAAAAAAAATCTAAATCGACCTTCATACATTTCATATATACTTAGTAGCCTGGAAAGAAACGGTAATCAAGATATGAATCCATAGAGAAGTCTGGGTATTTTTTTCTTGAATACCTGATTTATATAGATATACATACCTTTTTACTCCCGTGTGTTGTTTGTCACAATCAACATAAATAACTATGGAAGTCGTTATAATATAGATGATTGCTTTAAAACGAGAACGAGAGAAAGATAGAGAGAGAGGGAAGGAGAGAGAGAGAGAGACAGAGGAAAAGCGAGCAAGGTAAGTGAAGAGCTGCTGATATATTATGTGCGATAGAAACCAACGCACGGGTTCACCTGTAAATGCATATGCGTGCATTTTTCTTTCTTTTTTCTTTCTCGTTCTTTTTTTTCTTTCATTAGTTTCAATAAAATAATAATAATAATAATATTGACTATATTTTTAATACAAAATGTAAAATCGATCAAGAACATGCTTACAATCTTATCGAATGGCACCTTGATATTTATTAGTTGACAGAGAACCTTTTTTTTTTTGAAGAAAAAAAATCTTTAGTCGTAAAACTTATTTTTATGCATAAACAAGATTATGAATGTTTTTTTCTTACGTCATATTTATCACGAATATATATTATTCACTGGTGTATTTACCAACTATCATGCGCAATATTTTTTTTTGTTCTATAATGCGCAAATAAGTACTGTTAATTTCGTTCTTAATATTTCAAGTATATGATAATGTAAAAGATAATAGGAATTTGAAAAAGATACTGCTGACAAGTGCAAAATAAGTGTCACTACGACATATTACATGACTGGTTTCATCTGTAAATTCACATTACAAATTTAATGTTTTTTTAAAAAAGTAAATAGATAAAGACTTGAAGATAAAATAAAGAGCAAAACATACATTTTTTCATGCAATAAGCACATACGCAAATAATCTGTGTAACAGCAAAATACGTTAACTCGTGTTCTTTCTTATCATCATTATCATTTCCATATGCCATATCATCACCAAAAAAAAATGGATCAGACAAGAAACAATATATACGAAAAATGTCATTTCATATTATATTTAACCATCTAATATCATAATTTCTTGTGAGCTACTTGGAGAAAATAAAGAAAAACTTGGATTTTATTTTGTCAACATAAAGTAACACTCCTACTAGAAGTGAGTGACTAAAAATTCAGCTACTGTCATTAAAAATATCCCAGTGAATCATAAAAACTGTGGTTGGTTGTTTTAAATCATTTACCTTGCTTCATCTAATGTATTTCGTTATGCATAATTACTTACATTGGTTGTTGTTTATCACATTTCAAATGATAAACATTGAATAAATAGGAATATAATAGTTTGTTTAATGTAGATCGTTATGACGTTTTTTTATAGATCATTTACATATAAACAAACTTTATATTTTTTTCAATATTCGGAGATCATATGCGGATAACACATAACATGCCATTGAAAAGTTGAAAGCTTTGCTAAGAAATAAATTTGTTTTGCATATTTTTTGAAAACATGAAAAAAATATTCTAATTAATATTCTAATTAATATTTTGTATAAAACATGTGTAAATAACGAACTAATATTTTCTATTGGCTTATAGACAAGATATTTGAAATGACATTTATTCTAAAGTAAAGTAAAATATCGCCAGAAGTGTTTCGAATAACTCAAAAGTTAATATTATAACTCGCGGTGATCAAAGATTTTTTATCGAGAATAAAATTATCGATAGTAACTAACTTTTTACAATGAAAATGTGCTCTATAAACTTCAACAATACAAATTGACTATTTATAGATTATTTCAATATTGAAAATGAAAATGCTTTTTTTTATTTATTACTTGTGACACATTTGATCTGAATCAAATGTATTAATTTATAACATTGAAATACTATTATCGAAATTTTATTAATCATATTAATTTCAATTTTCTATCATTAGTTATATTGAATTATTTTCATATCAATCAGATGAGTTTCATTTGCTAAAAATATATTTCCCAGACAATCTTAATTTTATTTAAATAAAAAAAACCTTCATAAATCAATATTATTTTATTCTTACATATATATATTTATTAGCACCAGATGGCATACTTGAAAGAACAGATTAGTAAATATATTTATTTCATTTCAACATAATAAACATAGAATATCGATTATTACACTTGAATTTAAAAGACTATATCAAGGAGAATATTCAACAAAATGATTATAAATACAAGTACTGACTGAGACTACATTAGTTTTCTTTTTAAATAATAAATTCTTCATGTTGATCTTGGTGATGAAATAAAGATCAATAAATTTTCTAATCCAATTTCTTATGAATAGGAAAAATAACGGATATTTTTAGATAACGTGAATACACTTTTGTCTCATCAGAATACCAAAGGAACTTCTTAAGTTAATTAAATAAAATACTGATCATGTTTTATTTATCTGAATTATCGTATAACTCAAATTATTCCAACTCTCTACGGTACGTTCTACTATTCTAAAAAGAGATATCGACTCACTCTAATGTTCACAAATAGGTGGAAAATACAATAGGCATTGAATATGTTTTTTTTTCTATATGATATAAAATATCATATACAATAGGAGTTTTTGTTTTGAGAAAAAAAGAGACAAGATACTCATGAAGATCAAGAAAAGAATTCAAGTAGGGTAGAAAAGACACCTGATAAAAAGATGTCAGATAGAGGCCGGTAGTTAATTAATTATTGAGTCGAGATAGTTAATCACGATGTTTTATTTCTCACAACAAGTAATTAATAAATTTCAATTTAAGAGAATTTCAAATTTTGCTTTTCAAACATCAATATTCAATATTGAAAATATATTATCTTTGCAATACACCTTATTTATTGAACACTATAACAAAGAAATGAACTGACTTTCGCAACACATACCAAAACTTTTATTACTATAAATATGTTTTCTTATCATTTACCAAAAGGAATATACTATATCAATATTTAAACTACTTTATTTGTTTTGTATTAGATGAACAATGTGCAGATGTCATGCTATAATTATCATTAGCCGTTTTAGGTGTGTGTGTCTATCTTCTCATAACCCACCCACACCCTCAAGAAAGGATTAGGAAGGAGATGTAGCCAATGAGGAAAAAGTGAAACTTCAGGAGTTCATAGTTCAGAAAAATTTTGAAGTCGATGTAGCCTCGCTTTTTTCCTCTTGTAATATAAGCATCTCGGTCATTCACTGTCAAAAGGGTAAAAGGAAGTAGTGAAGTAAAACAAATCAAAATTAATTTCTCCTGAATCCATGAAAGTGTTCATTCAGTTGTTTTTTTATTGTAAAAAAGAGATTCATCATATTCATTATCTTATTTTACAGAAAAAGCAGAAAATATTGAAGATTCAACAGCAGAACATCAATAGTAACTAAAAACATTAGTTTAATTTTCTCTTTTTTTTTATCTTAGTTTATTTTTAGAATCATGTTTTTCAACATTTGATCGAATAAAAAGAAATTTGTTTAGATCGAATGTTGTTGAATGATGAAAAAATTTTAATCAATTATTATAATTTCAAAATAGTAAAAGTATTAAAAGAATAGCTCGCTGATTATTTTTCTCTCAACAAAAAAAAAATATTGTAAAATCTTGAATTAGATATGCAAAGACATATTGTCTGATGTTGTTTTCTTGTATTATTTATTCATATAATAAGTCTTCTTTCTTTTTTTGCATACATATTCAATTTTAAATAAGAAAACTGATCTATACTTCATTCTTATTATTGTTATTGAAAAGAATAGTGATGTGAAGAGAAAATATACATCTATATATAAGAATGAAATTCATTTATTTTGGTTTTTTTAATTTTTATTAGAAGAATTAAAGTAACTTATTAATTGAATAATAATCAACTTATTTTCTTTTCTTCTTATATTTAGATCAAGAAATAATGACTTCTATGCTTCATTCACCTCGTCATTCAATATTTTATATGAATGATATTCAAGATTTACTTAAAAATCAATCTGAAAATTCTTTTATTACTTTAGCAACATATCCATCATCATCAACAACAACAGGATCACAATATTCTAATATGCGTGTTACTCAACGTCTTCATCGTTATCGATCAATGAAAAAACAATGGCAAGAAGTAGCAACTTTTATTCAAAGTAATTCATCTGTATTTTCAACATATACATCTTCCGTATTATCTTCAAATGTTTTACCAATAACACAAAAATCAACTATTGAATCGAAAGATTATTATAATAATGATTGTATTAATACAACAATAGCAATCAAAGATATCAATGAAGGAAATTCTATTGATCTTGATCCATTATATTCAAGAATTCAACAAGATTTAATTAAATTAAGAAAAATAATTAAAAATAATCAAAATAAATTTCAAAATAATAATTCTCTTCTACCATTATCTAACATTAGATCATTCACAAAAACAGTAAGTTCAAAATCCTGTCTATAATTCATTAGTGCTATGATACATTTGAATAAGTCAAAGAAAATTTTCTTTTTGACAATGACATATAAATGATTTTTTTTTATAATAATGTTCGTGTTACTAAAAATAATATAAACATCTTATTTAATATTCTATATTTCTGTGAATGATTGATTATATTAAATGAAATATTGAAAGATTTTATATCAAAAATAGAAGAAAAAAGTTGACATTTCTATTGATGAAATTTGACAGTTTTGTTTTGTTAATAAAGGAGTATTTTAATATAAACTTTCTTGGATTATTGAATTCATTTTAATGAAAACTATCAACTTTATTTCATTTATTCTCTATCAGAACTTTTTACCACGAACAAAATTATTGCAACACGTATGTTTAATAGATATTTTCTTTAATAGAACTTCGAAGAGCTTGCTTTAATGATTATTTTAGTAAGAAGAATATCAGGTATTACTTCATACAGATCATGAACAATCCAAACTCTGTTATTGAGTGGGCGAGTTTGAATCTTTTTCCTACTAAAATAATCAACAAAAAAAGTATATATCGAATAGATCGAAAGATTCATGATTTTTTTTGTGAAACCAACCAATAGTCTATTGAACTCTATCAGTTTAATTCCATCTGATAAATATAGGGATAAAAAGTCTGATTCGTTCGAATACAATCTTCTCATAAGAAAGAGAAAAAAATCAATCAAAATCGGTACTTGACTGTGTTTAACGACGGCAATGTCTGCGTTATAATCACTGTTTTCAATCAAACTTTGCTTTATTCTTTTTTTTCTTCTCTCTTTTTTTTATAATAGACGTCAATTCCAACGATATTTAACGATCAAGAAAACAACAGTATCAAAGACATTAAAAAAGCGTCATCATTGAACAATTTAAAACCACTAGATCGCGTCAAAATATCCGGTTACCAAATGCGATCTACAAAACTTCCAAAAAGCGATTCAACTGATAGTGGAATTGGTAGTAATTCATCAAGTACTTGCTCACAATACTCAAAACAACAAAAACCTAAACGACAAAATAACAGTAAAACGTTTAATATATGCAATAGCCGTATAAATCCCTCTCCGCCTCCTCCTCCGCCACCTGTTCCAGTTCCATATGACTGCTCTCTTCATCGTACACCTCATCTATCAAAGAAAAAACCCAATATATCATCTAAACCAACTCAAAATATACGCTCAAAACAAAATCTACCTTCTCGTCTTTCTTTACTTGTACCGCAAATGCCAACAGTTGTTACCAAGAAAAAATCATCGAGTTTTAATGTACAAGATACACGATCACCACTTACTCGACAATTAACTCAACATGGAGATATAACAACACGTCTTTATACATATGCAGCATCAACTTCATCAGCAACTCCATGTTCAATGATGCTCAAACGAAATACATCACTTTTACCTATACTTATTCAATCAAGTTCTTGTATAGGAATTCAACCACGAGATAATCATTCAACAAAATTAGATTATAATTTAGATGAAGAACACAAAGAAAATCTCACTCCTATTAAAGATAATAATGATGATTATTATCATTTACTTGATTATAAACATTTAATAAATCGTTTACCTAAATCCGTTATTTCGAATTGTCCACGTTATGGAAAAGATGATTATGGAATATTATATGATCAATTAGCTCATATCCGTAAGAAAATGCCTCATTCAAATATTTATGATGAATATGCAAGAAATAGTTAATTTATTTTTATTTCTAACTCTTGTACAAATCTTTTTCTTATTCCTTAGTGACAACATAAAAATAAACTTATATTTTCATTCCTTTATTTTTTTCTCTTCATAATCATACAGATCATCTCTATGAAAATAAACAATTTCTTATTGCACTAGACTGTTTTTATTCGTTGACAAGAAGAATATCAAATCAAGTTCGAATAATATTTATTATTAATCTAAAATTATCTTATAAAATCCAGATATAAAAAAAAATCTATTTCTGGAATTCAAAAGAAAAACGATATAATATGGACACTATAGACATATATAAAGTCAATTATCTTTAATGTTTTTGAATAAAATTAATTAAAGATATTGAAAGACTATTTTCATATGCAAATTTTTGTTGTTGTATTAATCGAGCACAAAAACATTTTAATCGTGTAACATCGATTTTTTTCTTCATTTGTTCATATAATTTTTTACGAAATGCAGGCATTGAATCCATTGGACGATGTCCTTTTGTATTAGCAAAATCCAAATGAGCTCCAGCATCACATAAAATATTAAGCATATTTATAGTATTCGATGATGAATTATTTCGCATAAGTATATGTAATGGAGTATTTCCATCAGTATCCATCACATCTATATCAGCACCACAACTAATAAGTAGATGAGTTGTCATAGAACATGGATATCTAAAAAAAAAAGAATATTATCGATAAAATTTTAACTAAAATGATTTAGAATTAATTCTACTCAATAAGATTTAATATGCCTTTTGTTGAAGGATTTATACATGAATGAAGTAAAGATGAACCATTTTCCATCAATCTATATTGATATCGAATAATATATCGTATCAATTTATATAAATCTCGACGATGATTCATAGATAATTCTTGTTTTTCTTCTAAATTTTCATTATATATCAATCGAGCAACAATTGTAATTAAATGAAGTAAAATAATAAAATATGAATCAAAATTTTCCATATATCGTTTTGATACAAGTATATAATTTAATATATTAAACAAACGAAGTATATCTTCAATAGATATATCTATATGATCAACAAATTTCATTCGTGCAAAAACAGAAATAAAACGATGCAATCGTTCAGGTTGACAATTCATAGTATATTTTTGTTTAAGATCTAATGCATAAAACCACCAACGAAGACAATCATTATATTTATGATTATGAGCTAGAATAACTCCATAATAATAAATAATATCATGATAATCATCTTGATCATCACCAAGAAGACGTTGTTGAATTAATATTGATTCAATAACTAACGCATCTTTTGTATTCGAACAAAGAAGTTGATTAAATTCATCTAATGTTTGACATTCACGACGATATTGAAATATTTCCAAAGATTCTGTAGTTATTTGTTTAGGTAAATTTTTTGCTTTTCTTAATTGAAATGTTTCAATTAGATATTCAGCTGTTTTATTTAAATCACCAATATGATATATACATCCAGAAAAGCTTGTTGCAAGTAATTCTTTTGCTTCAATCCATTCAAGATCTGAACAATAATTTTCGAAAATATTAACTAAATTTATTTCACCAAAAAGAGCAGCTCGCATAAGTGGAGTGACTTTTCTTTTAATATCACGATAATTTAATGCGCCATGTTCAAGTAAAAATTTTGTAATTTTTATTGATCGAGATCTAACTGCATAATAAAGAGCTGTTTGACCATTTTCATCTTGTTCATTAATATTACATTGAACTTCATTGACTAAATAATCAACTATCAATGGAAATTGACGACCTGCACTAAGCATTAGATTAGTATAATTGCCTTTTTTTGTTTGATATGGATTAGCACCATGTTCAATTAAATAACGTGTTAATTCAATATTATTATGATAGCAAGCAGCGCGAAGAGCTGTACTATGTGTTTTTATTAAATGATTAATATTTGCATTTCCAAGTTCAATTAATAATTTAACAATATTAAAATTATTAACTGCAGCAGCTGTCCAAAGAGGTGATACACCTTCAGCAATATCTGAATGATTATCTATTGAATTAAGAACAATTGTGCCTAATGCTTCAATATCAGGTTTAAAACGCATAAGTAACATGCGTACAATATGTTCATGTTGATAATAACATGCTGCTAATAATGGTGTCCATTTGGATTGATAATATGTAAATAATTTATTGATACATTTTGGATTTTGTTTTAAATATATTTCAAGTGAAATACTATGACCTTGACGAACAGCATTATGTATTAATTCTTCATTATCAACAGACGATGATTGAAATGACATATTATACAAAATAAAATATATGATATTCGTGATACGTTTATCTAACCGTAAATAACCATTCAGACGTACAAATAAATAGTATCTTCGTCACGAAACACGCTGCGAAACGTTCGATTCAAAGCATGTTTTCTTTCCTATATGTAATGTATACAGAACAGAACACATGTCACATGTTGATTACAATATTCGTATTTTTCGAAAGTAATAAAGGATAACAAAACAAAAAATATTATAGTAAATCATATATATATATTTCTAGTGAAAACTATCAGAATTCGGTTTCAAAATATATGAGAATTACGATAAAGTTTTAAGTATAAAATTATGATTTTATTTAGGTTCCTATTATCAGTAAGCAATGAATACTTGGTTATATAGTTTAAAATTCTATTTGTCATAGAATTAATTTATTGTAATAATAAAAGGAAATAAATATAACTATCAATAAATAGTATGAAGAAGTTTAACGAAAGCATCATATCTTGAATCTGCTTTTCCATCAGGAAGAGCTCGTTCAGCAATACCTTGAAAATCTGATTGTGGTACTTTATATTCTCGTAATGTACTTGTTAAATCGAGATCTGCAATGAGTTTATCAATAGCTTCAGCTACTTTCATTGCTTGTTCACGTGAATCATTAGAAGATTGAGTTGTAGTAGTTGTAATGAATGGTAAAAGTGAAGCAAGTTGTTTAACTTCATTATCAGGTAGATGTTTAGCTTGAATTTCTACAGTACGAGCAAGAGTTAAACATGAACAGATACCATGTGGAATGGAATAACTGAATAGAATTAAAAAGAAAATAAATTTTTATCTTATTAAAGATATAACTTACGGTGCTCCAAGTTGATAGCCAACTGCATGTGAGGGTCCTATAGGACCAATAAGATCATCAGACCAAAGACTTAACCAAGCACCAATAAGTGCTCGTTGTCGTGCTTCAACATCCTTTGGATTTCTATGACATGCTCGTAATGATTCGAATAATGAACCTGCACCTTCTCTAGCTAATACTCGAACAGGAAGTGGAGCATTAGGACGATATTGTTGTTCAACACAATGATCTAAAGCTCGTATACCAGCTAAGAATAAAATTATTCATTATTGATATATGAAAAAGATTGATTTATTTTACTTGAAAGCCATAAACGATTTGGTGTACTAAGTGACAAATTAGCATCAAGTATTAGAGCAGATGAACCAATCTCACTAGCCTTTTTTCCAACTTTTTTTCCTTCTTCATCTTAATTTTGAAAATAAATTTTTATATTTATGAAACTAGAAAATATACTTGATTTACTTACTAGTATAACCAGCAAGAATAGTTAATTCTGCTGCTGATAATGTTGTTGGAATACTAATTAATTTGAGCAATATACCTGTTTCTTCTTTATAAAAACTTATTACTATCTTGGCTGCATCAATAGGTGATCCACCGCCAACACCTATAATTCCATCACATTTACTTTCTTTTAGTTCATTTACACATTTTTTAATATCTTCAACAGGAGCATGTTGTTTAATAGAACTAAAAACACCACTTATTTGACAATTAGCAGCTTTTTTTACTTGTTCTATCACATCTGTTTTCGTTGCTAATGAATTTCCAGTTATAATAAGTGGTTTACTGATAGAAAGATCACGAAGTATATCAGCTAGTTTAGCAAGGGAACCAATACCATATTCAACTCTTTCTTGAAAAATAAAAAACTTTTTAAATGATTATATAGAAATATCTATGTAATTTACTTAAAATAGTAGGTACATAAGTTCCTGAAGTTGCAGTTTGAACAGTCGTTGGAATAATAAAAGACGACATATCGATAGAATTATATAAGATAGAATGAATAGAAAAGCAACATCATATTATATAGTATTTACATCCATTGTAATGATTACAAAGCATGTTCTTGACATGTGACTGGTTGGACACTTTTACTGTGGGATACACAAGTGAAAGAAACCGTAAAAAGTATTTATAGAAGTTTATTTTTATCATTTAAAGCAATGCACTGTTATGAGTACTCATATTTTCTAATATGATAATGAATTAGGTATAAGTAAGAAGAAAAAAAGACCTTCGATATGACAAACGAAAAGTAAGAGAAAAAAACAAGGTAAAGAATACATATATGATAAGAAAACGAAAAAAAAGAGAGAGTAACGTCTTATGACGTCAACAAATCTTATTGGACATTGTTAAACCCATCTGTTTTTATAACAAAAATGTATCATCGTTCTAGAATTTCTTAGAAATAAGTTATATACATTGAATTGTTCTAAATAAATGTTTTTAAAAATAATGTATCATAAAATATAGATAAATTTATATGTAAAAATCTGAATATTTATTCTATATAAAGAAATAAATGGATGATTTTATTTTGAGATTTACTAAGATATACCAGCAGTATGTAAATACATATTATATTTCGAAAAAATATTAAAAAAGTATGTTTTATTCGGTGAAAAAATTTCTAATCAATGTTTTTCAATAAAATTCACAAGTAATGATGAAAATTGATTATGTTTAAATGATATTTTTTGTTTTCGTATTAAACGAGCACATAAACATTTTAATTGACCAACACCTATTTTTTTTCTAAGATGTACTTTAACATGAGTATTTGTTGCGGATTCAAGTGGTGTTTGACCATTATCATTAACACAATCTGGATGTGCTCGACCAGTATCACAAAGAAGATTAATAATAAATAATATATTTTCAATATCATCATTACGTTGAGCAATTAAATGTAATGGTGTATTTCGTTTTAAATCAATTGCATCAATATTAGCACCACATTGAAGAAGAAGACGAACTGTATTATAACATGGATATCTAGATTAAGAATAAGTATTAATAATCTTATCGAAAGTAAAATAAAAATACATACTTGCATAATGCCATTATATGACTATCATTTACACATGATAATCCTGTCATCATACTTAAATGCAATAAAGTCCAGCATGATAAATTTTCAGTAGTTATATAACAACTTTTAACAGACATGACCAATATACGATAGATTTCATTCATCGAAGATGAGAATCGTTGTTTGTCAGATATCTATAAATTAAAAAAAAAATTAAGATTTAGTTTCAATATTAAATAAATACATACATGACTAATAACTGTAATTAAATAAAATATTGTTAATAGATTATGATCATTATGTCGACCATTTGAAAGTTCATTATTAAGTGCATTTAAAATTTCTAAGATAGCTTTTTCTGATATATGATCTAAATCATTTATAATCATTTCAGCAAAAATATGAACAAAATCTCTTAAATGCCATTTATCAAAATTAATTTTATGTTGTTTTCGTAAATCAAGTTCATATAACCAAAATCGTAATGATATATCATATTGTTGTATATCAGCTAATATAGTGCCATAAAATCTTATAGAATGACGATATCGTTTATTTTTTTGACCTAAAATTCTTTCTTGTATACGTAATGATTCAATATGTAATTCAGTATTTGATTCAGATATAAGTTGATTGAATTGATTTAATGTTTGACATTCATGAGAATAATTATATGCTTCAATAAATAAATTAGATGAGATTGTTTTCGGAAGATTTTTTTCTTGTCTCCATTTATATGCTTTTGTCATATGTTCAATCGCTTTATCAAGGTTATAATTTCTAGATTCAATATTTGCATAAGATGCAGCAAGTAATTCTCTTCCTTCAATCCATTCTAAATCTGATGAACAATAATTTTCAAATGCATCAACTAAATCTTCTCTTGCTTCTAATGCAGCCCACATTAATGGTGTGATTACATTTACTGAGATATTTTTTGCTCCATGCTCTAATAATAATTGAATAACATCAAGTGAACCACCATCAATAGCATAATGTAATGATGTTCGACCATCTTGATCATATTCATTTGGATTACATTTTAACTCATGAAGAAAATATGTTAACATATGTATATGTCCACGATAAGCACTCAACATGAAATTTGTATAATTTCCATCTCGAACAAGTTGCATATCAGCACCATGCGATATTAAATATTGTGCTATATCAAGACGACCAATATATGAAGCAGCTCGAAGTGGTGAACTACGTGTAATTGATAAATGATTGACATTTGCATTACCTTCTTCAATTAATAATTTAACAATATCAAAACTACCAACAGCTGCAGCAACCCAAAGTGCTGATACACCATACATTACTTCATGAACAAAATCAAGTTTAACATCACCTGTTGCATTAATATCGGGTTTAAAACGACGTAATAACATACGTACAATATTTTCATGTTTATAAAAACATGCAGCAATTAATAATGTCCATTTTGATCGTCCATATATGAATAATTGATCGATATTTTCAAGAGAATATCGATTTAAATATGTTTCAAGCGAAAAAACACGTCCTTGTCGTGTAGCTCGATGTATAAGATCATTATTATATGTCGATGAATATTTAAATAACATATCACTATGAAAATTATCGTTACATGCTTGCATGTTTTCACTCTTACCACATTGAAAATTTTATTCTGATACTGCGCAAACACAACCGCATGATTCAGAAGAGAACAGAACAAAAACAGAGCGAAAAATACTAATATACGACATAAGTAGATGTAGGCGAACCTGCTTGCTATGGCATGTACTTAAAACGCTTCATAAGACAAAAAATTCGTTAAAGGTATCATTCAATACATGTTCGTTCTCTTTCTTTCTGTCCGTCGGGGTAGTTTTTTTTCTATTGTTTTCTTTCTTGACAAGCTTTTTTTGTGTTGTTGATGTGTAATAACTCACATATTTTCCAGTAATAATTATATAATTCTGTATTACATATCATCTTTCTTATAATGTCTTATGTAAATATCTATTATTTCTAAGTGAAGAGTGTCTAATTTAACTTCATACATAAAAACTTAATGTGGTTGAGTAAAATTCAATTCTATTCATATAATTGAAAATTTGATTGTTTTCAAGTAATTTTAAAGTGTATTGAAAATTTATTTCTTCTATGTTGTACAAATGCAACTATAGATCTATGAACAAAGTTTCATAAAATTCAATCTCTTTACACTTATTAATCATTCAAATGTATTTTAAATGAATTATTTCGTTAACAATCGTGGAATTTCAAATGTTGTATATATGTTCGTTGCGAAATTACGCAAAAAGCTTCTTGATAGAACTACTCTAATATTACGCGCACAACTGCAATAGAGTATGACATAGTGAAAATGATTGATTTTGATAATGAGTGTAATGTATTACTAAACGAAAACAATAATTATTTATAGTAACAAACATTAGTGAAAAACATCATAACAATGTATTCAACGTTAAAATAAGAAAAATATTGTTTGGCTACGATTTTAAAATACACCTATTTGCGTACTTGTAACTACTCGTATTCAAATTGTTGTTCATTACTTTTCTGTATTATAAACTAATCGTTACAAAATCGCAATTAACTGTTCTGAAAATCTAGCATTTATTCGAACATTTGTGATTATATTCAATCAGATTTTATATATTCGTAGCTAATTTACTATTATTATATTTATCCGAAAAATGAAAAGTCTTTTCAATAAAGAAATATACTGACATTTGATTTATTTTTTTTATGAATAAAAATAAAGTAAAATAACATATTAACAAACCATCTTAAGAAATACAAACTTCAACCATTTAAACACATAATCTTTGTCTAACGTTGGAAAATTCAATTGAGATATAGCATTGTAATATTGATCAGCAGAAATACGTAAATCTTCGTTAAAAGCACTTTCTAATAGAAATTCTTCTGCAGATTCAAAGGGATTGCCTTGATGGGTAATTGTCTTTAACTTTAATCGCCATTCTTCATATGAGACTTTTTCTAATTGAACACCAGAATACTGTATACTATCAACTATATTCTTAAATGGTATTTTAGAATGTGAATTGAGTACATGATAGATTTTTCCATTTATGTCGGATGTAAGACGACTCAAATAGACAATTGTTTTAGCAGTAAAATCAACTGGTAGGCCATGTAAATGGGTATTAATTTGTGTTCCACGATAACAACCTAACTTCATGATTGAAGCAAGTAGTAATGTATGAATATCATTTACATTACATGCTCCCGTTTCAGTAGCAGCACATATTGATCCAAGACGATAAATAACTACTGGTAAGCCTAACTGACTCGCCTTAGTAATGAGTTTTTCTGCTACCCATTTACTCTGTCCATAACCACCGGCTAAACCATCTGGAGGAATTTTATCGATTGATATCTCCATATTAATACCAGATGATAATACACTCAGTGTCGAGATATATTGTACAGGTATACATATTGAGCTGTATGTTGCTAGACGAATGATCTCTCGAGTACCACATACATTTGGGCCATATAATTGACTGTATGGAAGTACAAAATTAACAGTAGCACCACAATGAAAAATTATATCGATTTGTTTAGCCAATGATTCGTATGTTTCACTATCTAATCCAAAATAAGTTTTAGCTAAATCACCTTTTAATGATACAATACGTTTTTCATAATTTTCTTCCCATATCTGATAGAAAAGCATATTTTTTCGAATGCGATCTAAAGGATTCGCTGAAGATTCACATCGTACCAGACAAACAAATTTACAATCAAATGGATAAACTCTTAATAATTCTGCTAGTAAGAAAGCACCCACAAATCCAGTAGTTCCTGTAATAAATATCAATGAAGGAGAACAAGTTGTTTTCTTACATTCATTCACATTAATTTTTAAATCCAATTGAGAATCATTTAATAATTGTGGCACAATAGAATGAGACATTGAAGAAAGTTGAGAAGGATCTTTGATAAGAGATGTCAATCGTTGAAGAGTCATAGTAGGTTCAAAGAGTACACTTATTGGTACAGGTACTCCAAAGTTATTTTCAATCATACGAGATAATCGCACAGCTGTCAATGAATCATTACCATTAGATATTAATAAATGTTCTTCATCATCTTTTGATATAGATTGTCCTGTTGCTGTTTCTATAATAGTTTTAAGTCGTTGATCAATAGTCTTAGATGCTTTTAGTCGATCTGCATAATATGCAGCTAGTTTATGACGACAGGGCTTGAATGAAGATGTAAGAAGACCATTTTCTGGTGTAAAAGGTTCAAAATCGACAACTAAATGTGATGGAAATTCATGTTTTCGTAGTGATTCTTTTGTGGCAATTGAACGAAGATCGTTTAGAATTGCATCACAAAATTGAGAATTTGGATTATTCATATCGAAATTTATTATATTATGCTCAAGAGCAAACGTTTGTGCATAGGCTCTATTAGGTACAACTACTGCAGCAACAGAATCTGATAGAAGATCGCCATGAATATAGATTTGTTCAACGAACGAACTTTGAATGTAAATACTTTGAAGATACTCAGGTGATACAAATTGTCCTTGTGAAAGTTTAAAGAAACTTTTTTTACGATCGATAACATGCAAATCAGGTTTACCATCAGAATTAGTGCGTAATTCAACAATATCACCAGTACGGAAAAATCCATCATCAGTTAGAGCTGCACGAGTTTCTTCAGGATTATTCATATATCCCGAAAACATTTGTTTCGTTTTTGTTAAAATTTCTCCTCGTGGATAAGGTTTATCATCGATTGTATAACCCATTTCTGGTACAGATTCAAGACGATACCGAATATCGTTTTCAACAGCTTGGTTATATGCCACACTTCCACATTCAGTAATTCCATATGATTCATTGATTCGACATTTTGAAAAGCATCGTTTCATAAAATTGAATACAGCTGGACTAACTTTAGCACCTCCTACTGTAATCGATTCACAACGTGTCGGAATCAGTTTAGAAAATTGTTCTAGTAAACGTTTTTCTTTTCTTGCTCTGGCTTCTAATGAATGATGAACGTTAATTAATGAACAAGCTGTTTTAAATTCCGCATATATTTTATTCCAAATACTTGGTGGAGCTGCAAATGATGTAGGTCGAACTAAAGCTAGTTCTTCCATTAATCTATTGACATCTCCTGTTGAGAATCCGATACGTCCTCCAGAAATAAAAGTTCCAATAGCTGCATCACGATCTGAGGCCCATGCGAATGGTCGATAGGCAAATGTAACTCTATCAAAATTATATGAAATGAACCAATTTCGAAATGTTTCTCGATACGCTTCTTCAGAAATTATAGAACCTTTAGGAAAACCAGAACTTCCACTAGTATATATAACCGTGAGACAATCGGTAGGTTTTATAATGACACGATCATATTTTTTGGTAGAACCAATATTTTCAATATCGCCCATATAATGAAGAGTAAATCTGTTTGCATGAACTTGTGCTAAAATGACATTTAGTATATTATATAGAAAAAAAAATTAACAAATATTTTTACGGTAAAATTTCTCAAATAAATAGTTTTCATATTGCTAAGCATGCTTCAAAATTCTTTAGTTTGAAAATGAATCGAAGCAGAAGTCAGGAAAGAAATGCATTTTAAAGTAAACCTTGTACTGTATGATATGATAAATATAGTGTACTTACCCTTGATCGTCTCGCAAATAGGATCCATGCACACGATACGACGAAGTGATGGACATTCTGCACCTAATTGAATAAATCTTAGTAGCATTTGTTTGTCACAAACAACTACAGAAACTTGAGTATTATTAATAACGAAAGCAATTTCACGATTGTCAAATAAACAGTATATCGGTACACTGATAAAACTTTGTAACATGCATGCAAAATCAGTGATCATCCATTCAGGTCGATTTGCTGCACAGATGGCAAGATAACCACGTGGTTCAATTAAATGTCGCAATCCATTTCCAAAATTTTTTGTTCGATTACCTATTGTTTTATATGTTATCCATGAATATGAATCGATATATACTGGTGGATTGGTTTCATCAAAATCTCGAGTACCCATGCAATAACGGTTCGAGAATATCTTAAGTGCTTTCTCGATACCGGCTGCCATATCCACTGGAACAATTCCATTGTCAGATATTGGCCCATAAGAAAACTCTTGTACCATTTGATGAGGATGTGGTGGATCTTTTGTTTTCATACATTGTTTACAGTAATCATAATCTGTACAAATAGTGCAATTATAACGAAATTCACCTTCCCAAATGGTTCCTTGACAATTATCACAATACCAGTGACTTGGTTGTGTTTTAGTATAAATATTCATTTTGATTTTGAACAAAAAAAATTTTTTCATTTAAACATAACTAATTTATGAAAATCTGAAAAAATAAATATTATCAGTTATATTTTGAATTAACTATACTATTGCATTATTAATACTTCCTATATAATATGAATGAGAAAAGTCATGATATTGTCATATATATATTTTACCAACATACTTTATTTGCTAATAAACATATCTATATACTTATCTAAGCTCACCGTCACTGACTCTTTTGTTTGATACATCAAAAATAAACCTGTGTTTATCTGATGTCAACTCTTTATTAAATATTACATTCTATGTTTCTTACCTTCATACGTGATTATTTTTCTCAAATAAAGCAAAAACATTGTGAGCCCGTGAGTATCAAATAAAAATAAATGCTGTTAGTTGTTGATAACTATCGTATATAAATACTGCAAAGCTGATGAAATAACTGACTCATAAACCATGCTTTTGTCATGACTAAGTATAATGCGAAACTCTCGATATTGTAACACGTACACGATGACAAATTTTTTTTTGTGTTCGTGTTTTTTCCTTTATGAATAACAGATTCGTTAAATATTAGTCACTATCGCATTTCTTATCAACAAGTAAGTCGTTTTCGTTGAATATCATATACTTGGAAATAATAAAAAGTCATCTGCTGTTATCAATTATTCTAATCTTGAAAAGAAAAGATTTTGCTATCATTAATGTTAAACGTAAATGTATTCCGTACATATAAATACTCAGCAGAATAAATTATCAAATAGTATGATGTATTTGTTCAGAAGTTAATTGTATAATCAAACAAAATATATATTACAGGTGTTTTGTTTTAACAATTTTATTTATCAACTCTTATGATATATTCATTTTCTTGTTCTATTTCATATAGAATATCATACAATCGTGACTAGGAAGTTAACTTTTATCGTAAAATTATCATCAATATTTGTTAGTTGTTATTTGGCTGAAACACGTATGATTACTTAGAATTGATGAATAACTTATTTAAATAAAAAACAATCTTGTGTATCATTGATTAATAAGTTCATTTGTTTTATTGATAAAGAAATAAATAGTTATATAGAGGTTATTAATTCTTTATGCATATTCACATATATCTTCTATTTCTCAGATTCTGACTTAATGAAAAGTAGTTTTCCATATGGCATTCATTATATAAACTTTTATTTCTTTTTAAATAAAATATTTATGAAAAATTTAGTTTCTTTCTTATATATTAATATTGATTACATTAGCAAGATGTAATCATTTTGATTGTGTATTTTAATTTTTGAAAAAAATTGAATGTGTTTTGAAGTAATTATTTAATGCAAAGTTGATTCATTGATTCATAGGTCCAGCGAAAGAATCAACAAAAGTTTTCATATAAAGTAGAGATGGTACTTTTCCACTAAATTCTTTTTTATATGCTGTTTCAGAAGATCCTTTTCTCCACATAGCTAATGTAAGTGGAATAATTCCATCAGCTGGAGTACGACGAGTATGTGCATAACGTCCAATTGGTGCTGTTGTTGATCTAACAGGATATTCGCTTGTATTTTGCTGCTCATTATCTGAAGTACGATAAGCTCGATTTTGCCAAAAGGAACGTGATTGATTGTAAGCTAATGGTAGTGGAAATGCTTGAGGAGTACCTATAAAAGTAAAACAAAGATTTAATAGTTAATAATAAAAATCTTAGTTTTGTTTACCGATATAATCTGTCCGATATGTTGAAGTTATTTGATTTTTTAACGCTTGTTTTATTTCCTCAGTCATAATTGGAGCCAGAGTTATGGGTTGACGAGACGATACATGAGGAAAATGTGGATGAATATGAGGTCGATTAGCTCGAGGTGTATTCGGACGAATGGGACCTTCTCGTTTGACATTATTGTTCTGTGGATAATCAGTTGTATACGATGTTGTACCCACTGGATCGCTTAATTGATAAGGACAACCAATCAAAAATCTTTGACCAGCCGGAACACCTTCATCATCATTTGATATTTGTTTCAAAATAGAATATTCCCGTTGATATGTTGTTTGATAGGCTCTATTTCGAGTTGACGGATGAGGTGTATTAGGTTGCGATCGAATATATGTTTCCATTCTCTTTTTCACCTCTACACTAACGAGAGTAATAGTCAAGAGTCAGCAAACATTACAGAATTATAAAGAATGATTCTTTTCAAATAATTAAAGAAAAAAAAAGAGTAACAGAACGCAAAAACTTCTCCCAGGCGACCTACTCTCAATCTAATAATAATTGTTGATCGAAGAGAAAAAGAAATCCGATTGATTGACAAACAAGCAGTCAATGACACGAAGAAAAATAAAGGTAACAAGAGAAAAACGGCTGGCAGTTTTCCCTTAGTGTCAATTGCAAGATCTACTACTTGTTAAATTGACAAGATATTATTGATTGTAACAAAAAACTAAACTAACAAAAGAAAAAATCCAGAGGTAATATTTATAATTCTTTTAACAATTAGTCTATTACTTTTAAGTTTTTCTTTTTTCATTTTTCAAATAGGAAGGAAATGAAAAGGAAAATATTCCATTTATAATTATAAAGAAAAAAATATTCACAACAATAAGTAAAGTGAGTTAAAAGAAAAAGAAATTGAAAAATAAGTATATGCACCTTGACGTCAAATTTTCACACAAACACATTAAAATAAAAACTTATTCATTAGACCTTTAAAATCAAATGCATTCATGTAGATGAAAAAAACATTATTTATAAATGTACACTTAGAGTGTTAGTTGTTTTTACAACATATAGAAGAGAATCATCAATAAAATTGATTCTTTACAAAAAAAACTTCTATTTTCTTTTTGTCACAATGAAACTTAAGAGAAAAAAAAACATTGAATTTTTACATTATGAATAAAATTGATTTGATTATTTTTACAATTTATTCAATTTTTCTTTCAGAAAAGTTAACTAATCGACTAGGATTTTTCTATATAAACAAATGAATGAATAGTTCAGCATATTTTATCATCAGACAGAAATGATATGTGTTTAATACATTAACAGCAATAATGAATAAAAGCAAGTCGTAGATCATTAAGGTTATTTATATAAGAAAGATGAGAAAAACGACTGGTATATATATTCATGTTTACTCTACTGCCACATATGACTTGACATTGTTAATATTCAAACATAACAACTGTGTCTGAATAAGAAAGTATATGATTCGAATCAACTGTATTCTCACATATGTTATTTTTTTCATAAAAATGAACGTTTCTGTAAGCTTGAAACATGCTGAATCAATTATTAAAAATTAATTCGAAAGCAATTCTTTGTAATGTCAAGATTTTCTGATACTATTTCTTAACATAAATAGAAAGCACAATTACTCATTGAACTAGCTGAATTATTCGAAAAATATCGTTTATATAGTTTAAATATTAAACATCAATGACAAATGAATATTTCATTTAATCTGTAATATCTCAGTTCTAATGTGTATTATTTCTTTAGTATCTATAACAATATTTGTAATGACATTGGATATGACAGTCTCTGTATATAAATTTGATTTTTTTGTATCTTCATATAAAATATCGAATGATAAAAACTGATATTCTTTTTTTTATTTAATAATATTATAATGAAATATTTTATTTATTTAAAAACTGTTTGCACAAAACATCTATTATAAAATTCATATTATCCCATTAACATAAGCAAGCATATCAATATAATTAACACACGAAAAAAAATTCAAATATTCATAAGCAAGTCACAAGAAAACAAGACTAAACAAATACATGATGAGTTTCGGAAAAAACAGAAATTAACATTTTTATTCAGTGTGTGTGTGTACCATTAAAAAATTCGAATATAAGATAGAATAATAGATTGTCGTATACAAGGAATAGATAATGCAAAGCTCATATAAGATTAGAAAAGAAGACAAAAAAAGAAAAAAGCAGATGTATCTGATAAAGACTGAGAACATAAATTTAAGAAGACACTCGGTGATATATATATATATATGTATTTAAATATAAATGTTAAATTTATCCATTACGTTTTATACTTTCTCGTGCAGCATTTATCAAAGGTACCAGACTTTGTAATGGTTTTGAAACTTTTAGAAATTGATGCTATTAAAGAAAGATATATTTAGTTTTTTCGTATAAAAAAATAAATGACTAACTTGAAGAAGTTGAGATGCAGTAGCACGTTTATCTACATCAACTTCAAGACATTGATCAAGAAAATCTTCAAATAATGGTGACAGTTTTTCTCGACCTTGTATTTCTGGTTTGCCATTAGTTGCAATTAAATAAAGCGCCTAAAATTATTTCAATACAAATATTTTTTGTTAAATATCCTCCGTATGATCAACCTACCCTCAATGGACTTTCATTAAGATATGGTGGTTCTCCTATATAAAATAAATTAATAAAAACTAAATTCTAATTCATTCTTTACCTTCAATCATTTCTATAGCCATAATACCTAAACTCCCTATAATAATATAAAGACTTTTATTTTATCTTTATAAAATATTTCTTCAATACATACATATATCAACTTTAGGTCCATACTGTTTCCTTGTTACTACTTCCGGAGCCATCCTATATTACAAATATTTCTTAATAAATTTTTAATTATGTAATAAATCCTACCAATAAGGTGTTCCAACCATAGTTTGACGTTTAGTTTGATCTTGAGTAATTTGTGCACAAAATCCAAAATCAGTTAATTCTATATATAATTAAAATTCTCATGAGATAAACAAAACATAGAAAAGATTCAAATACTTACTGACATTTCCTTCATTTCCCAAAAGAATATTATCACTTTTAATATCTCGATGTATAACATGATTTTTATGAAGAAATTCTAATGCTTGTAAAACTTCTCGACAAACAGCTGCTATATGTCCTTCTTCCATAATAGTTTCTGTTACAACATCTGTTAATGATCCACCAGGAAGATATTCCATAACAACCTGTATGAAATGATTATTTCAAAACAATTTCATAGTAGAGAAATTTTTACCCAAAGTTCGTCATCAACTAGATAAGAATCTTTATAATTAACAATATTAATATGACGATTATGTTTCATAACTGCTATTTCATTGATGATTAATTCTTTTTTTGGTTGATTTGCTAAATTCATTTGTTTAATAGCAACTTCTTCTCCTGTTGCTAATTCATATGCTAATAGTACTGTTCCACTCGCTCTGAAAAAAAACAAAGAATTAGATTAGTTTTTATATTTATTAAAATATCATTGTCTTCTCTTTTTAAATGAAATCGAATCCATAGTGACTTCTAATACTATTGTTCTTTCAATCAATTTATCAACTTATATACGTAATCCTCATAGGGATAACCGAAGTTTATTATTGACATCTTATAGGAATATATATAAAAGGTCAATTCTTATATCAAATGTGAGTTGAAAGAAAAAAAAGATTATTTACCCTTGTCCAATTTTATCTTTGCTCTTATATTTTTTATTTGGATCTCCATGTGATACAATTAATCGTAATTTTACAAAAATTTCTTCATCAGTTAATTGTTTACGTTTTGATTTATCGCTAGTAATTGATGGAGATGAATTTGATCTTTGAGTATCATCCTCAATAGGTTTTGTATACTACAAAACAAAAACAAATACAAACATTTGTTTCATAATCATTATTTTAATATGTACAATGCTCTTAGTTTTTTCTGGTCTCGCAGCAATTGGTGGAGGTATTTCCTCATTATCAGGTCTATTTATTGTCTCATTCGATATTTGTTCGTGTACCTAGAAACAAAAAATATATTAAGAAAAAAAAGAAAATAATTTCGTTTTTACCGATGGTGTTCGATCAGACACAAGTATAACTGTTTGACGAAATTTATCCGTTAAATCACCGGATATTGATGGTGTTAAATCTAAAAGAAAATAGAATTTATTATTATTTTTATTTAAATGAACAAAATTTTGTTACTTTTACAACTTGAATACATAAATTTTGATTCTCTTTTACTTGCCGCATGTTGATAAAAATCTAATGCATCAATAACTGCTTGTGGATTTTGTTTTTGTTCTTGTTTTGTTATTTTTGAATGTGTTAATAAACTTGACCATAATTCTGGCATACCATCAAATTCACCTGTCGATGAATTATATGTTACATGAATTGGATGATTAAAATTCGTTGGACGTGAAATTGTTAATTTCGATGGATCTTTTTTTGACCAATCTAGAAAATTAATTTTCAAAAATAGTTAAGAAAAGAGAATTTTTGTATTAGTTTCAAACCTTTACTAGTTGATTTTTTCTTTTTATTTGATTCTTCATCGGGAAGACGAGGTAATGGCTTCATTTCGAGACTTGATGTCGAACTAAAGAAAAAACAAATGATTTGATAAAAAAAATCATTTGATTAATGAATAGATATTTACCCTGAGATGGAATCGACACGTACGGGCGGCGGTGGCGGCCGCAGCTCGTCCATCATCGATATCTGAAAGTATACTGATAAAAAAGATCTATACCCAAAACAATACAAACTGATCCCATAAACACGACAACGATCCATTAATAGTTATATCCATACTATACATATATGTATTCTTAAGAAATGATATCAGTAAAAAGGAGAAATCTATAAATTTTATTTGTCTATAGGAATAACCAATCAAATACGAGTCCGATTCTCATGTATTGTTGTTATAACTTCACACGCAGATATATAATTAATGTTTATCTATACAACTTCTTCTTTATATATACGCTGAAAATGAAACATATTTATGTATAAAGAATGTTTTCATTATTATCAAATGTCAACATAATTACAAGGATGTTTCTTAAATCGATAGAGAAATTCGGATGAATATATATTACTTTGTTTCATTAGGAAAGATTGTCTAAAAATTGACATAAAAATAAATGACAATTTTTTATTCTATATTATTTCGATGATCTAAATTGAATTAATATTATAATTAACAAGATTTTCATCTGTTGCTTTAATAAAATATGACTGAAATTATTCTTCAAACTGCATTATTCATCGAAAATTAATATATCGTTTTTAAATTGAAATTCTCTTTTAATAAATTGTTAATTCAAAAGATATTTTATTTACAAGATGAATATTATGTATTTCTATGATAATAATATCTTATTTTCATCAAAAATTTGGATAGAAAAATGTTAAATATGGAATAGGAACTGATTGGTTTAAGATCAAAAAGAATGAGCTATAAATCTTTTTTTTATATATATGTATGTATGTAATGTATAAATGCAGTTTACATCATACTTTATTTGCCTATTCTATATATTGTATATTGATCGAGAACGAGTTAATACAAACTTAATATTTTCGATAAAAAATTAAATATAAAAAAAAACGAACAATTAAAGATTCTTATAAATTTTTAAAACCGTAGTTAGTAATAATATATTTTTGTAATTGATGATCAATTTTGTCTGAGTAGAAGTGACATCTGTTCTGAGTCACTATGGTATAATAAATTTCTTCTTATTGTATTCTATCGTAAATAATGGATGGTCATACAACTATTTCCTTTTATAGATGATTTAACATATTTTTTTCTTTTTTTGTTATTAATAATGTTTCTATTAATTGTTAATACTGATAAAAAGAACTATATGAATTCTATCATATTTTCGATCGGCAGACTTCGATATTTTCCACACAATCAAGTATGTTATTTAATTAATAATTCTTTTTAATAGAACTTTTATCTTTACTTTCATCAATTGACATTAACCGTATAAATCATTTTTTTTCTTACACTTTCTCTCGTCGATACACTCGAACAAAAAACCCCGAAAAAGAGAAGATCGATACGCTTCATCAATTTTTCCTTCCTTCATTGTCACCAATATCCTTACTTCATTTTATTTGCAGTTTCTGCTGATTCCTTATCTGTATCAACTCATTTCGACCTATTTATGTCTGTTCGTCGGAGAACTGTAAGAAAGCATTTACATGATAATCAGAATAATAAACGATATTCTCAAACAATTACTGATAATACTGAACAACAAGAACAAATATCATCTCAATCACCTTATATAACATTACTTACGAATAAACTTGGAATACCAAAAGAAAAAGCGTTCGTTTAATATATATTTATTTTATTTATTTTCTATTTAAATAATTATAGGGAAAGAGCATGTGTAGCAACTGGTTTTCGTTCAGTACAATTAGCAACTGATTGGTGAGAAAAAAAGTTTTTTTTTATTATATTTTTTTTTATTTATTAATAGGCTTCTTCAAAGAACTGAGGATGATAAATTAATTCGAACTGAATTTATCATACTTCTTTGTCCTGATGAACGTCTCAATGAACAAATACGAACATTTGCTGGTGAAACATTTCGTTTTCTTGTTAAAGAAACTGCATTAAGAGATCGACAACATTTACGTGCTTTTAAACTATCGAGTTTTTTTTATGTAATCATTTGAAAATAATAATTCATATGAAAAAAGAAAAACTAATATGTATTATTTTCATCTTTTTTCTTTCATTAGGTACCTGATCAATTTGTTCATACATTACATAAAATATTCGATTCTGTTATTCGTCAATATCATAGTTTATTTAAACAATCATTACGTGTTGTTTTACATTCAACAAGTGATTATCTTATGCTTATACCAGATAATGAAAGTAAAAAAGTCGTTGAAAATATATTCGATATGATTAAACAACAATTTGAACAAATAGGTTTGTTGATTTTGTTTTTCTATAAAATAAATTTTTACTTTTTTTTATTTTAAGTACCAAATGTTTCAATATTACCAGCAAAAAAATTAGCTCATTTAACACTTACTCATGGTTTATCATCTTTATTTAATCTTTCTACTGAACAACGAACAGCATTATTACAACTTGGAAAAATTTGTCTTGATCTAGATCGTTCTATTAATTGGTCTCTTCGATTATATTCTCGTGAACAAACTTCTGCAAATGAAGTTCGTTTCGTTTCTTTTTTCTCTTTCGTTCTAAACTCAAATATACGAATATTTTTCTTTTTTTTTTCTTCTTTTTTTTTAAGGTTGTATATCGAGTTGTTGCATCAACAAGGGAGACAACTATTCACAATTGTCTTTTATTAAAAGTGAATGATCTATTTATGGTACTTGATAATGGTCGAACAGGCGAAGAAGAAAATGTCTTTGGTGAGTAAGCTTTAATTAAGTTGTCTTTTGTGTTCTTTCTTGATATATTTCTTTGCTTCTCGCTTTTTCGCTTTCTTCTCTATCATCTATCAAGTGAAAGAATAAGAACATTTCATCATGCGTCTATGTGTTTGTGTGGCCTTTGAGAGACTCCGCTCTTTCTCTCTTACACACACATAAAATGTTCTTCGTTTCTCTAACAACGCACAAGGCACAAGACACAGTCACCTTCGATGCTTCTTTGCTGGATGTACGTCTTGCGCACAGGAGAGAACGAAGAGAGAGAGAGAGAGCAAGCAAGAGAGAGAGAGAAAAGCAAACGACGCACACACACACACACACACATACACAAGCTACATCATAGCACAACAAGCGAGTAGCAATAGTATAGTGGTAGTAGTAAGAGTAGTAGTTGGAGTAGTGTGCTGCCAGTGGCGTCGGCTCATTCTTCCTTTCTTGCTTTCGACTGAAGCGCACACGCGTGAGTGTCGTGTAGACAATATTGAAGTTTTGCGTTTCAAGAAAGAAGAAGACGAGTTCTAGATAATATTTGGGTATGCTTACGAGAAAGTTGACGAAGAATTCAGCAACAATGAATGGATCTTCATCACCCAAACCTGTTCGACGTTTTCATCAACGTGCATTGATATGGGATTTAGAAGAAACACGTGCTTTATTAGATCTACTTAAAGATGAACGAATATTTAAAGCTATTGAAAGTGTTCGTACACGTGAAATCTATCATGAAATAGCTGAACGTCTTAAACAATCTGGTTTTAATCGTGATTGGAATCAAATACGTGGTCGTGTAAAAAATTTAAAATTTTCATATAAACAAGCTCGTGCTTTACATGAAGAGCAAGGTCAATCAACGCTAGCTTGTCGTTTCTATGATGATCTTCATTATTTATTTGGTCATAAGTATAAACGACAACGAAGTAAGAAACGTTCTTTATCTCAACACCACCAACAACAACAGCAACATATACAAACTAGCTTAAATATTGAGAATGAGAACGAGGAAATTGTTTTGAATATTAATAATAACGAACCCGATGATATCAGTGATGATGATGACAAGGCAAGAGAGTTTTGTTTTTTGTTTTTTTGTTTTTCCTAAGAAATCCTTTTCTTTTCGTCGTCCAGTCTATGAATGAAAATGACGAACAACAAGAATTTCTTGATGATTCGTCACCTGATTATATTCAACGACCAGAAGATCCATATCCAATACTTCAATCAACACGAACGAATTCAAATCTAATTCAGAATGAAGAAGATACACATGATATGACTGAAAATAACGAAGAACAGGAACAAACAGGAACAGATGAAATGGATATTTATCTTAAATCTATGTCACCATATAAACATCAAGCCTATCTTATTGATGATGTTCTTCAATCAGTTTTTAATAAATTTCTTGTTGCACAACAACAATCTGAACAACGTTTTATGTCATTTATTGATGAACAAAAACGTATTGATCAAGAACGTGAAGAACGAATACATCGAGAACAACGACAACATCAATTAGAACTTGTACAACTTATTATAAATCAAGGTAGACAATATGATTATATTGAAGAAAAAAAAATCAATAAGATATTTATTCAGTATAATAAATCAATGAAATAAATTATCATAATATTAGTCTAGAATAAAACAAAAAGAAACTTTGTATTTTTTATTGAATTGGTTAATATTTGACTTTTTATCTATTTGTAGGTCGTTCTCATGCGACTGGTGAAGAAGGTCTATATCCATTAAAACATTTAAGAAAAACATCCGAAACAGATGCATGGACAGTACATAAGTATATTGAAAATATTTCTAAATAGTCAATAAAAAAATAGAGATTTATTTTTATTTCTTAAAGATCTGCATCATTGGTAAATGAAAATGCTCCAACAAATCCTACAGATATTCCAGAAATAAATAATTCAGTACCACCAGTTGATGAAAAAAATCGTAATAGTATGATTGAAATTCGAACTTTATCAAAAAGATCAATTATGATTCCACGTGTAAATCATACAGTAAACATATTTCATAATTAGTTTTATTGATGTAAGAAAAAAAATAAAAAACAAAATTTTCGTTTCAGAATGGTCGATTAGATCCATTAACATCAACAACTATTTCAGGTTTAATTCGATTATTTTGTATTCGTCATGGTGAACGTGTTGATTTTGCATTTGGGCCATCTTGGCCAGAAACAGCTTTTGATAAAACTGGTATGCTTTTAAATATCTCAGTTTTTTTGTTTTTTGCATTTTGAAATCTTTAAGGAAAATATCGTCGTATAAATTTAAATATGCCAATAACATTACCACGTCGTCGAAATCCATTTCGTGATTTTATTGGTGATTCTCCTATAACTGAAATCGGTGCCACTCAAGCTCGATTAACTGGTGAAGCATTAGCTGCAAATGAATCTCTTGCGCAATATTGTTATTCATCACCATCACTTCGTTGTATTCAAACAGCATCTTGTATTCTTCAAGGTATATTTATTTAATTTGAAACGTAAAATTATTTCATTGAATTTATTTAGGTATGGGAGTTGAAGATCGAGTAAAGATTCGTATTGAACCTGGTTTATTTGAATTTTTGGGTTGGTATGAACGTGGTTTACCAACATTATTTACTTCATCGGATATGAATATTAATGAAGATGAAGAAGTTAATTTATATAATATTGATAAAAACTATCGACCCATTATTCCATTAGAAAAATTATCTCGTGATGAAAAAGCTATTGATTATTATAATCGATCATTTAAAGTTACACAACAAATAACTGATAAACATAAATTGACTGGTAAACAAAACCGCAATTAGAATTAATTTGTTTTTGTTTTTTTTTTATATTTCTTAGGTGCTAATATATTTTTTATTGGTCATGCCGCAACACTTGAAGTTTGTACACGTCAATTATGTTCACTTCCACCTCGTTCTTATTCAGATTTTAATGGTGTTATTCGAAAAGTACCATATTTAGGTTTACAATTATGTGAAAGAAATCCATCTGATGGACAATGGTCATTAAAAGCACCACCTATTCCACCATTACAACATGCAAATAATGTGGCATATGATTGGCAATCTATGAAATAAACTTATTCTTTTTTTTCTCTCTCTCTCTCTCCCTCTCGCTTTCTTGCATTCTTTGTATTTGGATCGTACAGTGTTTTCTTTTACTTGATAGTTTTGCTGAATAAATGAAAATACTAAGTTTTATTTAATAATTTTTAGATCGTATGCATCAAAAAAATTTAAAAGATTCTAATTTATCAAAAGATCCAATTCATTCACGATTAATCGGTGAAAATTCTAAGAAATTTCAAACGATTGAACAAGATATTAGTAAGTATTTGTATTGAATTTAATGATTCTAGTATGAATTTTTTTTTTTCCTAACTAGCTATCGATAATGAAAACACTCAGATTTTAATTGATACGGATAATGACGAGGAATTCACTTCAAGTGGTGTTAGTGAAGACGAAGAAGAAGACGGAGAGGAAGAAGAAGAAGATGAAAATATGTTAACGGAAAATAGTATTGAAGAAGGTAAACTATTTTCTCTTTAGAAAAATAAATAAAAACATCGAAACAATATTTTAGCTAATCTTCTTCAACCATTAAATCAATGTACACATCAAAATAATCTATCAAATACAAATCAGTATGTTTTAATTATTATGATCAGATATGCACTAAATCCAAGTTTGAAAATAATTCTTTTCTCTTGATTCCAGAGGTTTATTTCTATATGTCAACAAACAGAAATATATTCTTTTGCTTGAAATTATCAAGTACATAATAGATTATATTTACTGCTTGATGACATTGAGTATCGGAATACGTTTAACATGAAGAGAAAAGAGTCTTAGCTAAATCGAAATAGTTTGTTAAAAAACTAATTTCAATAGGGATTAAGTGCATATCTAATTTTGATCTCTTATTTTTATAGAAATATTCATATAAAAGAAACAATTCAAATAAATAATGATCATATCATTGCCCAAACAATGGCTATTTTGGCTTCTAAACATCGGTATGTAATTAAGTAATAATTCAAATAATATATCTGTAGTAAAGAAAATCTTACATAAATTTAATACTCTATGAATGAGAAATAAGTTTACTTAAGTGTCACTTATTTTCAATAGTTTGAAAAAGCTTGTCGACTTTATATTACATCTTGAGAAAAAATCTTACTTGATCGATAATTTCTATGAATTGAAAAGAAAAATCAACATCCGTTTTTCTGACTTAAGATAAGATTGCAAAAAAAAAAGAATTTCCTTCCTGTTATGAAATCATTTTCCTCTTTAATCTGAGACATTTTTAAAATGAAATATTTTTTTTTCTATTTATCTTATAGACATGAGAGATCTACTAATTCTCCGGTAAGCATTTTCTTTAAATTATAATCTATTATTCTATATTGATAGTTTTTAGCCAACTGAAAATGAAATTCTTCTTTTTATTGGTCCATGTCCATTATATTCTCTAGCTTCTTCATTTGGTCTTGATATGCATCATGGTCTAACACATTTTCCATGTCGTGATGTATTAGCTAATGGTGGTGGACATCTATCTGCTCGACCATTATGGCAACATTTAACATCATTACATAATTTAAATCTTTCATCATCATGTCTTCTTATATCTCATCTTATTCTTCATGGTTATTCAATTCCAACTCCAATAATATTCAATTCTAATCATACAAATAATATTCTTCGTACAACACCACGTTATTCATTATATAAAATATGTCCTTTAACTAAATATGGTGTTTATGGTATTCAATTTGAACATGGTACACGTTTATGTGGTGGGTATACATGTAATACAAATATTTATTCACATTTAATATCATTTCATAAAATGACACATGATGCATCATTACGTTTATCACGTGCTATTGCATTTAATGATGAACGTTTTCAATTTGAATTCAATGAAATTATTGTTAATGAATATATAAATACTTCTCTAATGAAATCATCACGACAATTAAGAAAACAATCTCGATTAATAAGCGATGGTTGTGATTTAATGAAAAAAAAATCTATTAAGAAAAACCCGGTGAAAAAAATTTAGAAAATTTATTTTGATATTTTTTATTTTGTCAGATCAAATTCTATGAATGACATTGTCTTTCTATTCACGAACTTTCATTATATTCCTGAACATTATTTTATTTATTTTAAACATGAAAAAGCTACGTTTTTTGTTTTCCAAAAAAAAAAGAAAGAAAAACAAGAATTAAAATAAAAATTGTTATAAATATATATATGAAATTCTAATTTTATTTCAGTCTACTAAGATTTATTTCAGATGTTTATAAAATATGTAGATTAATTGAAATCTTTTTATTAAATAAAATATCTATCTGGAATTTGAAAGTATTCATATAATATTTCTATTTTTAATCTATAGAAGAGAGAATCTAATATTAGAAATGTCGTTGTTATAGTAAATATGAAATAAAAAGACGTAGATTGAAGATATTTCTAGAAGAACTTTAATTCAAAGTGATTTTCAAATCTAATAACCTTTATTATAGATTAATAGTAAACATTTCCATACGAATGAAAAATGTTAGTAGAAAACTATTTCACGCTGATGATGTTGTTGTATATGGGTGTCGTGAAAGCCATATAGGATCTGCTCTTTCTCTTGGATCAAGAACAAGTGTATGTCGAAGTACATCAACAAGATTGGCATCTCGAGATGGAGGTACATTTTTTGGTGGATGATGAGATGGATGTACATAACGAGGTGGTACTAAATAAGTTATACGATAAAGAACGGCACCCCATGACCAAACATCTGCTTTTGATGTATTCAACATCGTATGATTTCTTGGAACGTTCGCCACTTCAGGTGCTGAATATAACCATGTACCATTACTTCCAACTCTATGATGGATAGAATTTTCAATAATATTAAAAATAAAATGAAGAGAGATATTTACCTATGTTTATATGCTTTTTGAGCAATACCAAGATCAACTAATTTGACTCTATTACCAGGAAATACAACTAGATTTTGAGGTTTAATATCAAGGTGTACCTAAAATGAAAATGATGTAAAAATCATAAAGAAAAAAAATAGTTAAAATTACAATTTTATGATTATGAAGAGCCATTGCAATATTAACAAATTGTCTCCATAATTCTTTTCTTTCCACAGCTGGAATACGTTGTCGTTCTTTGAGAGTTTTTTCTAAATCTTTTTCACCTAATTCCATGACAAGAAAAGCAAGACCACTTTGTCGATGAAAATCAAAATCATACATATTAACTACATGACTCGATGCTCGTGCTAAACGTTTTGACATTTCAATTTCTGTAAGAATCGATTGAGCAAGCATTTCTGCTTCTCGACTACTAAATGTGACCAATGATACAACTTTAATAGCTACTTGTTTATCTTTATAATAGAGAAAACAGAAGAGATTTTTATTATTTTAAAAGAAAAATCTTTTTTTTCTTACTGGCTGGAACATTACGAGCTGAATAGACAGCACCAAACGCACCGGAACCAAGTTCATGACCAAATCTATATTGATCTTTATTAATCGTTATTAATCGACGTTCAACTGCTAAATTTTCAATAGTATAACGCCAATCTGATGGTAATAATGTTGGCTGATGTCCTTCTATTTATTATTAACAGAACAAAAAAACAAATTTTCTTGAAAAAACCTATTTTTAAGATAATTTCATACCAGAACGGGATGATGCCGATTCCCCTTGACCCATTTGTGTACTACTAAATACAGAAAAAAAAGAGTGAAACTAGTAAGAAAAACAACTCTCAAAAAAGCATGAAAATAAATGATGATGATATAAATGATAAAAATTGACAACATACGAAAGTACTATATACAGGTAGGCAACATAGAAGAAAAAAGAAAAAAAAACATGAGCAAACACTAAAGAACGAAATCATACTTTTCCTACATCACGATAATAATCACATTTAATTACTAAGCATACCTTTCATTAATAAGTAATACAATACAGATGAAAAATAGCTTCTAGTTGAAAAGTGTATCATAAACATTCATGTTTGCCTTTTAAAAATTGTAGATGGACAGTTTGACAATATTGATTTTTGTTTTTATTGAATAAGTGACAAAAATATATATCACATGTCATACGTGAATATTTCTCGATGTAACATTATCTAGATATTTTCTTACTTTTTCGTCAATTTTTATTTCTTTTAATTTATAAACATAACAGATCGTTATTTTCTTCTCATGTTACTTATTATTATTGTACTCTAAATCATTGATATTACGTTGTTTGGATAGAAAACTATTATTTGTTAAATTTTTTTTGAAGAATAAGATAAAATGTACTAAATTCTTTTTCTTTCAAATCAAACGAAATTTGATAAATATGATTCACTGTTTTTATGATAGAAATAAATCACGTCAATAACATGGTCTTATCGAATACGTCATGATATATTGTAATTATAACTATGCGAATATAAAAGATAAACAAAATCATGACTATACAAAGATAATACTAGGTTATATTCATATTGATTTTTGATTGTATTCTAAATTTAAATTTTTAATTCATAGTGTAGTAATAGAGATAAAAATGAAATACGACTTTAGGCTCATAAGTTTGTGAAATAAATCAGAAAATGAAGAACTAACGAGGGAACATATTTAGATTCTATATTTTGACGATGGTTAAATCTCAATAAGACATGAAAAATCTGAGGGTGTGGGTGTGAGTGTGTTATTTTCTCATCTACAGCCACACCCACATCAACCCAAACGCATCTATCATGCATACAGCGCGATACTCATATTTAATTTCAGCGATTGTAAGTGATTTTTTTGATGTTGTTTGTGTTGCCTGAAGAATCTATCCATCCAATTTTAACAAATACATGATTCCTATGGTGAAATCATTTTTCCGAATCAAAAAAGTAAATATTGAGATCTTGATTGTACTTCTGTTGAATTTAAATATGACACTGAACAAGTTTTGAAAATCAAGGAAAAGAAGAAAACGAAAAATTTACAATTTTCGTATTCTTCGCGAAAGTACGCCATCTGCACATTACGAATTTGTTATGATTGATTGAATCATTTGATGTCGTACTACTCACTATTAAGACTCGACAGATCCAACAAATTTACAACTTAGATTTTATCCAAAGATCTCCAATCTTACCTAAACAGTTCCATACATTTCTCAGAAAAGCAATAGAAAACGTATCCGTCATAACTAATGATTGGTTAATATTTACTCAATTTTTTATCAAAATCATATGTTGCTCATCACCTTTATATACCCGTGCAGAAAGAGCATGTTATTTTCATCCTGTGAGTCATTCAAAATAAAATAGTGTAATCAATCACATGTTTTTTCTTGCTTTTATCTATGAGCTTTGGACTTATCTATCACACACAGTCATGGGCAAGAGTTTTTCGTCGAATCAACCACGACTTGAATTACTTCCTAATGAACTTTTCATTGAAATTTTTCAATATATCGATTCCACTGATCTTCGTAATTTCAAAGGTCTTAATAAACGAATTCATGACATAATCGAAGCTTTGAGAATCGATATTAATGTCCATCGTATGGAAACAGTGAATACTACATTTTTATCTGCTTTTAATCCATCACAAATTATTCGTCTGGACATGCGTAATCCCTGGTCCTCAATGAATTTGACGAGCATGATGAAACTTCGATCGCTCACACTTGACTGCGGTTGTCTTACACGCAAACAAGTAGATCAGGTAATCGCAATATTGTAAAGAACAGTGATTTCAAATTAATAGTATTTATTTAGATGACCACACTCACTCTACCTTATTTGGAGCGGCTTTCCGTTCACAATGCAACTCTTGAACTGCAAAAACTTTTACTTGCCACAATTTTTCGTGGCGAACATTTTCCTTCGCTCAAAATATGTCAACTTAAATTAAAACCTACTCATGATTTAAAACTCTGCAATACTAACCGATTACCAAACAACACCGTTCGTTCTTTGACTATCAACAGCAAATGGAGCTGGCACGAATTCGAGTTTTTACTGAATCAATTACCTCATTTGCGTCGACTGGAAATAAATCTTTCAGAGCTATATTCGGTGTCAGTTACGTCTATTCATCCTCGTTCATCAATCAAAAATCTACGAATCACATTGAATGATCCGTTAAATGATCTGAAAAAATTACTGAAACTGACACCCAATCTCGTTCGATTACGTATTCGTGGTAGTTTCGGAAGCAGTAGTGCGCTCGAGCATTTTAATGAGATAGCCAAAGTGCTGTCCGATCTTGTGCCTGGTCTTAAATATTTCGACTGCGAACTATACTCTTATTCATGGGAGGGTAGCAATGTACAGAATATACGATGGCTTCATCGACTCTATAAAGATGTCCAATGTCTTTGGGGACAACATCGAAACCAGTGTTATGCTACTGATATTAACACTTATCCAACTCCTAACGAGTATGAATGTGAGTATCTTGATGAATCTGTTTTTTAAGCTAAGAAAATAGGTGCAGACTGTTTTGGTTGATTCTTAAAAAAATACTATTGATTTTTCTGTACTCAGAAAGTGAGTACACTCTCAAATCGGCCAGTGTGTTCGTCCGACCGGTTATTTACACGATAACTCTTAAAAACATGAACCGATTGTCGCCAAACTTGCGCGTAGATTTGTCTCATCCATATCTCGGTCGAGTTCAAACATGAGAATAATTGGTCGCAACCTTGATGATTACAGAAAAAAAATGTGAGGTAAAGCGAGAGAAAAGAAAATAATCATTGGAGAGGTACGAATAAGTTTTCATTTATGCCAGCAACTAAAGGCTTGGGAACTAACTCGTCATCGCATCGTATGTGATAAAAAAAGGACATCTGCAGGGCTAAGGAGAAAGTGTATTAGTGCGCTCAAGGATGATTTTGTTGTCAGACAGTTTGATGGAAATCAGTCTACCATCGGCTAGTTCTACTTTTTGTAGTATACATAATCCTCGGACTCAGAATCTTGGTTCTCACATTTATTTCGAAAATAATTTTGCATTTAAAACTCAAAGATAGAATCATTTCTCATTTAGATATTGCACAACCAATTTCCTGGCCGTCATCACCATATCGTAGTTATTATGATGATGATCGTCTCGGAAAGTATAGTTAAACAACTAAGATGATGATGATGATGATGGATTTATCGATTATGATCTGGGACTCGTGATAACTACAAGCAAAACTATGGTTCATCGTCATATAGTGGAAATAATACTTAAACAAGAATGAAACTCTTATACTAGAAAGAAACATTATTCATTGAATCAATATTATTAGAAATAAAGACAGTTAGATCTTTTTATTCGTGAAAATATAAACAAGATAATAGTCATTTCAAAAGAAAGATGACAAAATATTTATCGTTTTTTTCAAAGCTATATTTTGTCTTGATTAGGATGGGTGAGTGTGGGTAGGTTTCTGTATATTGATATAAATATTTTCTTGTACTCATGACTTTCTGTTATTATTATAAACAAGATAGTATCATCTTTGTCTATCATTTCAGTATGTATCAATAGTAGTGTTTACATTTGTTGACAGAGTGTGTCAACATATCCTTAGTAATCGAAAATAATATACATATAGAGACAATGTCAAACATTGTTTATATTAACTGTAAGTTTGACATAAATATGGTAAAAATACTGAAATTAAATTAGATTAATTTACGTATTACACCAATGAGATTTATAAAATTGATGATCTAATTGAGAAGAAATTTCTATCGACCAATAGATGATTAATAAGAGACGATGATTGTGTATCATAATACAGTTACTAATGTGTTTGATTTTACAATATATTTGTTTCTAAGAAAGTAAATATCCATCATATATTAATTAATGATAGAAGTGAACAACTAACAATCCAATTAAAAAAAAGTTTTTTTCAAGGGTATATATTAGACTACAATACTCCGCATATCAATATTTCGATATTTATTAGTAGAAAAATATTAGCTTATTCAACGTGATGATCACCGTACAAAATAGATAATTAAAAGACTGTATCCAATTCTTCAGCTTATACAATGCAGAACAAATACCCAACTATAAAAGTCATATTGAGTAAAAGAAATTACATAATCAGTATTATCATATTAAAGATATCGTAGTATATAACTTTATTCAATCGTACTTTAAATAGAATTGTCAAAAATATAATTCTAAAGTCTTTATTTCACCAATTCTCTTAATATATTAAATATGAATATAATGTGTACTATAATCATATTTGCATTTGCACTTCTCTCACATAGAATATAAATTATTCTTTATGAATAATGATTTTTGACGAAAATATTTCATTGAGTTTTTTTTCTAATAGAAAATATAAGTTTATTTTAAAAAATAGGACATTTAAAGTTGTATCAAAAATATAAAAACAGTTTTGTTACAATACGAATAACTGTATTCGATTTACAAAGACACATAGAAATGTTCAACTCTAACCATTTGATGCATAATTAATTAATATTCGAGTTTCATAATCTTTTATTTCATCAATTGTGTAACCAGATGCATCAATAATACCAAAATTTGAGTTAAGTTCATCTAATTTATCGTCACCAATTATTTTAAGTACATCATACAATTGACACAATGTTCGATAACGATGGAAATATTCTAAACAATCTTGATCATCCTGTGGCCATCGGTTATCAACATCATTGATACTAACAAGACTCATTGGACAACGACCTTCATGTTGCTCCCAATCTTGGTTATGTGCTGATAAATTTTGATCAGCATATTCATCTACTAAACATTCTTCTTCTTTCATTCCACAGAGATAACACCAAGTAAGTTGACATCGTTCGCATACCATATGTGTACAACCATCATCTTTAATACCAGTCAATTGACAATGTGGACATTGTTGTTTAGAACCTGAATCAATAGCTTTTTCAACCATTTCTTTATATGATTGAAGCTCAATACATCGAGATTCATGTATCGATTCATCATCTACTATTTCATGAAGACATATTAAACATGATTTTTTACGACATGAAGGATGTTGACAAGTGAGAAAACGAAGAGGACATGCATCAGTTGTATGAATTTCAACATACGGACAAAATGGACCTATGAATAAGTAAAATTATGTTAGAGAATAAATAGTTGATGGAAATACATACATTGAGCTAATTTTTCATTATCTTGAAGACAATCTTTCGACCAAAATAATGGAAGTACACAAGATATATATTGTTCATAACATTGTTGCTCCCTAAGAATTTCATCAACTTCTGTTAAATCGAATGCTTCTTGACATACACCACATAATAATGGATAGTTTAGAGTAGGATGACCAAACATTACATTAATCATTAATTCTATACATGTATTGCAAGTAAACGCTCCACAGCTATTACTTTTACATTTGAGTTTAGTATCACCATCATTGATAGTTATTTGACATATACCACATGTCATAATAATATTTTTTTCCGATGATGTCTCCACTTCAGTGGTTGGCGGTGGTATATTCTGAGTTTCGGTTTCTGCAGACATTGTATTTTCATAAAATATGAAATATTAAAATTTACGAGGCTCTATTTCTCATAAAAACACGAATAAATGTTAGTTTTGCTTTTAAATCATATGATATTTATAGGAGGTAGATTCTAGCTATTTCATCATTACATTTTTATTCGAGTATGACCAATACTCTTGCTGTTCTTTGACTTATAAGGTGATGCAAAGTATAGTAAACTATTTTACTTATGAATCACAGGTAAAATTACAATGATATTACGCAAGTATCGATGTAGTCATTCACGTGACACAAAGAAAGAGAAAAATACCTCACTTATGTTAGCTTTACACGGATGATGAAAAATTTCCTTATATGGAATAATGTAATATTATATTTACATCATATTTTAGTGAAACATATTGATAGCATTTCGTTTATTGTTTAATTTTTCTACTGCAATATATTTGTCAGATGAGTAATTCTATTATATAAAAAGAAATTTTAATATTCAAAATCTTTTTAAATATGTACAATGTATGTTTAATCGAGTGAATAGAAAATGCTAGGGATTTTGAAAAAATATTTTTTCTTATCTATAAATGGTTGTTTATCAGCGTTGTTGCAAATAAGAATGAAGATTTTCATTTGTAAGCACGACTTTTAAATGATTATACGAAGAGCCAAGAAATTTAGAAAGTACAATGATTGAAAGTAGAGTTTAAATTGAAATATTCCTGATATATATTAACTAAATTGGTGTTTATTTGTCGAAGAATAATAACATTTCACATGTGAATCAAAATATAGAGTAAGCACAGGATTGGCAGATATCAATTCTTTAATATCTTTTTTATTGAAAATATGATGCATTTCAATGTATGAATAGGTATAAAAAATCTAATATCCAGGTACCCTTGTTGTAATTAAAGAAACTTGTGAAAAATGTACTGTGTAATACATTAGACACTAGACAAGTGTTTTAATATATATTCAAGTAACTTCTATATTGAAAACATGAATAAGAATTCAAGGACATTACCAAGAAAATGAAGAGATAATAGAACGAAAGGTTTGAGTATTTGAGTTCCTCAAACTGTCATCTATACTGTATGATTCACTTGATCAAGAAATTTAAGTATTTGAATTCAAGATAAGAAAAAAGCAAGAGTTCGACTTAGATGCTTATTCCTCTAGATGTCTCTACAATACAATAAGTAAATGGTATCATTTGTTCAAAATTTGGAAATCAATAAAATATTCTAAATTCTATAAATTGTTTTCATAAAATTTTCATATATTAAAACTTGATTTTTGAACAAAAATAAATTTCGCAATAACAGAACATGCACTATGTCCTCACCCGGCTGCTGACGATTGTTGTTTGTTTACGAAATAGTTTTTTTTAATTATTGTTATTATTTTGTAAGCGTTTGACTGACTAGTACTGTGACATTACAGTGCTAGATTTAAGTAATAGTTTTATTTAAAACACAGTATAGACATATCTTTTTATATCTTTGGGATATTGCTTTTTTGAGCACCCGAGGATTATTTTCTAACTCTGTCGTCATATACATTTTCAAACAATTCACTCCACATCAACAATCATCAAAACAATTTAGAAAACTCTACATTATTACCATTATGGCCGACAAGCAATGTTTGTGAAGAAAACGATGATTACGAAAGTTACGAAAGCATTCATCAAGAAGAAGAACGACAACAACCAATTTATAAATATCAACAAGAGGGGGGACAAGGTGAAATTAAATCATCTCACAGCAAAATCAATTATTTGGGAACGAGGCAAATGGTCGACAATATTAATACCAATAGTGAACAACGACAGTTTAATGGAGGAGGTAATGGATTAAATAACAGCAGCAGTATCAGTCGAAAAAAAGGAAATAATGGTAAACAAGAAAGATAAATAGACCTTGAATATATAATTATATCATATATTTTATGATTAATAGGTGTTGGTGGTAGTGATTTGACGGCTTCTCCAAAATATAATAAAACAAATTCACGTGGATATAACAAAGAAATTCAACAACAAAAACAAAACCGAGGACATAATAATAATAATACTAATAACAATACTCGAGAACAAAGAAATAGTGGTAATGCAAGATATCGAAATAATGAACAAAATAAGCCTTATCAGGTAAGTTTTTTTTACATAATTCAATTTATTTGATTCTTAATCGGATTTTATAATAGAATGAACGAAGTGATCATGTTGATGTGGATGATGATAATGTCGATGATGACGTTACAAGTGATGTATTTGATTTTGATGATCAATATTCAAATAAACGTGGCAGTGTTAGTGGTACAAAAAAGACAAATATGAGTCATTTACTTAATTTTCATTACCTTGATAAACAACGTAATAATATTCGTGGTAATCGTCGATCATCTAATTCAGGTTATTATTCAAATAATCGATGGATATCAAATGGAAATTCTTCCTATAGACAATCATTTTCCAAAGAACAATTTCTTCAAGCAAAGTAAAATAAACTCATTTATTTATTTCCCTTATTCTATTTCAAATAATATTTAGTTGTCAATTTGTTGTACAAAAAGGTTTAATTGATTATTCAGTACATTTTGCTGATCCAGACTTAGCTATTGATTGGTCATGTGTTGAACAAGTTCGACTTCATTCAATGCAAACTCTTAAATGTCCGATTTGTCTATCTGAACCACAAGCAGGAAAAATAACACGTTGTGGACATGTTTATTGTTGGTCTTGTTTATTACATTATTTAGCATTAAGTGATAAACCATGGAGAAAATGTCCTGTTTGTTCTGAATCAATTTATAAACAAGATATTCGAAGGTTTATTTTTTATTCTTTTGGAAAAACATTTTGTTTAAAAAAAAAGAATTTTTTAGTGTTCGAGGAATTACTTCACGATCTTTAAAAGCTGGCGATTGGATTACATTTCGATTAATGTGTCGTGAACGTGGTTCAGCTCTTTTTTTCCCACGAAATAATTTTAATGCAAATGTTTTACAACATGAACCAGAATGTCTTGTTATGGAAGCAAATAAACAACAATATGCTCATTTATTATCTGCTGATAATGAAATAATTTTGAATGAAATAATTGAAAAAGAAAAATTAGAATTATTAAATCAATTAGAATATGATGGTGATCAACCTGAAGCTTGTTTTATAAAACAAGCATTAGAAGAAAATAATGTAAAATTTAAATTTATTTTTTTTTCAATTATATTTATTAGTTTATTTAGGCAAGAGAAAAACTTGTTCGAGAACGAGTTGATATAAAAAAGAATATAGAAGAAATTAAAGTAACATTAAAACCAGCGAAAGAAGAAGTAGAAGAAAAACTTTTACCAATAAAAGTATGTCATTGAAATAAGATAAAAAGATTTATAAATACAATTATTTAATTTTTAGCCTGTATTAGTATATGATGATGCGTTTGACAATAGCATAGTATCGACACAAGAAGGGAATTTCGATATTCATACTGAAGAAAAATCTGATACAAATATAACGTTAACTTCCGGTTAGTATTTATCTTCTTGTTTCCTAGGTTTTTGTCATTTATTTCTATATTTTAAAGATAAAAATCATCCTCAACCTGTATCAGCATCGAATATACAATCAACTCGACATTATTTCTATCAAGGTAAATAAATTCTTTATTGAATAAAATAATAAAATATGTTTTTATTTTAGCGGATGATATCTATCATGCATATTTAAATGGATTTAATACTCGAATGTTACTTCATGAATATAGTTCTTATCAACAATGTCCAGATGAACTTCATGTTCGAGTTGAAGCTATTGAAAGTTTTTTTATGACTGAAGTTAGTTAAATATATATGTGTATGATAAAAATATTTCTTTCTTTTTCTTTATCAAGGAACTTCGATCACAATTTCGTTCATTAAGTCATCTGCCATTAACATGTGAATTTCAAGTTATTGAAATTCGTCTTCATCCACCAATAATATCTCCATTAACAACGCAATTTTTTACTGGTATAAATATTTTCTTTATTTACCTAATTCTCTTTTAAAAAAAAATAAATTTATTTTAGAGGAAATTCATCGTCGTCGACAACATCGAACACGTAAAGAACGTTTAGAAAAACGAAGACAACAGGAAGCAGAATTTGTTGAAAGTCAAAAATTATTTTCTCATTGTAAATTAATTTTTCGAAATTAATTCTATAAAATATATTGACTGTTTTTCCCTTGTTAAAACAAATAATAGATCCACCTGAAATGATGTATATGCCGCAAGAAACTTTTCCTGTCAATGGAATAAATTCAGTAGAAGAATTTCCAGCTATGATTAGTACTGCAACATCTTCATCACCACCATCATCAGCATCAATACAATTATCTGATGAAAACTTTTCACCACCAACAAATGTTTCATTTGCTCAAATGCTTAAACAACAAGCGCCAGCTAATTTCAAACCAATCATAATAAATAAACCAATTGCAACAAAAACTTCAACAATTGAAATTTTAACAAAAACTAAAAAGAATAAAAAAAAGAAAGGTGACAATGATAGTGATGATGATCAAATTAATGATAATGACGAATATTATGCAGCAGTACCTAATTTTCATTCGAGTTTTAGTCTCGAGGGAGTATTTGATCGACTTAAACTAGGTTTGTATATCTTCGATTTATTCATTTTCAATAAGAAAACAAATTTTTTCTATTATAGTAAATGGTGAAGAACATCCGGTATCAGCAGGTAGTGAAGTTACAGGCAATGTTACAACAAAAAAGAAGAATAAAAAAACTAAACAAATCCTATTTGCTACTGGAATGGGTGGTCAAGCAAAACTGTGAAAATATATATTATTGAAAACTAAAACATCAAGTCGTTTGTTTATCTATTTGTTTGTTTGTTTTTTTTCTTTTCTTTTCTATTTTTGCCTTTAGTTTTCTCTATTTGTCTGTTTCGAATAAATATATACATATACATATATTCTCGGCGCTAACTTAAACTAGCTCTTTGCTTCTTTTTTTTTCAAATTTCGAAAATATATTGACAATAGAATTGTAAATGAAATTGTTATTCAATTCAAATTATTGTATTTATAAAGCAAAAAAAAGGATGGTATTATTTTGAATTTATATAAATACAGGGTGGTCCGTAAATAACGGAACAAAAAAATTGAATATCTCTCTTACGGCTCGAACAAAGAAGCTGATTTTTTTACCAGTGATAAAGGCATGTATGAGCTTTATATTCATAAGGACATGCCTTGACAGATCCTCTATGAAGTGACTCTATTGACGTCAACAAGAAAACTTTGCTTTTCCACACCCTAGGATAAAAGAAGTACACAGGATGTTGAAAAAGTCACTTAATTGAAAAGAAAATAGAATATCTTCACTATGGATGTCCATTATCAGATACATATTGTTGTCTTTTTCCATTTATGAAAAAGTAAAAATTTCTTGTTGAAGTTAATAGCGTCACTTCATAGAGGATCTGTCAAAACATGTTCTTATGAATATAGAGCTCATACATGCCTTTATCACTGGTAAAAAAATCAGTTTCTTTGCTCGAGCCATAAGGAAGATACTCAATTTTTTGTTTTTTTGTCTCGTTACTTATGGGCCACCCTGTATATTAAATAAATTGTAAGTTCTACACTGATTTTTTGTTTATTAATTGCATCAATCATTTTCCATGTAATATGAATTTCAATGTTTTCATTTATTATTTATATATGCATGTCTGTTAGACATGAATTTCTTATTAAGAAATGTTCTTATTATTTACCGAAGAAAAGAACGAGACAAAAATTATAACTTATTGTGTATCTCCGTAATATTTATTTGTTCTTTTCTTTTTTTTTTAACGATAAAATTCGTCAATGCAAACAAATATATGAATCATTTGATATCAAATTTCAATGTTTAAAACACGAGAATACTTTTGCTATATATTATGATATTGTGTCAAATTTAATCTTGAATTTAATGTATCGATAATTATATAAAATATATTTGTTTGTAAATAGTTTTATATAATGATGAACAAGAAGAAGATTTATTAAGAATCTTGAATTTGATTGTCAAATCTCTTATAGAATACTAGATAAAATAATAAAAATGACATGACTTAAAGTGCGTTTAATTATTTGTATAGATAAGAGAACATAAAGTGAAGTGTGTGTGTATATATATTGTTTGAAAGAAAAACGAGCGCCATCTGTTATGTATCGTATCAGTATATTCTGTGCAATGGAGGTGTATCGATGTGTATTGACGTTAGAATGGTATTGAGATCCTTTTGATTTTAGTTTGCTCAATTATTTTCGTATCTAATTGATATCATGGGTCCAAAACGAGCTGATAATGCTACTAAAGGAAGTAAAGCATCTCAAGGTAATATTATTCCATTAATTACGCTCCCGACTGACCCGACAACAGAGCAAGGTTTTTATATTTCTTTACATGTTTTTATTACTATATATGTATTATCAATTTACAGTAGAATCTCAACAATGTGTAGGAAAATTCGCTGTGGATTTAGAACTATGTTGTCGTGAACCACCTCCAGCGTATCCTGTTCCTATTCCTGTTTATATTCGTGGTCAATCACGAGCACCACCACCACCGCCGCCGCCACCACCACAAATATCTTCACAAATCCTGTTACAACCATCACAAAGTCAAATGCAACAACATTCTGGAACACATTCGGGAACATCAATTACTCCATTATTAATGGGAACGATTACTGAAGAACAGTTATCATCTACGGGAAAGAAAACATCTCGTTCAAGACTTGCTTCTGTTGCTCCTAGTGGAGTTTTCGTAGGAGCAGCAGGCATCGAAAGTGAGAGTAGACCACTTAGTGTTTTAGGTATATTGATTTGTTTGTTTTTTATATTTATAATTCAATCATTTCTCATTTATAGAAGAAGAACCACTAAAAATATCTCCATCACCCTATAAAACTTTTCATTTAATTGATGATATTGATTTCTTTCGTCCGAAATTATTGACAGATATAGTAAGCAATGAAACTGATTCTATCGATCAAATTACAACTCTTTATATGAAAGGTATGTTTTGTTTTCTTTGTTGATCTTATATTTCATTTTCAATATAATTATTCTATTCAGCTTGGCAACTTGATCAACATTTTATTGATATTTTAAAAAGAGTTCTTCCGTTACAAGAACAATTACATACACTCAAGTAACGTCTTTTTTTTTCTTATTCTGTATTAATTTTATTAAAAATATCTTTCTCTCTCCATAGTTTCAATTTTGTTGGTCTTAATCAACAGACATTTTCTGGATTTGTTGAATTATGTCAAGGAATAAAAAATTTAAAGTAAGTTCTTCTTTTTCTTCTTGTCGATTTATACTAATCGATTACATACTTTAGTAAATTTACCGTAAGCATTGTTAAATAAAAGAATATTACATAATTGAAAAGAAAGGTTAAAGAAATCTATTTTATTAATCGTTTTAGAAGTGTTTCACTCGATGGAAATCCATTAGCATCAGAATATTTTCATCTTTTAATTGAAAATGATGATTCAAAGTAAAATATTTCCTTCATAGATTTAACCTTTATTGAACATTATTTCAATAGAATTCTGAATTTATCTCTTCGTTTCTGTAATATTACTGATACAAATGCTGAACGACTTGCCAATGCTCTTGGAAATATGTCAAAACAAAATTGGAAATTATTAACACTTAATCTAAGTGGAAATCAAATTGGTGATAATGGTGGAAAATCATTTGCAACAGTAAATAATAAAATAATTTTTTCAATCAATAAATATCTTTTCTTAGGCATTACGATATAATCGAACGTTGATATCTCTTAATCTTTCGTCTAATTTTCTTACTGATAAAAGTGGAATTCTTTTAGCATTAGTAAGTATTTTATTATAATTATAAAATTTGATGTTTTTTACAAATTTCTTTAGATATGAATAGGGGTAGGTTTTTCCTTTAGTTTTTCTTACTAATTTTGTGGACATTGTTTGATAGAAAAACAAAATAATTCATGTGTGTATTTTATCAAACATAGTTTAAAATACTTACATGTGTTCTCACAGTTTTAAAAATATTTGCTTCTTTTTTTTATTTGAAAAAATTATTTGTTTATTTTTGTGTTAATGAAATTTAGTTTATCTCAAAAAAAAAACTAATTTAATATTATAATTAGGTTCTTCGAAAAATTGTTCTTACACAAGAAGAAATTGTTCATCGTCGATATTTACTTTCAAAACGTTATGCAGAAACACATCCAGATGAATGGAGATATACTGTTAGTTAAAAATAATGTTAAAGAAAAAAATGTTTACTTTATTATTTAAGGCAATATCACCAACACCTTCAAATTTTTCAACAAAAAGTAAATCAGGTCGAGAAAGTCGAGTTGAATGGAAACGTTTTACAGATCCAAATAAACGAAAATTAAATTCAACAAAAATTGCACAAATTATTGTGGTATGATTTATTTTCATACGATTTAATGCATACTTTCATTTGTTTAGGATAAACGTAATCGACCTGAATCTGGTAAAATAAAACAATCAAATCATTTTTTTTATTCAATTAAATTTTTGTAGAAGAACATCGTCCATCATCGGGAAGACAGAGTGATTTAAAACGAGGACGAAATGAAGGAAGTACTAGTCGTTCAACAGTACTTAATGTTGCATTGACAACTGGTAACACAGCTCGTCGTCCAGCTCCGAATACATTAAATACAAATACGAAGGAATCTGGTACGAAAAACTTATAATCATCCAGATAGTCATGCATTATAGAAATCGATCCCTCGATATATATAAATGCCCGGAGAGAGTAGGGACTGATTTGTTCTCACAAGTCTCATATCAGATATTGATTAGATACACTAGTAATCTAAATCGATAGATTTTTATTCTTCTAGATCAATCTCGAACAGCGGCTCCTGTACGTGTAAAAAAAATAGCAGCTGCTGTAAATGCTGCATCAAAAAAGAGTGTTTCAAAAGTTAAAGAAGAAGCTGAAGATACTCTTACCGAGGTAAATACATATTTTTCTTTTCTTTCCCGTTTTTTTCTATTTCTAAATCACAAAATAAAGGAAGTACTCAACTATATAAGTGTTCTATTCGATTTGGCTGTAAGTCGAATCAATTGTATATATTTAATCATATCATTTTATCCATATTTAATGTTTTTTTGCTTTATTATATTTGATATTCTTTAATCTGAATGTATAATCAAAATAAGTAACCGAGAAAAACCTCACTTTTTATTTGTCATTAGGAAGATTCATTTGATATGTTATCGCCAGAAGAGGTATATCTAGTATTTTATTTTTGTGCCTATATCTTATTTCTTGCTCGCTAAAAAATTCTCTTTTTTCTTTTATTTTAAATAAGAAAAACAAATATTTGAAATTCTTTTATTTAATAGTCAAATTCAATACAAAATAAACATACTGATCGTGAAAATCCATTATATGAAACAAATCAAATTGAAACACATGATGATGAAATATGGTTAAAAGGAAATTTTGTTTTAATAAATTTAAATTTATCACGTAAAATTCGAGATCTGTTTTTGTTCTTAAAAGAGAAAAAAATGTGAAAGTTCTTTTTCTTCAGGAAATCATTTAACAATGGATACTGTTAAAGAATTTCTTCTTTCTGTTCAACAACAATCAGCATTAACACATTTCAATGATGCCCTTAATATGTCATCATCATCAATAACAACAACAACAACACCATCATTAATGGATTTTTCTGGTCTTTGTCGACTTGAATTAAAAGTAAATATTTCTTTTTGTATATGAACTGAAATTCATACTTATAATAGAAAGAAAACCTTGATTGATCTTTAAAATCTTATTGAAAAAGAAAATCGATTTCATTTTATTTATTTATTTATTTATTAAAAAAGGGTATGAATGATATTTCAATAAAATCATCTGACTATCAATCATTGGAAACAATTCTTACTCAAAAAAATCCATCAACTCGTTTTCAACAATTTAAAGAACGTGAAACAAAAGAATTACTTGATCAACAATCTACTCAATCATCTCAACAACTTCAACCATCGGTACCAGATAAAGCAATAAATAGTTCAGAAAAAACGCGAACAGGAGCAATTCTAAAATCTACAAGTAAGTTCAATAACTAATTCTTCTCGTATTTATTAAAATATATATTTCAGATCAACGGCCATCATCACGATCAAAAGACTGATAATTTCTTTCTTTTTTTCTTTGCAATCAATTAAAACTATTTATAATAATTCTTAATCAAATAAAAATCTTGCTTATCTAATTTAATTATAGATTATAATTTACAGCTAGTTAAACAAATATTTTGTACTGAAAAGTAAAGTTTAAATGATGAATAAATATGAAAAACTTCAAATTGTTTTTATTATTGAAAGTTTTACATGAATAGATTGATATATAGAGAAAAAAAAGACAAGATTGTAAACAAATGAAAAACTTATTTTCGTATTGTTTGTTTGATTGATCATCGAAAAAGAACATCAATTGAGAATAAACGTTTACTTTTTTTTCTTATTTCAACGTCCATTTTATTCGATCAATTCTATTTGAATATTAGATGTCTCAAATGAATGATCTTATTTCGAGAAAAATCTCTCCATGATTTATTTATTTCTATAAATATCATATACCCTATTTTCGAAATATTTATTTTAATACATTGAATGAACATATTTAACAATGTATTTGAAAGAAAGAGAACAATTTATATCGAACAAAATATATGAAAAATGAATTTTTATTTAGTCTATTAGTTGAAAGTTCGATATAAAAGTTGAAGAGCATTGTATAAATAGAAGTAATTTGTCTGTACAAAATAAATTGTTTAATATATGCTTTTACAGTTGTGCTAAAACGATTGTTGTTATTGAAGTACGATAGAAAGTTGGTAAATAGTCGGATTATTATGCATTAACTACCATAAGCATGCCTCAAACCATTCGAAAAGAAAAACAAAGAACACTTTAAAACGAAAAATTATTTTTTTAATATTTTACGTTGTAGATATTTTTTGTTATTATTTTAATCTTACGAAGAAAACAACAATAAATTGTGTCAGAAATCACAAACAAATATGTCAAACTTATTAAACATATATAAAATGTAATTTAAAAAATTAATAAAAATAAAATCAATATCTTTAAAAATTTTATTTCTATAATTATTAGACAATCTTTTACTATTTATAAATTTTTTATTTAAAACAAAACTGTCTTGTAACATAAATAAAAAAGAAAAACTTTGTCTATTTCTTTTTCTTTTTACATAATATATAAAAAAATAAAGTTCATTGATTAATATAGAGTTTGTTCTTCAAGTTCATTCATAATTTGAGCGAAAAATTCACTACCACCAAATAAACGTTGTGATTTCGTTCCTAATGGTGTTTCATCAATTAATGTTGATGTTGGTGTTGATACTCTTTGACGATATTTTCGACTTAGAACATCTGCTGATATATTAGAAGACGTTGTACCAGGCTGTTTACGTAATATTGAACGAGTTTGACCATTCATTATACTATTTCGGCGAAGATTTTTATGTGAATTTGATAAATCTGTATCAATTGGTGTACTTTCAGGTACAATATCATTTTGATCATTGATAATTACTGTTGGTTCAGTTTCTGTTGGTCGAAGTTTAGGTAAATTTCGTGTTTTAGCTATAGCTGATCGTCGTGGTAAAGTTTTTTGTTTCCCGGTCGAATGTATGTTCGTTTGTTCATAATCAAAATCAACGCGACGTGAACGTGGTGAAAGTGCAGTATCAGAAGGATGAATAGATGGTAAAACCGAATATTTATTACGTGTTGTTGCTGGTCGTGATGCTTGTGTTAGAATATTTTCTAAATAAAATATCATAATAGTTATTTTTTTTCGTATATTTTTTAATATAATCTATTAACCTTTGCTAATTGAATGAAATGTTGTTTCTGATTCTGATGAATGATCTCTTGATGGAATAATTTTTTTTGATTTAATTATATTATTTCTTTGAATTTTTGCTGATAGAGGAGTTTTTTTTATTTCTGTTGTTGTTGGACGATCATGTGGTGGTTCATTTTCAGGACCTAATCCTTTTTGAAATTGATAAACATACCAAGTACATGTTGATACAAGTTGTGTAGCTTGTGTTGAATCAATACCCATTTGACATAAAGAATGTTTTAATAATTCATGTGTAAATACTGGTTCACGATTTTGTCTTGATGATGCTTTTAACCATGTTGCATAATCTGTATATTTAGCTTTTAATGCTGAAACATTTTCTGCTGCATTCGTTGGTACGTTTGCAGTTGGTACCGATATAATTGATGATGATGTAGGAGAATGTCGTAAACGTCGTCGCGGTTTTTTTGAAACAACAGGTAAATGTAAACTCGATGGATCTTGTGCTGCATAAATTGTTTTTGAAGCACACATTTTTTATCTAACATATATAAAATAAACTTTATTAAAAAGAATATTTTAGTTCAATTTTTTCATTGTATCTAATTGTTAAAAATAAAATACATTCTTTGTAATCGTCGTCATAGGTGAGCCGTAAAAAAACTCAAATACAAAAGTTATGTATTACTTTGTTTTTTTTCTTCGCTTCTCATTTTTTTTTTGTTCGCTTTTTTTTTTGTCTTTCTTATATTAACTAATGCAATAGATGATCAAGAATACATTGTGCTCACCTGTAAACCCATTCATTTTACAATACAAATTTTCAGTTGATCAAATTTAAACTATTTTTTTTTCTGTTACTCCTGCTGCTGTTTTTCAATTCACCTCAAAAATCAATCAATTCAAGCGAAGAAAAAGAAATTTCACTGAATAAATATTAAAAAACTCATATGCATTAGATGAATGTCGAGACAATTGTGAATGTCGAAGCTCAATGCAGTGTATAGTAAAAGAAAGAACACTTGACTTTACTTGGGGGAAGTACGATTTATCTATGACAAAATATCCCAGATAATCATATTTGGAATCATTGTAATGTACTTACAATTAAATAATTTATTGTTTTTTTTATGATTGTCTTGAAAAAGTAGTAATTTCTGATAAGACTTTGAAATAAACGAAGTTCTTTTATATATGTATAGAGCTGCCTACGATATTAAAGATAGTTAGTAGATTTGTAGAATAAAATGAAGAGTTTTATAATAGCCTTTAATGATTCGTACTTTTTTTTTACCATCGATTAATCGACTATTTATTAAGCTTCACATTGAATCAGACTTTATGATATATAATCAGGTAAAAAAGCCGTAAATATTTCGTTTTAAGTATTACGTAGGACGCACTTTAAGGTAATATTAGGTGATTTTTAATTGATCATTGAAATGACAAAGAGCATCTTGTGACAGCACAACAAAGAAATAAAAGTATGTTATAAAAAAATCATATGATTTTTAAATGATATCAGTCAAATATTTTCAGACTAAAAATAAAATTCTAATTTACGATTAAAATCTAATATATGTCATGAATTCGATAATAAAGAATATAAATCAATGTTGGTATTTGAAAAATTCAAGATTAAAAAGACGTTTATTTCTATCGTATTACATATAAAAAAGAAAAATCAACCGAGAATAATTATTATATATTATTCTCGCCAAAACAATAAATTAATAGACGGTAAAGATGAACATGATACAAATGGATTACTAGAATAAAAGAAAATATAAATAAAATATATAGAATTAATAGAAAATATTTTACTCGGAATGATTTGGCATTCTCAATGCGTCAATTTGTATTGCATCCATATCTTTAACTGTTTCACAAAGAACACTAGATAAACTAACACGACGTATTTCATTTAATTGATCTATATACCAAAAAATAACAATATATATATATGTATAAATAAGAGAATAAAATACCAGAAGTAAAACGAATGTCTGGATTTTGTGTTTCATAAAAGAAACGATCACCACGACGTAAATTTTTAAATTCATCACCAATAATACAAGCAAATGTTGGGCCTACAATTCCACCGGACACAGATCGTTCAGATATACCACCAACGTACAAATCAATATCATCAACATGTCTAAATAAATAAAATAGATATACATATATATGAAATAAAAACTAATTTACGAATAAACAGAAGCTAGTTTTCCAATAACTGTTAAATCCATTGTATCTCGTAAATCATTAAACGATGATGCAGAACGAAGACCACAATATCTTCTCATTGAATTATATGCTAAATTTTCAAATAAATATTTTATTTATTTATTTATTTATTTAGATTTACTAGGTAATCCATGATCTCTTCCTCTATTGATATTAATTGCTGCTAAATCAAATCGTTTTGTTTGTACTAAGAAAAGAAATACTAATAATTCAATTTTATTTATATTTACAAATAATTTACCGGGATGAGTTAATTTCTCAGCTTCAAATAAATGATTACGTAAAATATTATTAAACATTGGATTAAATTTTGATGATGGCGTAAATAAAAGTCCGTATATAAATGAATCCATACCACCTTTCTGTTGATTATATGCTTCGGCTGGACGAAAAAAAAGTTGTGATAAAGAGATATCTTCAATGAATTCATATTGATTATTAAGACGACGTAGAAAACTATTAACTAATGTATGACCAAAACGATAAGCAGCTGTAGCAAATTCATTGGATATTGTTACATCAACCTTGAAAACGGATTGAAATTATTTTTAAATAAAATAAAAATTTCTTTACTGTTGAATCATATTGATAAGCTCCAAATTTTGAACGTGATGTACCAATCATTAATGGAATAAATTCTTTATAAGTAATATGTTGAAGAATTGCTGTAACCATTCGACGTGCTTCATGATAAATAATATCATCAGACCAAAATAAATTGATTTTTGATAATGATAAAGCAATATTATTATGTAAACGAATAAAAATCGCATGTATAGATGTGAGACCAATATTTTCATTTGAACGAGTATCACCTTAAATAAAGTTTATCAAATAGATCTTTATACGATTGAAATTAAAAACAAATAATATACCACAAAGAAAGCATCCACGACCAACTTGAGCACCTCGACATGAATTTCCTTCTTTTCCTGTATGTGTTTGTGGTGGTAAATTTTGATTCGTAGTTTTTAATTGTCCTGTATGAACAAAAATAAATATCTAAGAAATCTGAAGAATCTAGATAGTTAACCATTTTTAAATGATCGAAGTTCATCAGCTTTATTTTTATCATTTCCATAAATTAATGATGCATCCAAATAAGAATTGATTTGATTAACTTGTTCTCGAACATCTAATATAATATTTAAATTTTGATCTATTTTTATTCTTAGATTTATTTACCAAGTTGACAGGCTTCTTCTCGTTCAAAAAATGCTGATGAACGTGGAAAAAGCATACATAATTGATCAGGCATATCAGGTGTTGGAATATTCATACAAAATGGATTTTCTGTGTCTTCACAATCACAATGAATTTGTTCTCCTATATCATCTCTACCATTAGCAGCACTGGTTAAATCATGATCAATAAATTGAGCAAATGTTGTAAAGAAAGAATTTATTGAACGTTCAGTAGTATTAACAATTTCATTTGAACAAACATTTGATATTACACGTGGAGATGGTAATGAATCTCCAGTTTTAGAAACATTACGAGGAGAAAAAAAACCTAAAAAATATAAAAAAAATAAAATACTTCTTATGTAATTTATATCTATACCATCAGCATAGTTTGCTTTCGTTAAACGTCTAAATGGAATATTTGTAGTACCCCACCAAGGATTTAAAATATTATTACATACACCGTCAAATGTTCGATAAAAAGCATCAGATAAGCAGGTAACATCAAGTGATTTATATGAACACTCACTAGATTTATAAATCAATAAAAATAAAAACTTCAAATAAAATATTTTGTTTTTTACCTTGCAGTAGATAAATTTGATGAAGATGTTTCTGAAAGTTTATTTATTTGCCTTTTTTTACGACTAATAAAAATATTAAATGAAAATAATGAGATTTCAAATCTATTTTACATACATCTTGTTAGCGTCATTAGAAAGTTCACTGTCAATTGATAACGAAAAATTTAGAAGTATAACAGTGATTATTAAAATAATTAAAGTAAAGCCAAAATGACTAAAAATGCATTTAAAATAACAAAATAAATTAAAAAAGAATTATTGAATTTTTTACTTTAAAAAAGACAACATCATCGAATAAGATATAGCAAAATGTGTTTTGGTTAATATATCAAATAATGATCTATATAACCTGACCCTCGTTTAAAGAATAGAGAAGAACAACCTTTTCTATATGATTAAGCTATCATAAGAGTGTTTCTCTCTCTTCCTTTAAATCCAAATAGATATATAAATTTCTTTACTTTTCCTTTTAACAATTCCGATTATCTATATGTCGATATGTAACTTTACATGTTTTATATTTCAGTAAAAGTAAATCTTTTCTCGTCAAAATAATTCTTCTGCTCATTTGTTTAGATATTTAGAGTTCGATTAATTTAATCAAATTTATGATTAATTATAAGCATTTTATTGTATTATGTTTATTTTGATATATGCAGAATAAAAAATATATATAGAATATATAGATGAGTATAATTTGTAAAACAATAAATTATTACACAACAAAAAAAAATAATTGAAGTTTTTAATAAAGACTTTTGATTGGTATATAAGAGATTTTATTGAGAATTCTTGTCTTAAAGATTTTCATTGATTTTGAAAAGATTTGTATTATTTGTCTTATTCATTACTGTCCCTTGTTGTTTACTTGGGATTGTGATTGTTTCATCACTGGAATCATTATCAATATTATTATCTAATGGTTCATTTTCTCCATCAGAAAACTGTTCTAATCGTTCAAAACCTTGTCGTCGATTCATCCAGTTTCCAAAAACAGAACTACGATCATTACGATTTGCCTTCGCATCAGTGATATATGAATTTAAATGATTCAGTTTACCTAAAATAAATAAATATTAGTTTGTCTTTGAAAAATTTAAATGTTTACGTACGCATATTTCTTATTCGAATACAACATCCAACAATAATAGCAATAAGAACTGGAAAAGCAAAAGCAGCCATAATAATTAAAGATATACGAAAATTTTTATCATTCAAATAGTTTCGTCGACTGTATATTTGTGATGGGAGATCTAACGAAAAAATGGAAAAAAAATAAAAATATGTTTTTCTTCTTCGTCTTCTTTACCTTTAAGCTTAGATATTTGAAATTTATGTAAAGCATTAGCAGGTATTGATGCTAATTCACCAACATATATTTCACGAGCATTTGCTGATACAGTAATATCATGTGGAGCATTTAAAGGCTTTTATAAAGAAAATATTTATAGTTTATTGACGTGAGAAAAAAACAAAATTGAACTTACTGGATTCGAATCAAATGATGTTAAAACTTCTCCATTTTGTGCATCGATCATATAAACTTTTTTCTTTAATGTTTGTGCACCACCTGTAACAGCAAATAGAATTGTTCCTAAAAGTGAAATTTTAATTAGAATTATTTTATTTTCCACATTCTTTCATATATATAACAAACCATTCGTATTTGGTGCAAATTCTATAGCATAAATAGCACCTATAGTATCTTGTTTTTCAATACGTATTTGCCGTTGAAATTCTCCTGTATTTGAATTAAAACATTGTATACGAAAATTTTCTCGATCAGCACCACATAATAATTGTGCATCTTCATTTAATGCTATTGAATGAACAATATTCCATTCATTAGGTAAAGGATATCCATCACCTAGAAAAAAATAACAAATTATATTCCTATAAATAATTAAAACTTACTATCATGTTGTCCAGTCATTTCTGAACCCCATTCCATAATATATTCTCCTTTACGATTAAATTTAATAATACGACTATTACAATATCTAGATAAATAAAACATATTTTAGTTTATTTTATTTTTATAATAATAAGAATTTACCCATCAGCAATAAAAAAATCTCCATTTTTTAATACAGCTACATCAGCTGGTCGACAAAGTTGACTTGGTCCTGAGCCAGATTGAAACATTTCTCCAACAGTCAATGCTGGATGTGTTAAATCATTTGGTTTAAACATAAAAACTTGATGCATTGCAACATCAGTTACCCAAAAATTTCCTTCATGATCAATTGTTAATCCATGAGGCATATAGAACATTTTAGCACCCCATCGATATTTTGTTTCTCCAGTACGTGTATCAATATGAATAAGAACATCTTCTTCAATTGGACCATATTTTTCATTACGAAAACGATATTCATTAAAATATCTATTTTAATTAAATAAAAACTAAAATTTTTAATATTCAATTATTATCATACTTGTATTCCCATTTTCGACTTCCACGATGAAATACAATAAGTTCATTATTAGCATTATTTAATGCAATTCCACCTATTTCACCAAGTTCAACTGGTAAAGTTTTAACATCAGGCCAATTTTCCGTATTTGTATATAGATTAGCTAAAAATGAAAAGCATTTAGTTTAATATCAATAGAAAAAAAAAAGATTTTTTATCAAAACAAAAAAAGAAAACAACGAAAATACGAGACAATATCAAATCTCACAGCTCATTAGTTTTGCATTATGTAATTTTACTGTTTGTTCTTTTCCATACGTTAAATGACTTGGTAATAAATAATCATAATTATGTGCATCAACATATTCATAATCTGGTAAGCCGAGATGTGATAAAATTTTCTTTGTATCATAATTATCGGGTTCTTTATCACGATGACGCATATTTTCAACTTCATCTATATAATCTTCATAAGATTGATCATCATCATTTGAAATTTCTTTATCCAATCCTGTCTATTTATTTAGAAAAAAGAAAAAATATTCTTCTATTAAAATTACCTGATAATGGATTCATTGCATGTTCAGCATGAGCATGATGACCATCACCATTATTTGTTTCACCAATATCAGCTATTTTAAGTGGAGGAACAACACTATCTGGAGGTATAAAACTAAATAACAAAAAATGAAATCTCTGAATCATAGTATCAAGAATAATAATTAGATAATTTACCTTGATATTTGACTAAATTCATTATCCCAACACATTTCAGAAGGAGATGAATCATCAGATTTTCGTGATGGTTTATATGAATACATGACATAAATGTTACACATTTCATCATTATGTGTTGATCTAATAAATAAGATTTTGTTATTTTGTATATATAATATGAAAATAAAAAACAATTTACCCGACTTCAATAACTCGATTGTCATTATTATCATAAACACATTGCCCAACAATATAATCACCATTTTTAATTTCAACAGCTGATGTAATTGGATAGAATGACTGAGGCCATTGCGGATCACTTTTAACAATTTGTGATATTTTACCATCACGTACTCGATACAATGAATTAACTCGTCCTGCAACAAAACAAAAAATAAATAGTAGATAATAAATGTATTTCGAACCCCATTTATGAGTATGTACACGAGCAGCAAAAATAGAAATTGGTGGTCCATCATATTGACATGAAAAGGGAGTTCGAATAGCTTTAATAAACGATGAAAAACAATTATATGTTTTTCTAAATAATTTTCTCTTTACTGTGTGTATTTGGTCGTAAATGAATTTGACTTGTACCAGTTAACATAACACCTGCTAGATATTTTCGTCTAGAATATACATTTTGCATTTAATTTTATTCAAACACTCAACATACGGTGTATGACTCATAATTAATTGATTTCCAGAATTATCATTTTTCAATATAGATAAATAATGAAGATTTACTACAATATATTTATAAGGTGTATTTCGACCAACAGCAAAACCAACATCTAAATACAATATATATGTAGCTTTTTCATTCTATTTAATTATGTTAATATTAAATAAAAAAACCTTCAGGTAATGTCAATGCAGGTGCATTCCGAGCCCATCCATGAATAATCATTTGTTCACCGTCACATGTTGCGCCTGCAGTCCTACATTAATAAATTAATCTTTAGAAAAAAATCATGAACAAAAAGAAATACTAACCAAAATTGTTTATTTGTACCCGGTTTTGCACAAGCATAAGTAAGCATATGGTGAACAGAATTCATATTAGTCAATGGTGAATATCCAACTAAATTAAAATTATTAAATTGTGTTTTTATAAAAAATTTAATTAATACTTACCAATTGTTAATTCTTCATCAGGAAGTTTATATTGAACATATGCATATTGATCTTCCTACAAAACAAAAATATATAAATAATTTATAGGTAATAAGAAAAGAAATTATTAACCTGTGTTGTTTGATAATCTTTCATAGTAACATTAATAGTGAAAAGATCATTTTTATTCGGAATACTTGTCGAATAAATACAATTAATAACAATAACAAGAATAATAACGAAATGACGGACGGTAATTGTTCCAAAGTTAAAAATATTCATTTCAGTAATTGTTCTTATATTTACATAAGACACATAAATTACTTACAAAGACGTTTGAATTCTCTTAGAATGTAGAATTGAAAAAACAAATATTACATCTAAAATCGATTTAAATAGAATACAAGTATTGAAGTTAGACAAATAGGAAAAAGAAATTATCGATATACGTAGAAAACTATTATATTGAAATTACTGATCATTAATTGAATAAGCAAAACTAGAGAGAAGTAAATTTTGAATAAAATCATTTTTTGACTTTAATGATTGAACTACTGTTGCATTTTGTTGAGTTGAAGAACAAGATTCATCACATATTCGTCGTAATAATGAAGGATCAGATTCTGTATTTGTTATTATAGGATTTTTCATTAAGGATAAATTTTGTGTTTGTTGTTCAGATGTTGATGGTTGTGGAACAACAATGTGTGTCCATGTTTGGTCACTTGTATTTGATGAAATGAATGGATCAATAAGATGATTTGTTGAAAAAAGTGTATCGAAAAGATCATTTTCAGCAGATAATATATTATTCGATGTAGATGTTGATTGCTGAGAATGATGTGATTGATGATGTTGATGATGATGAGAACGTCCAATTGCACGAAGACGTTCACGTTCATATTGTTGACGAGTAAAAGCTTGAAGATTGATTGTATTTGCTGTTGGTGGTGGTAATGAACTATTCGTATTAGTTCCATTATTATTTGCAGCTGCTAATCGTCGAACTGTCGATAATTGTGTTAAGAGATCGGCAATTGGATCATGACCACCACCAACTGTAGATAATCCTGATGAAGTATCAACGACAAAATGTTGATTAACAGATCCACCACCTCGTCCTAAGGTACCTCGTCGAGTAGGTGCTCGTGATGATCCACGTCGAAAACTACCACGAAGTGCAGCACCAATACCAAAATCATAATCTCTAGTTGATAATGATTGTCTTAAATAATTCGTTCTTCCACCAGCTGATGATGGTGTACTGACTTGTGACTGTTGATGATCATTAGCTATATGTGAAATAAGATCTGCAGTAACTAAATTTGGTTCACCATTACTCATAGATGCACATATTGGACAAATAACTTCTTGTGATTGTTGATAATCTGCATGTTTTATTTGCAGATGTTGTAATATATCACCATTTTGTGTATTATTATTATTATTATTATTTGATGAAGATGATTCATTAAGAAATGGAAATGCTAAACCCATATCACCACAAAATGGACATGTTAACGATTGAGGTTGATCTGCTGTACATCTTTCACCATGATAATATAACTCAAAATCTTGGCGTGTTAAAATGCCTTTAAATTAAATAATATTATATAGTTTTTAGGGAAAAAAAAGAATTTACATTGCATAGGATGTTCTGCAGTATGATTACTTGATGTTTCACCTTGTTCATAACATGTTGAACATAAGTCATAGTCATAACAAATTAAACATTTGAAACGCTTTGAACGAAAATTACTTTTACCACAAGCATCACAACTAACACCTTCATGTGCTGACATATTCGAAATAAATAATAAAATGCAAGTTAATTTTATAGAAACTCATTAACAAGTCAGAAGTAGAATAGAACAGAACAACACTACCATAGAGCTTGAATAACATTAACCAATCAGAAAAGACCTCTATAAGGATGACATATATATGGTAATCATTCAATGACGTCGTCGACTATAATAAATATACATAAGAATAAAAATACTTACTTATACAAATATAACTAATAATTCTTAAATCAATTTATTAATCAGACATTTATTTTATTTTTAAACTTTAAAAAAAATTTACTTTAACAGAATAGAATACGTTCTCTTGTTATATGTTTTAAGTGCTATATAAACTATATTTTTTTTTGATTTATATCGTAAAGATATATATAGGCAATTAGTAAAATAACTTGCCTGGAATGAAGGACATAAAATATTATTCATGTGTGATGAAAACAATAGAATTTTTTTTTGAGACTTTTATTCCTTTAAAAAATAAATATCAAAAGCACGAATAAGAAACTAATAGAACATTTCAATAACGTTATATATTGGCTACAGTAGATTTTCTTTTAAATAATTGTTCTGCAATAAAGTAAACTGTCCTTTGCTTTATTTTAACTTGTACCATAATATACAACTATTGATAATTACTAATTCACCTATTAAAATTGAAGATACTCGATTCGATATCTTCATTCTATTTGATTATTGACAGCTATGAATTTTATTTAAGGGTTCATTTAAAGAACTACAATTTATATCAAAATAAAGTCTGTAAGATCAATTTCCATGCATATCATTAGGATGATTGGATAGTTAAAATTTAGTTACCACCACCGAATATCTTGGAGAGATAGGAAGAACATTTGCATCTACAAATTAAACTATTCATAATAGTATACAGAAAATATAATTAAATGTACCCGTTAATAAATTGTTCTTTAGTCAATTTTTGATCTTCACTTATACCAAGCTTTTTGAAGACATCACTAGCCATTATTTTCGAATCATAATCAGTTTGATTTACGAGCGTTAGCTAAAAATAAAAAGACAATCAATAGAAAAATACAATACGAAATCATACCGACGCTTGAAGAAACTTAGTTAATTCTTTTATATCTATATGCCCATCACCTGAAATATCGCACCTGAAAAGTTATAAAATATGAAAGATCAGCAAAGATCATATAAGATATCCGTACATTTCAAAAACATAATCTAAATGACTATCCAGATCAGCAGGTGTACCTAGTGCAACAGCTAATAGAAATTCACGAAAATCAATTGTACCATCATGATTTTGATCAAATACAGCGAAAACATGACTTTATCAAAATAAAAAATGTAAAATTGTATACAAAAAAAAGTGACATTAAAATACTCGCATAAAATGCCATTTTTATCGCTTTCATCTTTGATTTTTTGATAGTATTTCGAAAATCCTTTCTTGTCCATTTTACCTTTCGGAAATTCATTCCAAAAACCCTATGATAATATGAAAGTTACTATAAAAATTCTGAGTAGTATCTAAGATTTACACGATATGTTTCTTTGATTTCTAAAAAAATTAAAAAAATATTCTTTATTTAATTTATTTATGATTGCATCTTACCTTCTTCACTCAATTTTGAAGCTTTTTTCAGCATTTCAATATCTAAAGATGAAATCTATTTAAAATAAATCCATATTCTAATAAAACTAGAACAAACCTTCTTGAGATAAGTTTTTTGATGTAACATCTTTAACAACAACTTTATTTCCCATGACAAATAGCTTTTCGTAATTATTAATTAAGAAGGAAAAAACTGAAAAATATATTGACAATAAACTTTTTTAACATTCTTTTGTACACAATTTTAGAAGCAATAGAAAAAAAACTAGTAACTCAATTGTAAGTTAAAAATGAAAAAAAAAGAAAAAGTTTTGACAGTACAGAATAATATATTGATAAGAAGAAAAAAGAAAGTGTAGTGGTTACTAAGTACGTGTTCACTAAAGTGCTATTAATGGATAAATAGAAAAGCGAGACGTACAAGCTTTGTTTCATTTTCATTGTAAACAAGAATAACATAATGATGAGAATAATAGTAATACGCCCTTTGGTTATAAATTGTACGTCATCGTTTTCCGATCATTTATTATCGTTTCATATTTATTTGTGAATAGATTTATAATGTCACACCTCTTTTGCTAGTATTGTGGCACGACTAGAGGCAAAAGATAAACACAAATTTGCTTTTTAAATAAATACCTAACAAAGAAATTAGTAAATGAAAGTTTTTCATAAGTATTAGTTCAAATGTAACAATATCATTCTTTTAGCATCATATAATTATCAATATTACGCATGTTCCTAGATATAGATCTTATGTTGAAATATTCATGTGCCATAATTGAAATTTTATAATATTCAGACGATGGAATAGAAAATATACTATATCATGGCTAATAAATTTCTAATATATACTAGTATCATCTAAATAGATTCGAAATAGAATTGAATATTACCTACCGGATCATGTACTAAATCTTGAGAGTGGGTATGGGTGTGTATGAGATAATAACATTCACCCACACTCACATGCAAATCCGTTATCACACCCACACCCAAACCACCATTTAAAACATCCCTTCATTATTTTCACCTACGATTGTAACCGGATTAAAATTCGCCCAAAAAATCTTCCAGAAAGATGACCATTTTTAAATTTGCTTTATTTTTTACTTTCGATTCGATTTACAATCAGACTATCCTGTGCTCAAAAATCCAATAAAAAAATGACCATTTTAAAACGTGATTTATTTTGTTTTTTTTAATCAACATTTTTGAGCTGCTCATAATCCCATTACTAATCCTGAAGAACAGTAAAAAATAAACTAAGTTTTAAAATGGGCATTTAGCTTGGGAATTTTTGAGCGCATTCTACTCCGCTCAAAAACCCTCGTGAGAACTGCCCCTTCTGGGAGAATACCCATTTTCATATTTACATACTGGATTCATCTTGTGGATGAAAAAAGCTGTTTTCATAGGTAGCGGTGTTCTATTGCGGTGATTGACTGGAGGATTATTAATTGGATTAGAGTTGGATTTTCAATTCTCATGAAAACTTAGGCTGCCTATAGATAACGTTTTCTGTTGAAATTATTTGTGTACAATTGAAGCATTTAGACATAGTGAGGAGGTCTCGATTTTTTTTGGAAGAGGTAAAGAACATCGGAATAAACCCGGATATTTTTATAACCGAATAGTTGGAAAATTTCTGGGAACCTATCGTTTTCCTTTTGAATTCGGGCTTCCGGATATTATTGGGAAAGTGTTGGATTTTTTTCAAAGTATTACCACGATTTTTCAGTGGGATATGATGGGAAACCAAGGGAAATTTTCCGGTGAATTCTGGTCTGGAATACTGCGTCAGGAAGTTGTCGGAAGATGTGGGAACCGATCAGTTCCGGGTCGGATTGTTCGACCTGGATACCAATTCAGTTCATTTTTTTTGTAACAATGTAGATAGAAGCACTATATGAAATGCAGCGCATCACGGAATTTAAAAAAAGAAGTGCTTTATACGACTTAAAACGAGCAAAACGAACAAATAAAAAAAACTGAAACACAAGAAGGTGATACTAAACAAAAAGAAGCACAATAAATCCAAAGCTATTTCCAAGAAGAATATGACAAGTATACAAGGCGCCGGAAATTAGTCACCAAAATTATTCAACAAGCAAAACAGCATTTATTTTTTAAATAAAAAAATATATCGATCAGTTTTTTATTGAGAAAAATGAAACGAGTTGATTACGATTAGTTTTATTGTCTTAGTTTTCTAAGTTTAACTATTAAATAATAGGCAGCAGTATTGCTGAAACCAAAATTACTTTTTAAATATTAAAACAATGAGAACAAACAAAGAAATTGTAAGAAATACTGTTCATTTATTTCTATTATCTTAGTCTTATTTATTTTTTTAATTGTAATTTTTGCGATTATTATATGAATATATTAACAGAGTTTATACTTTACTTCTTTTAGCATATAAAATTTATATGTAAACATTCTATACCTTCTTGTTAAGATATTTTATCATTGTCTTGAAATACACAGCAGTGGACCATTGGAGAAGCTGATCGGGAAATTGTTCCACTTTGAGGAGAAATGATTCACCCCAACAAAAGCAATACATTAAGGAGAAATGGAAACCGCGTAAATGACATCTATTTAATACCTTGTTCGGTAACATATGGATATTCCATACAAAGAGACATCCTTTTTTTCAAAGAGAAATGGTACAAATGTGAAAATATATGCATTCAATATCTAATTCAATATGATGTGGATATTTTTATCTAAAGAGAAATCCTTTTTTTTTGAAGTTCCATTTTTCAATTCAAGTGAAGATATGAACGAACCATTTCATCTTTTTATTTATTGATTTCTGCTGGTAAGAAACAATATCTGCTAGAAATATCTTCTTAGAGTGAAAAAAAACGATATATCTCTTCATGTATTTTCCATTTCTCCTTATAAGTGGAGATATGGATGAATCATTTCACTCTATAATTTATTTATTTTTGCTGGTAAAAACTATATCTGCTAGAATATCTTCTTAGAGTGAAAAAATAAAATGAAGGGTGTGGGTGTGTATGAGATAATAACATTCACCCACACCGTCACACAACATCAGATTTCTGTTGAAGAGAGTGTTTTCACTCTCGCTACAATCTGCTTGTGAATAAAATACACTGGTAAAACATATAGTTTTTAAATTCTTGTAACTTCAGCAGCATCCTTAACGATATAAGGAACTTCAAAAATTCATCACAACTGTGAGTTCATAACGTGAGCGTGTGGATGTGGATAAACGTTCAAAAGAGACACCCACACCCACTCTAGTTTGTTGGAAAATCCAGTATAAAAGATAATTCTTGTATGAGTTTTTATTTTCATTGCAAATCAATAAATTATCTTGGTTTACAAAACGATCACATTGAGAGAAGAAAGATATCGAATGTTTAACAATATACGTTTTTTTGGAATATCTTTTTCTCGATTATATAGAAAATAGAAGAAAATACGATAGATTTAAGAAAACTATAAACCTAGAAATTCATTTGTTTTTGATGATCAATGTAGTTGAACAAATGATTGTAAATGTTGAGAAATATGATTCGTGTAATTTAACTTGCTTGTTCGAATCATCCGTGCACAAAGACATTTTAGATTGAGTTCAATTGGATATCTTTGGAAAAGATTTTTAAGTCGCATGTGTTTGGCATAATCTTCTGGTGTTTTTCCTTGATGTGTAACAGCATCGAGATGTGCATCAGCATCAATAAATAATCTGAAGATTATTTCGATATCATCCATCTCTTCATCGGTATAATCTTCAGGTTCGTAATAGTCAAAATGTCGATATGTATTTGCAGCTAACTGATGTAATGGTGTATTATTATAATAATCAACTGCATTAATCGGTGCTCGGCAGTTGAGTAATAATTGAACTACTGGTAGAGATGGAAAGGTTGTGACATTGCCAATACGGACACTGTTGTGACTTTGCATGGCAGATAAGTGTAATAATGTTTTATTATCGGCTATTGTACGGTAATTAGAGTCAACCAACTGTTTAGTTTGTTGAAGAAGAACTTTTTGTCGTTGTTGTTTTTCTTTTTCATCACTGCATTTTAAAATCTAAAAGAAATGATAAAATAAATAAACAAAAATGAGTGAAAATTCTTTCGAAAAACAAAGTCATGGTTTGAGTTGAAAACGTATTTCTCTGATTTCATTCTGTTTATGAGATTTTTTCCAAAGAAAAATCATCCGTAGTAGAAATTGTTATTTCTAAAATTTGTCTCACTTACTTCTGTTCCAATAAAGAGAAGATTGAGTATGATATATAAACATTTATCTGCTTTGTATTTTTTAATGTAAGGGATTGTTTCATTTGATGACCAAATATAATTTCTTTGCTTTTCCTTGTCATTTAATGTTGATGGTAGATTTTTATTTCTTAAAAATTCATTTTCAGTTGCTTGTAATACTTTTAGAAATGTATTAAATTGGATTTGTTCTGTTCTGTTATCAGAGATCATTCTACTCATAATTACAACACACCACGACAGACAGGATTTACATTTATTTAAATCAATTTGTGTTTCAATTCGGAGGTGATATGCATGTAAATATAATTGGAGAGCACATTGATATTTACTATTATTATTATATTCTTCAGCCTGATGATCAAGTGCATATAAAAATGAGGATGAGAGAGCTAATCGTTCCCATATCATAAGAGCTTCAATAATCACGCGATGTCGAGCACCTTTGATCGATGTTAACTCTTCAATGGTTTGACATTCTGTACAGTGTTCATAAGCTTCAGCTGAAGGTCGCAAATTCTTTTTAAGAATTGGTACCTGTGAATCTCCATATCTTAATTTCATTGCCCATAAGAAATAGTGATAAGCTTTTTCGAGACCCCGATCGCCATAGCTCCATATCATATGATAAGATCCGATAAGTTCAAGTTCATCGATAACTTGTGGAAGTGTATACCAGGAATTATTTTCAGTATTAATAAAATATTTTATTAATTCTTCTTGATTGTTTATACCAGCTTTTGTCAATGGCGTATATCCATCATTATCTTTCACAATTTTTACTTGATACTTTGTGAGCAGTAATTTAACAATATCTAATGTCCGATCTACATATCCAGCGGGTTCTAATGATCTACTATATTCTGCTGTAAATAAAAAATATGTCCTCCCACATGCTGCTTTATGTAATGCAGTTGAACCTTCGTTATTGGTTGCATTCAAAAATTGATTATTGCTATTTTCTAAACTTAGTAAATATTGTACAATATCATAATGCGCATTTTTGCATGCAATCATAAGAGATGTTGAGTCATTCGAATCTGCATTGTATAGATCGGCACCATTCTCTATGAGATACTTGACCATCTCTAATTGTCCCTTACAACAAGCTATACCCAACGGTGTCCAATTTGTATCATGATAGGAGTAGTCTGCTCTATGATTAACATTTGCTTTACCAAGTGATACCAGAGTTTGAACCACGTTTAAATGTTCATTTTCCACTGCAAGCCACAAAGCTGTCTGTTTATTGAAATGTTCATCATAGTAATCATAATCAAAATCATAAGAAGAAGTATAATTTTGCGCTTCAATTAAACAAACATTTGAATAATTTTGCAACAGCAAACGTATAATTGAATCTTGTCCATGAACCGATGCAATCATCAATGGAGTTAAATATTTTTCGCCTGCACCTTTATAAAAATAGATCAGTGCATTTAAATAACCACTGAGTTTATCTGGATTGAGTGAATTCAAAACTGCTTCTAATTGATGTACAGAACCACTTTTACATGCAGTAGCAATTTCCTCTAATGTTTCAGTATCAACATCTTTTGATTCTTCGAAATCACCATTACTAGTATATATAAATTGACGACCAGGCATACTTTAAAGGGATTGAAATCAGTGTAAGCACGTCTATCTAACGCAAGCGTGTACACGTACATGCGTATTTATTAGAATATTTTCTTTATATTGTTTTTTTCCAACAGAGAAAAGAAAGAATGACTCAGTAGTTTTAATGTAGACAATTGGTATAGAAATATCCAATTCTGTATATACGTGTCATATAGTCTTACGCAAGTGGACGATGAAAGAATACAGATAAGAGAGGAAAAAACCTTAATGTTTCTTTTCGTTCTGTCTTATGATGATCTTTTTCTTTTTCATTCTGCTCTGGTATTTTTGCTATTCATATCAAAGAAAGACTAATACAATAAATTTTTTCCCCCAAAGTTTAATGTGTATCCTAGAGGATGTGGGTTTATTCTACTTATACCCACATCCGCAAATTTAAATCGTTTCATTTTCATCAGAAAAATTAAATCGATTTTTCGAAAAAAACGAAATAAACGTTTGTTCTCATTATGTTAGTATATTTATTTGTATAAAATAAAATAAGTCAAACTCAATAAAGATCTGTATAGGTAGTAAAAGAATGAAGAAAAGCTTTTTTTAATAGTTACGAAATTTCCATCATAAAAACAATTTGATATTCATTTACATCGAATTAAAAATAAGTCTCGCCAAAGAAGATCAAAGACGATAGTATTATTTCAAATGAATTCAAGCTTAATAAAAAAAGAACATACGACAATGACTCTAATCTTAGGCATGTGCGAAAAATCACATCAGATATTTATATACTTATATAAATGACTATATGACAAAGAAAATAGTACATGTAAAGTTTATTAAACCTAATAGATGCATTAAATGAAGTACTACATAGTATAGTAATCCGGAAAAAGATGTCTTACAGTGAAATATTATCATTTGTACAATTTATCCATTACTTTACTATAATCATCTTTCTAACATTTAATATAACAAATGTGTTATCTATCTATGAAGTTGGTGTTGATTATCATGCCTTTGGAACTAATTTTACTGAGACAGCCTTTTTAACTCAATATCATATTTCAAATGTACGATCAATAGTTCTTGTACAATTACAAGGAATTGCTGATGGAGGTGCAAATTTTGTTACTTTAGACATCTGGTTTGGTAGTGAACCTGGTAAAATTACGGATGAACATTGGTTAGCTACATTTCCTATGAGTGCACAAGAAACGACAAATTTAAATCAATATGCTGCAGATGTAGCTTCTATTCAGAGTAAAATCGATGACCATCCATTACATCTTAATATTGCTCTTTTTTGGCTTGGCATAGCTGATTATAAAATTGGAAATCTAACAGAAGGTTTTGGATCTGATTATTTAAATGCTAGTGAATTTACAGCACGTATCGAAAAAACAACAGATTGTATTATTACTGCAATTTCAAATATTAGATGCTCTGATGGTACTCTTTTAGTTCAAACTGTTTATCTCGAAGCAGAAGTAATGATCGGAGCAAAACCTAATCAAGATTGGTTTATTTCTACACACTATCCGCGTTTTCTTAATCAAATCACAGTAGCTGGTTTTACACCCGCTATATATTTTTTAGTTGATGCACGTGAAGAATAATACATTCTTGACAAGGATTATATTGATCCACAATATCCTGCACTCAATGGACATCGCTGTATGTACTGGGTTTATCGTTCTTTAAATTTTCTCAAGATACATCAGTTACCATTTCCAAAACGAATCGATTTCTCTTGTTACATTGATCGAAATACTTCTACCTATGCAAATTTAACTTATCATGTTCTCAATGATGCAGATGCAGCATTATCTGTTCTTGGTGCTCCAAAATCATATGGCATTGCTGAAACATATTATTTCATTGATGACACACAAAGAAAAGAATTTGGACAAGCATTTGCTTTAGAAGCTCTATCAAATCCACGTCTTAGTCATCTTCGTTTTTGGACAACACCTGATGCTGGAGGAAAAGGAATACATATTGCATATCCATTTGCAATTGAAGATTTTCTTCCACCATTAAAGAAGATTTCTATTAACTGAATATGTTCGAGAAATGACTGATGAAGAAATTCAATTAATTTCATCTAAATTTATTTAATTGTAGAAACTATTTAATTTGTTCGAGTAAATCTTTACAAAAGAAAAAAATCTATCAAAATGAAGAATATAAATAATCATAACCTTATTCTATACTGAAAGTCAATTAATTCTAATTGAAAAAAAGAAAATTAATGTCATTTTGAAATAAATTTAAGATTATATACAAAAGTATTTTTTGCCTAAGAAAGTCGTTATTAAGACAATTGAATTTCCATTGGTTCAGAATCTGTAGACGATACTTGATCCTAAAATATAAAAGGCAGTGAATTTTTTAAGAAATAGAAAAAAAAGAATTAAACTTACTAATTGTTCATCATCAATTAATTTTGATTTTGTTTGTTGTTGTTGGTCTTCTTCTTTTTTAGCAATCTGTTTTTAAAAAATATAACAAAAAAAAACAATAAATTATCTTTAGAGAATACGACCAACTTGTTCATTAGTAAGTGGTAACCAAGATATAGTAGGCTGAGTATGTGTATGTCGAATATTTGAACTATTTGTTGAATTTGAAGATTCATCGTTGTCTAGAATCGTCATAACTATATGTGGGATAAAATAATAATAAAATTCATAATAAATATTATTTTTACATACATATTTCAGTAGGTTCAAGATTATGATCTTGTGATGGAGGTGATTGAAGTGGAGCATGCAAAGATGAAGATCTCTGTTGTCGTTTTAATTTTGGTACAAACCATTCAACTCCAATATTTATTTTATTATCTTGATTATCAGTAAATATTGTTAAAGATCGAGTACGACGACGTGTAAAAGAAGATTTCTAATTATATAAAATCTATCATTTATTTAGAATAATAATCATACACAAACTTCTTGTTTAATTCTATTCAGTATCATTTGATCATCATTAATATTTATTATTACTTCATTTGTTTCATGTATTACTGGCATTTCATCATCAGTATCTGATACTGGTTCTAAATCTTCATCTTGTTTTGTTTTTTGATTCATCTGTGATGTATTTGTACTTGAATTTTCTGTCTTAGGTAAATTCTGGATATAATCACGAAGACGATTTAATATATCGAAAAGATGTTCTTTAGTTTTCTTTTGTTCTTCTGATGCATAACTTTAGAAAACAAAGATGATTTATTTGTATATTTAATTATTTCTTACTTAAAATCCCATTGTTTAATTAATTGTTCAATATCATTAACATTAATACGTTTAGAACGTGCATGTCTTACTAATTCATAGACAATTTCCAGTGATAATTTAGAATCATCTTCAACTTTTTGACATAATGAATGTAAATATGTATCTTTCAATATTTTATAAAGACATTTCCTATATAAATTCAATAATAATAATAATAATAATAATAATTTTCATTTCAACTTACGAATCTTGTTTTGGACAAAAATTTTCAAGTAAATATTCATATTGAATTTTTAATAATGTTGATGTTGAACAAATTTCAAGGCTAATATCATTTACAATTGATGACCAATTAATATGTGATTGTTGTTCATGCAAAGTAATAAAATGTAAAAGAATAAAATTATTTTTTGCATCCCAAATAAATGACATTATGTGATTATCTACAACTTAAAATATTCAAAATTTTATTTATTAACAAAGAAACAATAAAAAAAATCGTTTTCATGAGAATAACGATTTTTCATGAGGAAAGTAAAACGACGACCTAGATGACCAATCGACAGACAAAGAAAATAATTTAAATATGCTCTTTGTATGTATGTTCGAAAATCGACTAGTAATATGTACTGTAGATTCTCTCATACAATGTGTAAAGGCGTATCGAACAACATGTGCGCGTGTACATGGAGACAGAGGAAAAGAAAAATAAATATGTATATATATGAAAGGAAAAGAACGATTTTAAATATACGAACAAATGGTTATCGTTCGATATACAAGTCAATAAATGAGATATCGAATGTGTACACATAAATCGACTTTTTACTCATCATCAGTACAAATAAAATTCCGATATTTCGTTATTATTTTTTAGATCGTTTAGTCCGTCAATTAAATTTTTCAATTTCAAACGAAAAATTATGCAGGTATTTTTTTTAGTAAATAGAAATGAAGAAATACCCATTTTTTCAATATAGTTCTTTCATACTCAATTTCATAATGGTTCAATTATATCCAATGATGATATTAATAATAATAATCTTTCTTTATCTCGCCAATTATCAATTATAGATGATGGTCCATTACGTATTCATATTGGAAATATTCCATTTAGTTGGTCTGATAAACATTTACGAGAACAATTTGATGTAATTTTATAATTGAATAAAAGAAAAGTTTTTTTTATTATTTATTTTTAATTAATTTCATATAGATTTTTGGTCCAGTTGATGATGTTGAAGTCGTATCAAATGCACAAGGATCAAAAGGCTTTGGATTTCTAACATTTCTTCGGCGGCGTGATGGTGAACGTGCCATGCAAGTTAAAAATGGTACAATTGCTGACGGACGAAAAATAACAGTGTGTTGTTCATTCATTTTTTTTTGAGTATATTTGTATCTTTTCTTTATATATAAGGTCTCTTTGGCTGTCGCCAAAAATCATCCAACTTCATCATCTTTAACAACACCACCAGAAACACCTGCTCGAACAGCTTTTCGATGTAAATATTATTTTTCATAAGAGTTTTTTATCTATATATATTTGATTATTTTCTTTTTGTATAGCTCTTTCAACGAATCGTCCCTTACCATTATTAGCAACTTCATCATCATTATCGCCTGATGCACCGATGTGGACACCATTAACACCACCTTCATCAACTACATGGCGTTTATCTCCTGAACCACAATCAAATGGATGGATAAATACATCTCCACCATTATCATCTAGTCCATTATCAATACTTTTTCCACCATTATTTCCACCAGCACGTGTGGAACGATCAGTAGAAAGTGAAAATATAAATAATCATTTGAAATCAGTAACTACTGAATCGATAACGTAAGACATTTTTTCACTAAATTACTGACTTCTAATATAAATAAATTATTGTTACTTTTTAGTTATGATAAGAATAGTTGTAAACATTGTCCTCATTGTGGTCGCACAATTTATTAGAAAGTTCAAATATTAAACAAATTCATCAGATATGTTTTCTGTATAATTTTAGAAATAGATTTGTTTTTCTTCATATATATATATATATTATTGTCAGTATTTAGTAATAGTAAGAACTTGTTTGTTTGTTTTCATTTCTCTTTCACATTTCTGAATAATGTTGTATGTATACTTTTGTTTTGCTTTGCTTTGCTTTGCTTTGTTTTGTGTGTGTTTTTTTTCTGTGTGCTAAAAGCTTATTTGTTACTTTGTTTTTCTCTATTGTTTGAACATGATGTACAGCGACCTTCCATTTTTCATATTTTTGTTTTTGTTAGTTTTTTTGTGGTTTGTTGTTTTTTTGAGAGCAGGTTCTCTCTGTATTGTTTTTTCCTTTTTTCATACTCTTGTTGCTTTGTCAGAGCGATTATGGCTTGTTCACTATTTATTCATTAATCATTGCTTATTGCAAAACAAAAAACAAATAAAAATTAGAGAATTATAATAATTAAGATTTTATTTAAGAAAAAAATAGCTATTCATTTAAGAAGAATAAATAATACTACAGTATGTTCAAGTAAGTATTAACTATGATGTTCCAATAATCGACTCATGTTGTAGTTCTAGAACAGATAAAGATAAAATATTTTCTCTATATATAAGTATATTCTAATAATATATTACTAGATGATGGTTCTTCTTGAGCTTCATAAGGAGGCGGAGGTATGTCAAAATAATGATAATATGGTGGATTTGTAACGTCAGAGCTATGAGACTGTGTATCACTCATATCAATTGTAAAAATATGAGCATTTGCATCAGAATCATGTTGATTATTTATGAAATGAATTTGATTTTTTTGTTTATTTGTTTTCTTAGATAATGTATATCCAGCACAACAAAGTAATAGACAACACGAACCAAATGATAACGAAATAATACTGATAATTTTTAATGCTCCTTCTGAATCATTTGATGAATCCATCATGAATATTATTTAGTGTTAATAATGAATAAATGAAATATGTTGCAGTTTTGCTTTCCGTGTTTCTTCTTCCTTACGTTATTTTAGTAAAGAAAAGTCAACAAATCATTAACAGGCAAATGTTGTATTACTTTTTAATTGAAAATAAATAAGGAAAAATACAAGAAGAAAAATCACTTTCTTTAATTATTTGTTGCTAGATCCATAAAGAAATGTATAGTTTTATTTATATATAAAATTCTGAAATATATCGTACTTGTTTACTTACTATAAATAATGATATGAAGTGTTTCATATTCAAGTTCATTGTATGAAGTAAAAAAGGTTAATTAGTTATTTTTATTAAACAGGAATCTAATTAACCTTCTACCTCAAACCTGAACTCGATTAGTTGATCTTTTTTTAATGATCACATTCTGTTCTGATTGATCTAATTAACTAGTACATTCATGGCGCTAATCCCATAGCAACAGATTTAGAGAGGAATAGACAGCAAATTATAAACATAGAGATTCAAGACAAGTCATTATAGTCTGTCATTTAATTTAAAAAAGCGATCTGATGTAGTATTCACTATTTTATTTGTACATTAGAGAAACAAAAGAATCAAGTGATGATATATATTCCAAAAAATAATGAAACTATCGTTGTTTTATAAGTCATTCAATAAGAAGAAATTACCTAATATGTTAGATAGAGTATCTCTTTGTTTAGTAAACACCAACACCTTCAAGAATTAAAAGAATATTGACGAGATTATAGCTCGTGACATGTTAGATAGTAATAAATCGAATCAGGGGCGTATCGACTAGGGCGTAACGCCCCCCTGCTTTGGAAAATTTTTTGTTTTTCTTGATTCGAAATATTCTTTATTTAATCTACTTTATCAACTTAATATAAAACATGAGAAAATTTTCTTAGACAATCAAGACAAGTATTTTTTCTATAAGAATCAAAAACTATTAATGAGAATCAAATGAAATCATATCAACAAATTCCAAAATAAATGACCATTATTTCAGTTGATAGATATGCGAATATATGTAATTTTTCAATTATATACATATATTTAATAATGAAAATAAATAAATCAAGTAAAACTTACTTTCATTTCATTGGATAATTGTTCAGCATCGGATTTAGTCATACATCTTTGTGTCAATGCTGAAAATGTGTATTCATCAGGTGATAAACATTTTCAATAATTTAATATTTTTATCTCTCTTCCTTATAGTATACATATTTTAATATTTAAGATTGAATTAAAATTAAATAAAATAAGAGCAAAATGGATAAATAAATTAAAATACCAATAAAAATAAAAGTACAATTAAAATAATATAAAATATAAATAAAATTAATAATAGAACAAAATAAAATAAAAAATGAATTAAAGGGTCTGGGTGTGAGGTGAGAAAAACACCCACGTCCTTCTTCAAGATAGATAGTTCTCAAGATGCTAACAATCATGATATGTTTTTGGTGTGCATATTTTGGCAGGGTGGTTCCTGACAAAAAAGGTGAGTAGTTGAGTACAATAAAAAACGAAACTAACTAATAGATATTAGAAGAAGAAAAAAAAAGTACTGTAATGTTCGATAATGATAATGATATATTATAAAGTTCAACTTTTGTTGTGATGTGTGTCTGTACCATCCATTATAAAAAGAAAATTAATAATTAGTTATCATCGACAGACTGTATTGATACAACATATCCGATAATGATATATTATAAAGTTCGAGCTTCGGTGTCATGGGCGTCTGTGTCATGGATCCTAAAAAGAAAACTAGGAATCAGCTATCGTCGACACACTATATTTATACAACATACCTGTCTTATTTTTTAGGGTGCGAGTGTGAGTGTGGATGTGAGTGTTAGTAGAAGTATAAGTTCACCAACACTCACACCTACACCCTTTTATTTTATTAATCCGTTTTATTTTATCTTATTGCATTTTATTTTATTGTATTATATGACTCTATTTTATTTTATATCATATCGACTGTAGGAAGAGTCATATGAAATAAAATCCCCTTGTATGTATGTGATTGTCAAGGCTAAAAGATAATCAAGGTGAAATACACATAATACATTATAAACCTTGACCGAAACGTTTTTGTGGTAAAAGAATCCGAATCTAAGACCTGTTTAGTCAGACAGCCCAAGGTGGGGAGGATGAGGGGGCATATAGGTGTGAACCAATAGAAATCGAACTGTAGAAGAAAAGCTTTTCTATGGATATTTTGACGCTATATTTCTTGTAGAGAAGTATGTAGCATGCCGAAATCATTTATTTTCTCACTTATGTAAGTTTCAACACTGTACACTCTAAAAAAAGGAACACTGTTAAGTCCTCAAAAAGATTTTGTGGGTTTCTAAAAAGTCTAAAATGTGTTGAAAAGTCTAAAAAACGATTGAAAAAATATATGATCTCAGAAAATCGAGAGATACCAGGTCTTCTTACTATAGCAACAGCAACTACTTAGCAAAGCCTTCCCATATTCGTTCAGGAAAGTGTTCCAAGTGTAACTCGATCAGATAAGTCGAATAATATCGTTGGATGTTTGATAGTTGAAAGCATATAGTCATAAAAACTATAAAGATATTTCACACTAAGATTCCAAGACGCACTATTTCTTTTAGAATTTGAGTTGGTTTCATTTTTATTCTTTCTAATTAGAGATGTTCATCGCGGTTGAGAATCTACCGCTGCCAATCAACGAGATTCGCCAAGCCTTATCGTTCAGCATATATGAACAGCGAGATTTTGCATAAATTCCTGAGTTTTTGAAGTTTCTTTCATAGGATAGCTGCCGCCGCCGCGCCGCCATAGACATCTCTGTTTCTAATGTTAGAACCTTTTACATTAAACTATCTTTTCTTTTTTTGGTTGAATGTATAAGATTAAGTCTTCTTTTTTTTTGATAAGTTCTTTAATTTTTTCAGATAAAGATATATAGAACTATAGGATTATTTAAATTATTCACTGAAATAGATAGAAATAAAATAAAATAATTTATATAACGAACGAATTCTATGAGAAAAATGCAATAAAATAAAAATATTAAAATAGAAGTGTTAATAAAAAACATAAAACTTAATTCATCAATAATTGAATGATGATAATTCGATTCATAAATGAATAAAATACTCAGAAATTCAATTTGTTAGTGCATATTGTCGGCTCAAATATTTTTATGACGCTTATAGTTATTACTTTTCGAACAATAATACGATATTATTTTCAGAATAAAGTAAAGTAACTAACCAATTTTTCGATGTATTATATATATAAACACACCTGTGAGAATAACTTTGCCTAAAAATATTGATAAAATAAGTATGTTAAATGTTTACATGTATCGATTGCACAACATTCATTCGCGTTTACATTAAGAAAAAATAAAATTGTCAATGCTTACACAACTATTTTATTTCACGCACGTTTTAACACTCAAAACTTCGATTTTTTCGAGTGTCAATGCAGTATTTTGAAATTTTGTATGCTTCGAGAGAGTAAGTATATTTCATACAATTAAATAGACTTTTATTCATTGATTCAAATTGGAGAATAAGATTTTTTTAAAATAAAATGAGATGAACTCTCAATAGATCAAAAACAAAGATTTATCTCAGATAATTTAAAGAATATTCATAATTCTATTTTGTAGTTAAATGTATTTGTTCAACTGTCACTTTCTATAATAGAATTATTTTCGCATTAAAATTATGAGTACGTTCTTGTCATCTAATTTATTTTTCTATGTATTCAATAGCAGCAATCTATAAAATTTTAATATATTAAAGAGGATTTAGAAATATATTTTTACTGGTTACATGTTTTATTAAACTATTATAGTGTCGCCATATGACACATGATAGTTTCTATGATAGTAGCGACATGAATGAAGAAATAAAATTTGGTGTGGTTGTTGTTTTGTATGTAAAATTCTTTGGTGTCGATGTCTTTTTTTTTCTTCGTCTTTTCTGTCTTTTCAACCGTTTCGTTTGACTTAAATTTTATACATCATTGAGGTCAGACTATGGTTAAAAAAGAGGCAACGAGAAATACGTAACAACAACCATACGATTACAACCGTCGCTTTTTTTGACGAAGAATATTATAACATTACTTATCTATAATTTTATCATACAAATATCTATGTATTAGATATTCAAATAACAATGAGTGAGACAAATACTGAACCTTCTACGGCTGGTATGTTTTATGTTTCTATTGATTTCTAAATTGTTTTTCTTTTAATAGATTCTGCCGTAAATGTATCTGAAACACCATCAACACCCATACTTATTTCTTCTTCACCTTCCAGTACGGTTGATGATGAAACAAAACGACGTAAAATTTTAAGTAAACTATGGGGCAAGGGTAATAAATCATCACATAAAGTACGAGAACTTGAAAAAAGTACAATTAACAATAACAGTGATTCATTACTTCATAATAATGGTCAACAACAATTAGTTGATAATTCAAATAATCATTCTTTATATTCTTCTACTAACGATACAAAATCATCAACAGAAGATAGTTCGAACAGTATTAATAGTAAACCCTTGGCTGTAGTCAAACCGATTGTTGTTGTTAAATCGGGACTTAACGGGACTTCAGCTACTGATCGAACACGTATTAACAGTGAAACATCATCAGCAACTACTATTCAAACAAATGAAACAAGAGCAAGTACAGTGACTGGAAAACAGTCGTCATCTACAACAACCGATCAAACATCAAATAAAAAGAAGAAAAATCATAAAAATGATGATTCAAAAAAGAAGAAAACTACAAAAGACAAGTCAAAAGAACGTGATCGATCAAATCATCATCATGAAGTAAATATAATGAAACAAAAAGAAAAAATCTAGAATTTTTGTTTTCAATTGATATTTTAGACAGATGAAAAAACAAATAGAAAAAAGAATTCACCATCAAAAAGTCGTCGACATGAAGAATTAAATGATAATCATCATAAATCTTCTCGGTATCATTCATCCTCAACAACTTCAACATCCAATAATAGACGACGATCACCATCTACTGATAATGATTCAAGAAATCGTAGATCAAATCGATCAACAACATCAAAAGTATAGAAAATAATTTTTCTATTGTCTTTTCTTTTATAATATATATTTTAGAAAAATGAATCATCATCTTCAAAACGATCATCATTATCTCCAAAAGATCATCATAAATCTTCTTCTCATCGTCATCGTCGTCCATCATCTGCAACAGTTTCTCCATCACCATCACGATCTCGTCGTTCAACAACAACAGGAGATCGTCCACAATTAAAAAATTCTTCATCACCCAAGGTTTTATTTCATATTATTTTTGTTAGAATTTTACATAATCTTTCTTATTTGTGTTTAGAAAGATGAGCATAGTTCTACAACACCTATGAAATCAAATCGACAACCAACTGAATCGATTTCGAATAGTAAATCAATACATTCAAATAATCGTCAACATAGTTCAAATACAACTAATAACAATGATACTCATCATCATCATAAAACACGAGTATTTATATTATTGAAAACAAAATATTATTTCATATCTTTTTTTTGATTGTCTATTAGAAAAGTGATGAAAATTCATCTAAAACACAAGATACTTCACATGAACATCATTCATCTGCATCTTCGACTAAAAATGAAAAAAATAAAAATTCAACAAATCATAATGAAAATAATTCAAATCGAAGAAAAATATCTTCATCAAGAGATGATCGACGAAGTCATAGTCGACATCGTTCAAAATCACGTGAAGATAGAACAAATCGAAAAACAATTGAACTATCAAATTCTGATGACAATTCACTTAATAAAACTAAAACAAATCATGAGAAAGATTTAATAATAAGTATTGAAAATCCTAGTAATGATAAAAAATCTAGTCGTGGTTCATCTATTCCATCGACAAATAATGATCATCGAAGAAAATCTTCTTCGGATTATCATCATCATAGTCATCGATATGATCGTCATGATTCACCTTCAAATTATGATCGAAAAAGTGATCATTATCATGATTCTCATCGTCATCGTTCTTCATACTATTCAAATACTCATTATGTTCATCATCATCATCACCATCATTATCGATCAGGATCGTCGAGGTATCATCATCGTCGTCGTTCAATATCACCTCGTTCTCATCCACATCGTTCAAGATATTTTTCTTCAACATCTTCATCTTTATCATTTTCACCTCGTCGTCGAAGTTCAAGTCGAACATCATCTTCATCAACTCGTAGTTCATCATCATATTCTTCAATATCTCGTACATCATCATCTCGTTCATCATCAAGAAATTATTATCATTATCGTCATGATAAAAAATTTCGTCGTTCACCAACATTAGAAAAATTATTTCTTAAAGCATCAGAATCTATTGAATCAGTATCAACACAAAAAAATCCAAATCAATCATCATCAGCAACTCATTTGATACCTGTTCAAACATCATCTATAAATTCTGATATACAATTATCATCATCATCGATGAATTCTCTTTCAGAACCGAATACATTTTATGCAGAGAATTTTTCGGGATTTTCCGCTCCACCACCACCCTCATTTCTAGCTCAACCATCACAACGTTGTTTGAAAGAAATAACAACCGATTCATCAACATCACGTCGTTTAATATTAAATGAAGTTCAAACAGTTCCATCAACGACATTCAATGATATAATACCAACGAAAACTATTCAATCAATGGATATTTCAACAAATGGTAAAAAATTATTTTTTACTGAAAAAAATTAATTCTTTAATAATAAATTTTAGTTCGTTCTACATCCGGTAAAGCACCACGAATATCTCGTTTTTCTGATATAGCAACACCAACAACATCATCTGAATCAATATTAAATACAAATATACCAGTTGATACACATTTAGGTTATACTCAAATAAGTGAAAATATCAATTGTTTATCATCATCACGTCGTCAACAAAAACGTCATAATCGTGAAGTAATGGAATGTGAATGTACTACAAGTGAATATGATCGTTCACATGGTATAAAAGCATGTGGTTCCGAATGTCTCAATCGAATGTTATTAATTGAATGTGGTCCCATGTGTCCATGTGGACAATGGTGTACAAATCGTCGTTTTCAACGACGTTCCTATACAAGTCATAAATTATGTTTATTTAAAACTGATATGAAAGGTTATGGTTTACGAACAACATCATCCATACGTAAAGGTCGTTTTCTTGTTGAATATGTTGGTGAAGTTATTGATATGGATGAATTAGGACGACGAAATAAAAAATATAAACGTGATGGTAATACACATCAATATGTTATGTCATTAATACATGGAACAGTAATTGATTCAACAATAAAAGGTAATTGGGCTAGATACATTAATCATTCATGCGAACCAAATTGTGTTTGTGAAAAATGGCTTGTTAATGGTGAATATCGTATGGGAATATTTGCTAAACGTGATTTAGTTTCGAATGAAGAAATAACAATTGATTATCGTTTTGAAACATTTGGTGCGATTGATTTAGCTAATGAAAAATGTTATTGTGGTGCACCAACATGTCGTGGAACAATTAGTATTAAAACAAATAATAATAATAATTCAAATAAACGACAAAAATGTCGTCAACCATTAGATGATGATGAATTACTTGATTATTTACGTGATGATGATACAAATGAATATATTATACCAAAAACAATTGATGAAATTCGTCAATTAATACAAATTATGTCACGAACAGATAGTGAAAATGTTCGTACGATTGAATTAGATCTTATTAAAAATAATTCACAAAAACAATTTGAATTACCAAGATTATTTTTAGAATGCAATGGTTTACATGTTTTATGTTCATGGATGAAAGATATTTTAATTGATAATGATGATGATCAACAACAATATTCCGATGAATTTAAATATCATTTATTAGATTTTATTCATACTGTTTTACCAATTAAAGATCGAACAATTGTTATTAAAAATGGTTTATTTGATTTAGTTTATAAAAAATTAAAATTACCATTATCAGCAATGGATAATAGAGAAAATAATGATGAAGAACAAATTGAAAATTTAATGAATTCAATGCTTAATCATCTTGATAATCCAATAATAGCGAAACTTTTTCATATTTATTCAACATGGATGTCATTAAAAGAACGTTATATTATTCCAAAACGAAAAGAATCCCAAGATACATCAAATCATCATCATCGTTATCATCACCATCATCATAGTTCAAAACATCGTTATGAAGAAACTAATTCCCGATTAAATTTTAGTACACGTTCATCAACAATACAACAAAAACCATTTGATCGACCATTTGGTAGACGTTCATATATTGCACGTGATACTCCGCGTACACAAGAACAACAATTATCTAAAGATGAACGAAGAAAATTATTTGAACAACAATATGAAGATGCAGAAAAAGTATATTCGTTTTTTTTTAATTATATTCTTTTATTTTTTTTCTTTCTTATTTAAAGGCAAGAGTAGCAGCAGCTACAGCAGCTATCAATGATGAAAGTCCAGGTTAGTAGATTTGTTTATTTTTTCGTATCTTCATTTATACTGAAATTTAGGAACACAAAATGAACCACCACATAAGAAACAGCGAACATCCGATAATATGGAATCAATGATACCAAGTACTCCACCTCAACCGGATGCTTCATCGATGGTAAAAGAATTAAAATTAGCTGTTTTTTTAAAGAATTTCTAATTGATCATTCTTTTTATTATAGTCTAATGTTCATCCTTGGACAATACCATTAAATACTGTATGTTTTTTTTATTATTAGTAATTTTCATTGAACATTTTGTATTTGATTTATTAGGCTTTTCCAAATCAAATGGATCAAACATATTGGATTCATCAACATTTATCACAAATTCCTATTGATTATATTCATTCATATTTGACTTCAACTGGTATGAATGAAAATAAAAATAGTAATAAAAAATATTTTTTGTTTTCTTTATAGGTCAATCAACTTCTGTATCAAATGTTTTAGTAAATAAAAAGAAGTTTGAATATTTTATAATTATTCTGTTTGTATTTAAGGTTGATAAAAATGATCCTTCTCTTCCTCCACCCGTACGACCTGATGATGAAAATGAATTATCACGTATTATCCGTTTACCATCCGGCTGGTCTGTTGCAGTGTGCCCGTCAGATTCTTCTGTTTATTTTTATAATCGACAAACAATGGCTACTAGTTGGACGCCACCCATAATAAGTACTCCAACAGAAACTTCAATGCCATGTCCACCACCTGGACCTCTCGATCTAAGTCCTCTTTCATCGGCTCAAATTCATGATCAACATCGTCCACATCCTCATCATCATCAGTCCTCTGCTTCGTCTCGTTCAGTTATGAAATTATCAAAGCATCCTCATCGTCACAGTCGTAGTCATCGACATCATCACATGAGTAGTATTAATAAACGAAAACGACCGTTAACAGTCGAATCTACAACTGTTATTAAAGAAGAACTTCATCCGCCAACAACAGAAGAAACATCAATGATAACTTCTAATGAACAAATCAAAGAAGAAGAAATGAATGATAAAAATCCAATAGAACATACAGAAGAAAATGCTGTCACTGATTCTAAAGTATCTATGGATGAGAATAATGAAAATATTGCATCAACAACAACAAAAGAATCATTAGAAATGAATGATAATATTGAAGAATCAATATCTTCTAATAATCATACATCATTATCTTCGGCATCAAAAGTTAGTCGTGATCATCTTCGTCGAAATATTTCTCAACATGTTCATGCAACATTAAAACCATATACAAAACGAACATGTAAACAAGGACGTATTGTATCAACGGATGATATAAAATATCTTGTTAAAAAATTTACATTAGCTGTACTTGAGAAAGAAATTGAAAAAGCTAAAAATGAAGGAATACCATTACCACCAATATTAACTGAACGTGTACGATTAAAAACTGAAGTTTATATTAAAAAATATATGAATAAAATGGGTCCTGTATTTCAACGACATGATGCTACTGCTCATTCACTTTCTCAACAACCACCACCACAACCATCATCATCACAGCCGATGACAACAACAACAACAGCAACAGCAACAGATTTAGAATGAAATATTTTTCTCCTAATCTAAATTACTCAAGGAACTTATTCATATATATTTTTTTTTGTCATTTTTTGTCCATCTCAGATATCTGCATGTGTTTTTGTGTAATTGAAAAACTTTCATTAGTTTACTGTTTTTTTTCTTTATCTTTATCATGTTCTTCTTCTTCTTCTTCTTCTTCTACTATCGTTGTTTACTTTTGCTTTCTTTTGTCGTAACATGTTTGTATTTCTTGTTGTATAAGAACCAAACAAACAAAGAGAAATAGTTGAAATTAATACTGACTCGTCCTGTCTTAGTTTTTATAAACTAGTAGAACTATTATAATATAACGTTTATAAAGATGATCATTGAAAATATTTATATTCGTGCATAAATTGAAAAAAATAGAATATATCAAAACAATAAAGGTTTGTGGATTAGAAAGTTAAGTAATAACTGATTGCATTAAAACAACTTCACAGGTTAATACAATCAATATGAATCACTTCATTTCTCATTACAACGACAATTTTATGAAAGGTTACATGTGAATTATGGCGAAAAATCGGACATTTTTTCAAATATTTGTAAAGTCAAATTCCTTTTTAAAAGTCTTTTATTCTAGTAATTATTTACTAAAAACTCTTCTTGAAATCTTGATCAAGAAGATTATCATATTACAATTTCTGTTAAAAACAATCAGTTATATTATAAATACATTCATAGATAAGTTTTCATCATCGAATACTCATGATGCTGATGTCATTTATCGCATTATATGGCGCATATACGAAAGACAACTTGCATTCAAAACTAAACCGTTTGTATTGTATAATTCGATATAAAATCTTTATTCTATCTATTTGAATTTGAATGTATAAAACTTCGATAATATTCTTCGAATTAGTCTCGATCACAATAGAACAACCAAAGGGTATACGAGTATGTTCTATGATTTTTCCTTATACGAACGAAAATATACAATCTATATTCAGAATAAATACTGAATAGAACGAAAAGAAAAAGAAATTATCGCGTGTGCGATTAAATCGATCATTATGATAAAGAAACAACAATATGAAATGTTAGCACAATTTCAAGTATAGATTTCTCATTTTAATCATTATCTTTTTCACTATATCATATTTTAGTCTCGTACTGCAATATTTAATAGTGATGAATCTATTAAAATTCTTGAGCAATTTCGATGGAATTGTTTGGTAATTTTGTAACTACTGTGATTTTTTGTCTTATATTTCGATATAATCATAGGAAGCAATTAATTATGTACTGAACAATGTCAATACTACTAAAGAAAAAACATCGAATTTAGTTGATAATATTATTCAACCATCTCCTCGTATTGATCAGCCACTCAGTAGATAAATATTTACTTTCTTATGTATTCCTATAATATATATTTTATTTAGTTCCAAATGAATGTCTAAATGAAATAGATGGTATTCGTCATTTTGAACGGGTATTTCAAGATCGTCATGAAAATATTCATCGTTGGCCGATATGGTTCAAATCATCACTTGAAAATGCTATTCATCAATCAGTAAACAATCTTTTCTCTGACTTGTATATTTTCGGTTCATTTATTTTCATTTTTCTTTAGCATGGTCCATTTGCTATTTTTCTCAATCATGATGGATCTCCTTTTACTACAACATTTTCTCGTCAAATTCTTTGTTCACCATCAATTCTAAATGTTTTTATGAAATATAAATGTATTCTTTGGCCATGGGATATTACCTATCCATTGAATAAACAACGGTAGATATTAATACATCTATACATCATTATTTTATATTTTTGTTTGTTTTTCATAGACTTCTTGAAAGAAGTGGACGTGCTCAACAAATTTTTATTAAATGTTTTTCCTATTTTGATCATATTAATAATTATCCTTTATTAATTTTACTTAGTCGCCAAAATGATCGAATTGTATTACTTGATATTGTTAATGGAAATAGTGATTTAGATCAAACAAGAGCATGTCTCGAACGAACACTTAATCCAATTCATGAACAATCTATTATATCCTACAATGAAGTAATTTCTATTTTCTTATTAAGATATTTATTAATTCTTTTAATTCTAGACAACATCTCTTTCACCAGGTTGGATTGGTGGTCGTACAGCAGGTAATCTTCGGCGTCGTCCTTCTTTCATAACAAGTAATAAAATCTTTTATTTGATATTTCTAATTATTTCTATCTATTTTGAACTTTTTTTATTTCTAGCATTTCGTTTAAGTCGTTCTCTTCGAAGTGTTCAACGACCTCATTATATTTCATTCTATAAACCGAAAGAAGAAACACCTGAAATAATCGTTACTATGCAAGAAGTTAAACAATGGTTAAAAAATAAAAAATCCAATTCATCAAAATATGTCCAATGGTAGATTATATAATTTATTATAGATTTTTCATTTCGTTTAATATCTAGTCATCAAACAAATTCATCATGTATTCAAATTAAATGTTTGCCATCACAAAAAATTGTATCTCCTATTCCATCATTATTTGTGGCAACTAAAGATCGATCTCCATTCGTATATATGTCACCACGTCGAGCTGGATGTAAATATTTTTATATTTTATCATAAATTGTGATATTTATTTTCTTTTTATCGTTATGTTTAGGGAGTCCAATGGTCAATCGTTAAAAATTAAATAGTTATTGTTTTGTTACAGTTCTCTTGTTTTCTATACATTTTGTATTGAACTAGTTCTTTTTTATGTATACCAATAAAAAGAAGATATATTTAAATGTTCTATTTCTTTCATAAACAATTATTTCAGTTAAATGAACTATAGGAATAATGATAGTTAATCATTTTAATATAAATGAATGGTAGCGAAAGAAGTAAACGAAGGTTCATCTGACAGATCATAACTGTGTCTAATGCAAAGTTATAAACACGATATGTTCAAGTGAATTTTATCAATTTGTTCAACTGACGCGTTCAATATTTAAATATACGCCTCTTTCTTCGTGTCTATGCTATGTTTTCTTAAAGAGCGTATATCACCTCCTAGGCGGTCGTCGGCATCCTTTCCGTCCGCCACTCCAGACTACTCGATGTTGAATTATACACATATAAACGGATACTCTGTTTACTTTCTCTGCTTATGGCTGACGTCGACTACGGCCTGGTAGTAGCGTCACAGCATAAAAAACCATCCGTTATACTAAATGATCTGAACATTAACACTTCATTCAACTCTTTAAATAATTAGATTAATATGATGGAGCAACTAAATTAATTACTCTAATAATATTGTGAAAATAAATGGTGCACCTACTGGTGTCGTGAGTATGGCGTTCCTACTCATGTTAACAGTGACGTCCACATTCTCCTTCTCCGAAGTCGTCTTTCAGATCAAAATCTTTCTTTTGAAAACAAAGTAAACATCAGATAGTAAATTTGAATTTCTCATACTCAAATCGCTGATGAAACTTTATAGGAAATCAACATTTTCTCTAAGAAACAATGCTAAATTCGGATGCTCTATTACCAAAACTTTTTAGCCACACTTTACAAGAGTCCGGCACCAAATGACACCGACCATTGCCGTTATTTTGACTGATACACATACAGATAAATAGATGCAAACGCTACATGTCTCAAAGGCCCTTCTCTATACAATCCATCCACATTCATTGAAAACAGGATCCCTTTGATTTTCATCACTTTCAACACATATTAGATTCGGATTCCTCAGCTCAAAAACCCAATTGATCAAGTTTTATAACTCATATGTAGTTTTTACCTTGAACGTTCTTTTAACCCTGACACAAACACAAACACACAAGCTATTTTATTTCATATAATCCGTCTTACAGTCGAGGGAATATTTACTAATCAACATATACATTATTTACTTTTAATAATTTGTTCTATTTCATAATAAAATTTCCATTCAATCAATTTTAAATTTAATGCTAAAGGGGAAACGATTAACACATGTCTTTTCTTATGATTCTGTATATGATATCAAAATTTTAATATCTAATTCATTATTTGAAAGGAAAACACAAAGAATAGACCCATCTCAATCTATATTATATCAGAACATGTACTAAGAACAAAGTCCATAAATAACTACGAAATTTCCATTTTTAGTAATCATATATATTTTCTTCTTTTTCTGACATGTGTTTTCATATGATTCATTTCTACTAGACGTACAGCAAACACATGTTTATTTTTTTTTTCTTTTCCATTTTCGTTCTCTTGTACAAATCGAAGTTGGAGTGCACATAACATTCACTATTTTACAGTGCGAACGTTAGATATTTTGTATGATGATGATGATATCGGCTCCGACTTCATCTTTTCACGATGTGAGTGATTTTGCTTTCATATTTATATATATATACACATCTAAAACTTACATTTATTTTAGTATTTGCCGATAGATCATTTTTTGCTTAAAACTGAGTCATTATCACCGATACAAATAAATGAGGAACTTTCAAAAGAATTATTTGATAATATTAATACAAATAGAAATAAAAATAATCGAAATTCAACTATAAAAAGACCAATGAATGCTTTTTTATTATGGGCACGAGGTGAAAGAAAACGAGTGTCAAGTGATGGTTATGGCGTTAGTCAAACATCACTGAGTAAATTTCTAGGTGAAACATGGCGGTAAGAAAAAGTAAATAGGATATGTGTAGCTGCCTAATGACAAATTAATCTTTTTTTAGGCATATGTCCGTCGATGAAAAGCAGCCATTCTTAGATATGGCTGAAGCATTGAAAAGACAATACTATAATGATCATCCGGACTATAGACTCAAATTAAAACAACGCTCGACGACCGCCAATAAAACAATAGCAAGAAAGCATCATTCACCTACAGGTTTGCTTCTTTGAATATAAAGCAATATATATATATGTCGATTAGCATTTCTTTTCATATATTCATTTAGCACAACGACAATTGTCAACTATGAACTCATCATCATATTATTCATCTTTTTCTCCACTTTTTTCAAACGAACAACAACAACAACAACAATCATCATCATCATCATCTATGTCTACTGTTACTCCTCATTCAATACAACCAACAGTTTTACATATGTGTCAAGCTATGATTCCAACATCATCATCATCTGATACTAATAATGAATGGTTTTTAAAACTTATAAGTCAACCTCAATCTGTTATCGTTGCACCTCATCCGCGAACACAAACATCAGCTAATGCATCGCGTCGAGCTGTACGTATACAAATTATAAATAAACATGATGATATTACTTTACCTCCACCAACATTATTATCTATGACACCTTCACCATTATCATCATCATCAGTTACTATGGATGAAACAACATCGACATTAGTTGATTATCTTACAAATAATTGTCCTATGTTCAATATTCCTAACAATCAACACGAACAAATATCTACTATGGATACTATGACTGGTATGTGAAATTTTACTTTTGAAAAAAAAAATATCATCTTAAACTAATATATATATATCTATGATTTCTAGGATATGAAACATTACAAGACTCAGCCAATATTCATTTAATGGATCTTAATCATCATGATGATGTTAATGGTTGGATTGATACACCATTATCAAACTTTGGTACTAATGTTGCAGATATAAATTCAACCACATCATTATCATCATCATACTTATGTTATGATTTTTTATGCCTTTAAAATTTATTTATTTTTACTTTATTCTATAGCGATAAAATTCTACATACAGATGTGAGAGAGTGAGAGAGACAAAGTTAGTCTAGTATTTTTCCTTACCTTTATTTTTCTTTCCCTGTCTTATTCATGTGTTAATACGAAAGTGAACTTATGTGCGTGCCATTAAACACTTCAATTGTTGTTTCTTTCTGCGTTCTTATTCACTTTTTTTTGTCTTATTTTTTTATTGTGTTTTGGTTCATGTATATGAGTGCATGCTGTAAAACGACAGATTTCAACGAATGAAAATAGAAAACATTCGCACGTACTCTTAAAATTGTTTTTTTTTTATTAATAAACTTACGGTTGTTTCTTTGAAAAGAAAATTTATTAATTGTTCTAATACAATTCAAATCATCATTCGATATTCGTCAAAGAAATCTATGTACAACAATCACTTACAGTTAAGAAATATTTAATCCTAATATCTTCTATCATGAATTAAATATCAGACAGGAGAGACATTTTGAATGTCCTATAGGCTTCGCTAACCTATTATTATTGATTGCTATATTATTTGACCAGTGAGATATATGCGATAGATCAGTTTGTATTACATAACCTCCAAACAGTACATAAGCTATACTAAATATTATTTTATATTGAACAATAATGCTTTGCTTTCGTCATTTTATTATTGCTCCATTATTATTTCTTGGTAGACCTATTGTAACAGTTAGTTCATCTCAATCGATTGGTATTATTGATTTAATTTTATCAGAACATCAACATATGCGTGATGAATACGAATATTTTAAATCAGTTGATGATATTACAAAACTTGATTCACGTGTTCGTCAATGGATTGCATATATAGCTTTACATGGACATAAAGAAGAGATAGCATTTTATCCTAAAGTTGAAAGCTATTTAAAAGATGAGAAGAAAGGTGGACATCATTTAATTGAACATGGTATTAAAGAACATCGTGAACTTGAAACTGAATTAAAAAAATTAGCTGAACAACCAATTGTTCAATGGAAACAAATACATAAATCAGTTGATAAATTGAGTATGATAAAATAAAAACAATTCTTTTTTAGTTTTATCTTTCATATTTCTAGTGCATCATTTGAAAGAAGAAGAAGCTGATATATTAAAGCCACTTCGTTCAAAACTTGATAAAAAACTTCAATTAGATCTTGCTCAACAATTTATTGATGCTGGTAAATTAGCTTCCAATCGACCTCATCCTGAATTATCCAAAGAACCTGAAAAAGCACCTCAAGAAAATATCGACATTGGACGTGCTGAAAAACATAAAGATCTTTAGAATTATTATTTCCATAATTTATTTTGTCACAAACAATTCTTATATATATATATCTATAAAAAAATACACAAAATAGAAACTTTTCACACAAATCTTATTGAGTAGATGGATAGAGATTATTCATATAATTGAAATTAGTTGTTGGTGATGGATAAGTCATATAAGATGAATCATATGAAATTAAACCATAATTTGGATTATAACGAGTAGTATTATCATAATCTGTAATTCCATGATGATGAGTAAACGATTGATAATATGGATTATACATATCTAAATGAAAAATAAAATATAATGTACTGTCTTTTTTCTGAAAATGCTTTGAAAACATACTTGAATAAGAGAAATGTTCATTTGATTGCATTGCTGGAGTAGAATAAATTCCATTTGTCATTGTATCATACTCATTATCACCTTCAATATTTGCTGTTTCTGAATAATATGATACTGGTACATAATTTTCTTTTGAACTACATGCACTTTCATCATTATCATGATCATCATGTTTAACAAATTTATTTGAATACATATGTTGAGGTGGAAATGCTGGAATAAATGTAGATAAATTTGTTGTTTGTGGTTCATCGATTGAAGATGAACATGGTGATGAAGTCATTGGAGGATGTTGATCACTTTGTACACTTATATCATTAGCTGATAAAGATGATGGTGATGAAGATGATTTACTTGTATTTGGTGTTGAATATGGATGATAACGAGCATCTAGAAAATAATAATTATACATATTAAAAAAAATAATTTAATATTTAAAAAATAATCATACTTTTAACTTTTCTTTTTGGTTGATAACGATATTCAGGATAATCACGTTTATGTTGTTCACGAATACGTTCAGCTTCTTCAACAAATGGTCGTCGTTGTTCTTGTGGTAATGCTCTAAATTTAAAAAATAATTAATACAAAAGAAAATTTTTGTTGAATTTCAAAACTTACTTCCATAATTTTCCTAATGTTTTACTTAATTGTGCATTATTAACAACAGATAAATTTGTAGTTAAATTTTTACGAGCAGCTTGAGCCCAAACCATAAATGCATTCATTGGTCGTTTAACATGAATAGGTTTAATAGGTTTTGGTTGTTTTTGTTCTAATTCAGCCCAATTTAATTGACCCAAAGCTGATGTAACAATATTTGATAAAACAGTATTTTGTAACTATAAAGATTTAATAAAGTATTGTATACAAACAATATAACAGTTGTTTTGAACTTACCGATGTAGCATCTGAACATCCTGATGATGACATTTTATGATGAAATGAATTCGTTTCCTTGTTTGACTACTTTTAAATATGAATGTTCACTTTCGAATGAATGAGATTACTTATTTGTCGATGACTTTTAATAAATGGTGCCATTTTCGATATCTCTCTCTCTCATCTTTTTCTTTCCTATTGGACTACGAATAAACAAATAAACCAATAAAAATTCAGTAGGAAAATTTTTCGTTCGTATATCGTAATCAAATCACACTTATCAATAATTGTAATCAATCTTTTAAACCAATTAATACAGTTTGTATATTGTTTTGTCGATCGATAATTCAATAATAGAATAAAAATGTGATCTCATAATTTCAATCAAATTCAATATGTAAATCACAGTTTTACTCGATTAAATAGAATTTTTTTTCATTTTTGTAACTATGAAAAAACTTGGTTATCTTTTTTTTTCTCCTATTGTATAAGATAAAAGAGAAGAAGCACATTTTTTAACACACCGTTGTAAATATATTTTTGATCAATCATTGATAAATGAACATAGAAAAAAGCCGACATCGATCAATCAGAATCCTGCGGTGATTGAAACAACGATCAAGTGCTAAATAGTCAATTATAGTTTTTCTGTACAGTTTTTAAAATATATAGAAGATTTTCATTTTCACAAGGAAAATGGATATCTAACCGGAACTGGAAAAATATTTTCATTTTACGCATGTATTTCACTTAAAAATAACAATATCATCATCACCACCGACCGTGTTTTACGGTCATTATGCATGTGACATTCGAGCTAACATATAACATGCTGTTTTACATAGATAAATAATACGGTTATCAATATCAATGTTAGACTAATAGCTATTTTTTTCTCATTGTTGATGCTCTGATCTGTTGAAAAATATGTTAAACAATTGAATGGATTGATATTTTTGTTTTATAAAATAAAAAGAACTCCTGGGTAGATTTTGTTTTAAGTTCGAGAGGAAACGAGTGGTCATTAAATAGCAATTTGATGAAATAGGTGAGATGATATCAATAAAGATTTCGTATCAGATAGGATAACAAGAAAAAAGAGAATAGATGTCAAGTGCACTTTTACTCACATAATAAATTTTCATAAATGATTGATATGAATGTAATTAGATCGAAAAACTTTATCCTTACCTTTTCGCTAATAAGAAAGTTTTCATTATTTGATCGACTCTATTGATGATATAGTTTTCATTTGAGAAATGTTTTGTATTTATATATGTATGAGTTTAAATAGGGTTTGACTTTTTTGTCTTAGATTGAGGTCTGTCTATGTATATTTTATTCTCTGTATGATAACTATAGAATAAGGGAATAAAAAGAATGAGTACTGATAAGACATGAAGAATAAGAGTGGACAATGATCGATGAGTAAATGTATATTTAACGCATCTTTCAGTTATGTATATGGCATTAACTAGGCTTCTTTTCTTTTCCATCCTTTTTTTTTTGATATGTTTACATCATAAACAGATAAGACACGTCTGTTTTTTGAGAATATGAATAACTGACAACGAACTTGAATACTTCAGATCATTTATTTGCATTTGAAAAAGATTAAAGTTATATTCAGAAGATTTTATAGTTTATTAAAAGGAGAAGGATAATATTATCTTATTTCACAATGTGAAATTACATAGATGCCGTTAGTTTGTTATACATATCATCTTAGATTTGTAATATGTACAAAAAAAAATAAAGAATATATATGAAAAAGAATAAAAAACTATTTTCTTGTAGATTTTAGTAATAGTAATTTTGTTTTTTTTCTTAAAATTTGAACTAAACAATGATAGATTGAGTATATTTTACCAATGATAGAATATCACTAATATCTAAGATAAATCGAAAAAATTTGATTATTTGAAAAGACAATAATGTCAGCAACAACAGTAACAACAAATGCTGGTATTCAAATGCCTCGTTTAATCTATGGTACAGCTTGGAAAAAAGAAGCAACTACACAACTTGTTATTAAAGCTATTTTAAATGGATTTCGTGGTATTGATACAGCATGTCAACCAAAACATTATAGGTATATATCATCCGATTCTAGTATAAAAATTAATTGATTCATTCTATTTGAATTCTAGTGAAGATCTTGTTGGACAAGCTCTTGTTGAACTTGAAACAAAACATAATATATCACGTAAAGATTTATTTATTCAAACAAAATTTACAGCTATTCGTGGACAAGATACATCAAAACCTTTACCATATGATCCTAATGCATCATTACCTGAACAAGTTCGACAATCATTTACTAGATCACTTAAAAATTTACATACTGATTATATTGACTCACTTGTTCTTCATAGTCCATTACAATCACATGATTTAACAATGGAAGTTTATCGTGAATTTGAAAAATTTGTCGATGATGGTCGTGTTAAACAATTAGGTATAAGTAATTTATATGATTTAAATGGTTTGAAAAAATTATATGAAGATGCTCGACATAAACCTTCCGTTATACAAAATCGTTTATATGCTGAAACTAATTTTGATAGTGATATAAGAAAATTTTGTCAAGAAAAAAATATTTTTTATCAAAGCTTTTGGACACTAACAGGTATACAAATAAAAATCAAGTTTTTTTAATAGCTATTTTATCTTTTATATTAGCTAATCCAACAATTCTTAATCATCCATTAGTAAAACAACTTGCACAAGAACGTCATGGAACATCTGCTCAAATATTCTTTCGTTTTTTAATAGATATTGGTTTAACACCATTGACTGGTACTACAGATGAAAAACATATGAAAGAAGATTTACAAGTTCTTCAATGGCCTTCACTTGATAATGATTCAATTGCAAAACTTAAAAAACTTATTCATGATTAAATATTTTATTTATTTCATAATTTATTTTTATATATAAACTTGCACCTAAGTTGACATGAGTATATTTTATTTATTTATGAAAACCTTTTACATAGAAAAACAAAAACAAAATTAAACTAATTTTTTTTGTTTGAGAAGATTTTCGTGATGAGCATGCATTGACATACATTGTATGTAGTTGATAGTTGCGTTGTTTCGTTGTTCTTGAAACAATTAAATAGAAATAACCAATATTCTATTATAGAATAAATATACATTTTGAATCATCACTAATATAATAAAATAAGAAACAATAAATAAAAACTAATCTAATATAAAACTAATCTACTATACATACTAGTTCTGAGAGTGAACTAAGATGATTTCGCATATTTGAAATAAAGTATTGTATTTAGTCCAACATAATACATATTTTGTATTATTAATGGAATTGTTTTTCTAATCATTTGGTGGTTTCGTACCGCTCTGTGAGTCATTGGTACCACCTGTAGTAACGTTAATAACTTCAAATGGTCGAGCCATAAGTGGAATGATTCGAGTTTTATCGAGTGTCATCGTAGTAGTTATATATTGTTTTGCAGTAGAACGAGTTTGTTTAGATTTCGGTAATGAATAATGAATGTATTCGTTTATAGTATTGAAAGTCTTTTGAACCATATTGGCAGTGAAGTCTGTAATGAAAATTGGCTGTTGATACACGACGAAAGTTAATGTAGACAACGGTAAAAATATGTAATAAGTGTTGTATGCGGTAGTTGTAGTAGTAAAAATGAATGTAGAATAAATGAAATTTTTACTCGTTCTCGCTTCCTTTATATACGATAGTACTGAATTGCGTAAGAACACAAGGTTGATAATGTGATGTGCCCGTGTGCCGTACTTTCGCAATGACGTCGAAAGAAAGAGAATAGCAACGTGGCGCTGCGCCAATTGAATCAACTGATGTCGTCATCAGACGTTCTATGAGTAATTGCACTGCTAAAACAAAACAGTGCCAACAGTGCAGACACTCCCACTCGTCGTCAAGTGAGTCATGTCAGTTGAGGACAATAAGAAAAGCAAGATCATTTTTGTACAAGAAACCAAAAAAATACATAGGAAAGGAAAAAACCAACAGTTACTCAAGGTTAGATAATGATCAAGAAAGCTTATTTTTTTCCCCTTCTGTACATAATGTCAACGAAAAAAAATGTCATGATTTTATTCGATAATTACTTTTCATCGAAACAAAATCATAAATTATTGAAACTATTATAGAAGATTCCCATAATAAAAAATATGTATCATAACCAATATCGCGGAAAAATATTATATGACTTTCGAAGACGGTTTACTTGGAGAATTCCTGATAAGAAGAAAAAAGACATCATTAATCTTATACTACTTCTGTATAGACACTTGTGAGTAAGTCATAAATATACATAAACAATAATAAAAACCAAAGATATTCTTATTGACGAGTCTATATATAATATATCTTTTGCAATTACACCTATGTTGCATAAATATTCGAATGACATCATTACAAAAGGTATTTTTTCGAAAAAGCAATGTATGTGTTTTGTAATAGTATGTTGTCATTGTCAGAACAGTTAAAAAATTTGACTCACATGATGAAATTCTAGTTATTGCGGTTATTGCATATCAAGTATTCGTAACAAACATATAAATAATGAAACAACCATTGTCATTATAAACTGAATTTTAAAGAATATTTATTTCAATAATTGAATGAAAAACAATTATAAATGAAAATTAAGTTGTAAACTTTCCTAACACCTTTAATTAATTTATTACTTATTTTCATCGTTTTAAATGTGTATTCAAGTATGAAAAACAATTTTTTGTTGTTTATGTACTTATTTAGTAAATTAAATATATTTTTCTTTGATTGTTTTATAATCTTCTAGTTAGAATCAGTATTTATTTTCATCATCAAAGATGAGTCACCATCATAATTTTTCTAATTTTATTTATAATAGTATTGAGATTGAAAGTTTTCTACTAGATATCAAGCTCCTATAAAAAAATTGACAACAAACCAAAATGGAAAAAGCGAGACTTTATCTACTTCAAAATTATTTTGTAGTACGCACTGCTTAAGTATCACTTTTCTCCCTTGCAACAAATATAATTAGCATTTTCAATAGGTCGTTGCTGGGTCGAAGTTATATTAACGTGCGTCATACAGAGCACAATAGAATATCACACATACGTCATATCTTCTTTTTCTGTATATAGAATAATATTTGACTAGATCTCTATCATTTGTTATTGATGAGAATTTACATTAAAAAAGAACAGATTCGATATATTTCTTCAATTTTACATAGTAAATCATTATCTCGATCTATAGTTAATTCTTGTGAATGTAATAAAATTATAACATTTTCAATATTAATATCCAATAATTGTTCAATGTATAAACGAAAATCTCCTAAACTCCATTCATTAATAGGAAATCGACGTTTACAATAGAATGATTTAAGATTACATTCAATTTTGAGAATCAAATCATTACTCATCTTCTCGTCTTACACAATGAAAACACACTCTTAACCGATAATTAAGCATCAAAACAAAAATATTTCGCGCCGTTAGCAAAAAAACAACAAATTTATTTGAAATAAAAATTATAAAATATAAGGAAACATCTGATTTTTTGTTCTTTTCTTTCGACATTGTTCTGGAATATACAAATAATTGTTCACTTCATTGTCCGATACATTACTATCATTACTCATATGATGATGACATTGACAATGACAACATTCATATGATTGTGGAATTGAATACCAGCCCGTTATATCAAAATTTGATATGTTCATATGATCATGTGGAATTGAACTTAAATTAGATAATCTTGATAGTGAACATGAATCATCTGCATGTGTTTTTGTTGATTGTAATTGTTGAAAATGATGATCTGATATTGATGAAATATTTGTATCTGATGAGATTCCTGAATCTTTTGAGTGTAATGATGACCATGAATGACATTCACTTAGATCAATCTAAAAATTAAAAGTTAATAAAATAAATAAAAAATAGGAAAATACTTACATAATCATTGTTTCGTGTTGATGATTGTTTTGGTTGATATGAAATAAATTCATAATCTTTTGGTTTTGATACAGAACAACAAGATGAGATTTCTAGAAAATAGAGAAAAGAGAATTGAAGATTATTGATTGAATTGAAAATATAAATACGAACTTGATTTTGATGAAGATAGTTTCTTTTGTGGTGATGATCGAAAAGTAGTTTGAATAGCACGAGTAATTTTCTATAATGAAAA